TATAAAGTAGTTAAATATAAGGAGGAGTAATTTTCCACTTATTTATAGTATAGTATTGATCCTTCTTTCAACCAGAATTAGTTTCAGTCATAGTAATGAGTACTATAATATTTATTGAATTTCGATCATCGAAATTTAATATAGATAATCAAAATTTATTATTTAATATTTTTAGTTTTTAAAAATATTTTTTTATTAGATAAATAATCCAAAATAAATATAATATCTTCAATGTAAGTTTTTTTTAAAAAAAATATTTTTTATTTAAAGCTACTACTAGTTAAAAATTTTAAATCTAAACCATCAAAACTATATCTAATTTAGATTTCATTACAGTAATAAGTATCATGATGTTTTTTACTACTATAAGTACCGAGACTATTTTCCTTCCAAGCAGGCACTCATTCCCAATTAGATTTTTAAAAAAGAAATTACAAGAAAAGGTGAAAAGAATGAAAACCCACTAGAGAGAGAGCCTCTGTGTTAATGCTTTTTCACAGTAATGTTGGGTGAGGCATCAAGTCCAATAGATTTAGAGGTATCTTTATGCTGTAGTGCTCTTATTGCGTTATAGAAGGCTCTCAAGTGTACCTTGAAGGCTTGAACCCAATTTTTAAAACTTCCCTTTATCCTTACAAATATGAATAACTCTCCACTACAATTTTCAAGCAAAAAAATCATAATAAAATTATTTTAAGGAGAACGTTATTAATTATTAATTATCATATTATTTAAATTAAATACCAAGCTCTGACACAAATAATTTTTCGTTAATATGAATAGTTTCTTTGTGATAAATATAAACTTACAACGCCACAAAAAGAGTGGTGCTAACTGGAGAAGTCAACCCCACAAAGGAGAGCGTGGAATTGTAAAGTGAGTTGAATTTATAGGCCTGGAAGCCACTTTCATTTCATCACCACACTCCCATGCTTTTTGCCCTTTCAAAATTCCAATTATGCCAACGTAATTCACATTTCTCCGTCCGATGGCAGACTTTTTTTTAAAAAGGAAAAAAAGAAAAAAAAAATATAGGGAAAATTGGTATAAAAACAATCCTTGTTTGAAAATTTAATTGGCTAAAAAGGCCCTCCATTTTCTTTTGTTTACTTTTTTATTTATAAGACTTTAACACAATATTCGATTAATAAGAAATTTAATGCTCGGTCATTCGAATAAAAAACATTGGTAAGTGACACGTGAATTGTGGGCAATTTGATCTGATGGAAAGATATAAGAAATCAACTTTTACGGTTTTACCACAATGCAAAGCTATAATCAATATCAATCTTGTTTTAATTTCTTTTTTTTTCAATAAATTTCGTGAACTATATAAAGCAAGACCAAGCTAATTTGGAGGGTGTTTGGATAGAAACCAAACCATGGTTTCAGAAGTGATTTTACAATATACAAAGTAAATATGTGGAGGAATTTATCTCGATTTGTAGAAAAGTGTTTTTTAAAAACACTTCTTTTACCATCCAAACATCCCCTTGATGTGTCGTCGAAATCTAAAACTTATATATCCTTGATATTGGATAAGAAGATAAAGATTAATAGTTTGAAATGAATTAGAATATAATAAATTGACCCTCATCATCCACTTCACAGTTTAGAAATTTTATGAGAAAAGAACAATCTTATTGGGAATTATTGTGAAATAAACGAAGTAGATTGTAATTCATTTTTCTCAGTATTACTCTATCTTGTTGTACAATATAAAATGAATTGCTATTTTCATTTTCTCGATCTATATGATAACCTGATAAGAATGTCTCAAGTAATAATAACAACACCCTCCCCCAAAAAAAAAGTTGCAAGGCATCACAATTCATTCAATAGTAATAGAACAGTAATTGAAATCCGAGATTTGATTGGATTTGAGAAAATAACAAATTAAAGTTCTACAATTCACAACAAAATACTTTGATTTTGACAAGCCAGTCCTCTGTGAGCTTTTTTTTTCCTAAAGCATAGATATCTTTCTATTAGAAGTAATCTTATTTAAAGTACTATCAGGTACTAAATGTGAACACCTCTCTCAATGGAGATTCGATTTTTGTGAGCATATGTTTCAAGTGTCTGGGTTCTTCATGGCCCCATGGAAAACCCGAAAGAAATAGCGTTTGGGTTTCTGCACATCAACGTCTCACACTAGGCGGGTGTGCCAAGGATGTAAAAATGGAAAATGGTAGCACTGGGCCTCATCCTCCCGACGCTATCAATCCGATGATTTTTTTACTAAAACATAGGTTTCTTCGTATGAGAAGCAATCATATTCGAAGTACTATTAGGTACTAAATGTAGTTATCTTTTCCAGCCCTTTCTGCTAGACCTAACCTCTGTTGGTTTAATTTAATGGTTTTGAAAAAACGCAAGAAAGGATAAAAGCTTGGACTTTGAATTGCAATGGAGAAAAATGAGGAGGAGGATTTCGAGAATCTCCCCTATTCATCAATTATCATACAAAAATTAGCGTTTAAAATAACTAACAGCGTGTTTGGATTGTTGTTGGAGACTCTCAACGCGTATTGACAAGAGCTAAACATGCGGCGCAAAGAAATTTGATTTTAATAATTCGTTTGGATCAGCTATGTGTCAGATTAACTTCTGGAAGAAAAGCTCCTTCAACGCGTAAGTCATTTTCAGGAGCTTTTGGCATGCAAAACGTGGAGAGAGGAAAAGATGATAATGAGGAGAAAGATAATATTTAAACGAGTCCTATCTTCACTCAATAATTTGATTTTTCTAAAAAAAATTTTAATTATTTTAATTTATTATTTTAAAAATATATATATCAAATTGCAGGCATACGATGTACTACTTTTACTCCCTAATATAAGACATCAGACTAATTTGAACAGATTAAAGAGTTAAATAAATTTTAATTTTAGTTTTCATTATTATTTAATAGTTATCACATTAATATCATGTAATATAAACCACCACTCTTCAATAACATTTATGTCATTTTCAATCATTGTACATCTAAATTATTTTTTATTAATCATCCAAACAAGTTTTGATTTTTTCAATTGATTTTTTATAAGCATTAATCCAAACATAAATCATATTACACTAACTGATTTTTATTCTAACTTAAGTTTGTAAAAGTTAGTTAGAATAAAAATTAATTTTATCACTGCTAATCCAAACACCCTAAGCATGTTTGGATCAAAAGAGATTTTGGAGAAAACCATGATTTTCTGGGGTTAAAAATCTCTCTTAGGTTTTCAGACCTTGTTTGGCTACTCTGTTTTCGAAAAAATAGTTTGGGTCAAAATCTTGACTTTGAAAGTTCTTCTCATGAGCATACACTAAAAATGGCTTGAAAATCAGGTAAGCCGGCGTTAAATCCTCAGATAGTCTTGGTAACAGACAGTATGGGTTCTTGACATCTCAGAATGCAAAGCAGCTTGAGGCAAAGGAAACCACACAATTTGAGGCATGACCTAGAAGCAGGGTCGAGAGTTCCATTTCACTTTGTAATTCTAAGTATCAGATGATATGTTGGACAACATAACCAAAATCTTTCATCCTCAATTTGTCATCCCTGATATTTTTAAGCACATCACAGACGGAAAGAATTGTAGAACTATATCAATGTCACGAGGAACTTTTCAAAACAGAACATAATTCATTCAACTTTCATTAGAATCTGGCTCCCAATCATATTGACAGGGTAAGGAGTTTTGACACATAATAATGCATTGAGAACTTCCCTTGAAAAATACCTGCTAGCCTATTGCGAATATTCATTTCATTTAAACTGCAAACAGAGACTAATTATTTGGAATCCCAAGACACATCACAAAAACATGTGGAGATGCAATTCAGCCAGACTTTCGAATTTAATTTAGAGTAAGTAATTAGTTCTCTTTTCTTTTTTTTTGGGGGGGGGGGAGGCTATTATTACCCAAATCACAAATAGGCCCTGAATCTTTATCAAATGTTATTGTTATTAGCAATTCGGTCTAATATATAGTGCGGCACTTAAACATCTCACAAACTTCATATCTTACGAATTTTGAAGCCTTGCCGTTCAACATCGTGTCTATTTTTACCCCTTTTTAATCAGTCTTTATCTCTCAAAAGCCGTCTAGAAATGTAAGCACAATACCAACAAAAAGTAAGGCATGCAGATAAAGGGTTCTTGCCCGCAATCTTTTGACAAGGACCATGTCTAAGAAGAGCAAGTAGACTACAAAGAGAAAAAAAATACTCCGATTTTCTTGTAATCGAGTTAAAGATGGTGAGAATAAGTGAGCAAACTCCCTGCCAAAAAGGGGGGAAAAACGAGTCACCATTGTTTTAGCACGCAGCTATTTGAAATAAGGGTTGTTGAGAGATGGATGACGTATGACAGATACAATGGTGAATGCTGCTGAATAGTCATTGCATATTCAGCGAACATCTCTTGCAAGGTGTCAAGGCACCACAACAGATGTGCCACACACCTTGCCATGACCGCAGGGCAGGAAAAACAGTAATAATATTAGTAGGCATAATGGATCACGTAATGTTCAAAAGCAGCACTGACAAATGAAAACGCATATGGATCTGTCCGGACTCCAAACAGAACAGAGCACCTTCTCAAATGCTAGTTTAGATGTTGCGGGAGTAAAAGGCGGCAAGACTCTTTGGCATTTAGGCAATGTGCAATATATGATTATATTTGTTACTTTGCTGCATATGGAATTATGGATAGAGGAATACCAGAATTTTCTAAAGATTTCATGTTCTTAAGTCTTCAATGCTCACAAGTCATAAAACTATGACATTATAACATATTAAGAGATACCAATCATTGGTTCTAGAGAAATAATTACAAAAACAAACCACGCACGTTATGCCTCAAGAAGGGAAATTGACTAACTGATTCATTTGATACTCATCAGCATATCATATTTGAACATTATTAGATACAGGCTTGAGGTTTGTCAAAATGTATGTCAGTGAATCAGGCAAGGCTGGCTCCGAGGGTAGTTACGAAACAAAGATGTAGCAATACATACCTTAACTTCTATGCACCAAAGAATTTGAACATAGTTGTTGGTTAGGAAATATTTAATTTCCTTCTGTAATAATTCAAGTATAAACAGTAGAAAACACAGCACATGACCACATAGACGCTTTATACAGACCAAAACATAATCAAAAATTGCATGACACGAATATATATACACACAAGAATTTCCTGAAGTCCTGCGACAGGTTGTCATATTCACTTTATGAAGGTCAACCCTAACAACTATTCAAAGAAAGTTATTTCTTCTCCTTTCCTCTCAACCCAAAAAAGGAAAAAGTTATTTTCTATCATTATCAAACTTTTGCCTTCTTAAATCTATTTATTAAAGATTCTATGGACTTCTGAATTCTAGTTCCTTCTGTTTGCACTGCCATTTGAGACATATGATGTAAGTGCTCAATTCCCCGACCCAAACTGGCTATGGAGGGGGCTGCAGGTGCAGATTCAACAGCACACTCAATCCCATCTCCATACAATAGCAAGCCAGTGCATGTACCAACACTACCTACGAACGTAGCCCAAGGTAAGAACCCAACGGCCGCATCTTACGCTTCCTCATTATCTCATAGAATGCAGTTCTCATAGCTGAGACACTGGTTCTTTCAGCAGAGGCTATAACACTATGTGCAACAGCTCGAATTTTCTCAGCTGACAAAGTTGCCTTGAGGACACTAGATGTTTTGGCTCCGGAACTTGCAACCCCAGGAACCACAGCTTTTGATGGCCCAAGGGCAAATGCCAATGCTTTCTGTGTTTGGCTAAGAAAGAATTTGAGTGGAGTTGAAACTTTGAGAGTTACAAGCTTCATCAGAGTTGATGCCGGTACTGCTTTGCTCAGAGAGGAAGCCCCCAAAACTACTGTTGCTCCGGCCCCCATTGCCACCATAGGCTTCTCTGTCAATAATCGCCTCTTGTTGTTTTGATTTGAGGTAACCTTTTCAACATCACAATTTGTTACTAGTTCTTCAACCAAATCTTTGACTTCAGGAGGAAGAGGGGTATTCCAGTGTTTCCTAAGACCTGCTAAACCACTAGCATCGACTAGTGCAACTATGGTCTTATACTTATCAGTCTGACTACGAAGGGCCTGTGCAAAGAGCACATGAGACTGTTCCTCAACCGGAAGTTCTGAGAACTTGGTGTTGGCCATTCTAGAAATATCTTTCCTGTTAATTGGCCGTAAACCATTGTTATTTAGAGCCATTCTTAGCCCTTCAACTGCAATACGGAACCTGTAGACCTCAGATATAATTCTTGTATCAACAACCTCGCCTCTGCTGATATCTAATAGCATCTTTTGAACATTTGCTAGCGCTTTCCCAATTGATGGGAGATCAATGAATATATTGTGCAAGTCCTCAAGTAATGGATAGAGTGACTTCGCAAAAGCTGGGGCCTCATAATCACTACTCGGCTGAATTTCTATCGAATCCCGTTCTGAAACCGGAGGGGACTGACCAAGCAATTGTGGATCCATATAGAACGATAGGACTTTTACTAGTTGTGGTCGAACATCATTACTCAAGGAAAACCTCTTCAAAGTCAAAGGGGCTATAGAGGCACCTTTCTGAGGAACTAAACTACTAACGAAACTTTGGAAATGATTTACGGCATCGACTTCACCAGAAGGGCTACCCCAGGAACACTTCCCTAATGGCGATTCAAGCAAAATAAATGAGGATCCTACATCCTCTGCCGCTTTCTTCGCGGCTACCAAGTGTCCGTGAAAACTAGTCCCAAAAATCTTACGCAGCACAAAATTGCCTGCCACTGACTCATAATTCTCCTTTCCAATCTTGTCAATAAAACACCTTTTGATTACACCAAGAGAGGAAGTGGGCAGTGGGGCTGCAACACCATCTTCCAGTCCATTTTCTTCGGACGTGATTTCTGTCGCCAGAGAAAGATCCGACTGAACCACCACAGCGTCCGGTTTAATCTCTTTAATAAGACACTCAGCGTCAAAAGCCGATCGCTCAGACAAATTCAAAGCGGAAAGTATGTAAATTACGGATTGCGTTTCAGGATCCCGAACTGCAAAAACAAATTGTTTGGTCTGCTCAGGAATCGAAAGTTTGCTCACCAATTGCTTGGAAGCCCTCAGGTCATCGTTCTTGAATACCGAGAAAGGCCATAAATCTTGCAGACTCCAAATGAATGCAACCACCATCTTTCTGACATGCACGGAGAATTACTCGGGCGCGAGCGCACCGGCGACGGCAAGAAGAGGAGCAGCGACTTGACCAGCGAAGAAAATGAATGAAGCTTCCAGAAATTATTCGCTCCCCATCTGAAAATCTGAATTAACACCAAACAAAATCACCAGATCAGGACAGGAGATGATCGACGATGAATCACACTGCTGCGTCCGAGGAAGGAGCAGAATCTTCGAAGAAAAATCGAAGCTTTAAGGTTGAAGACGAAGGAGCTCACGACCTGGGAGGGAGACTCCGAAATAGGGAAAAAGGGGGAGGGGTTTCAGCGAACGGAGACGGCGGGAGAGGCGGATGAGAGGGTTCTGGACTTTTCGGAGCCAATTTTGTCTCGGTCGTGACACAGTGAATGCTTGCCCTCAAGAAGAAAACGAGAGGAGCAACTGAGCAAGAGGAAAATCCCAACTTGGGTGATTAATTTAAAAAAAAAACAAGAAAGCTAGATAAATTATTGAGTAAAAATACCACCAATTTTCTATTTTATTTAGTTACAAAGATCTCCTCTTTGTTCTGATAACATACTTTTTAGTCCATATTATTAATACCGTTAAATAATATTTTGAAAAGATTCTTTATATATATTTTTTAATTAAAAAATATTAGAATAAATCTTATTTCCCGCCGTACTGGTCATTATATTAAATATGTAGTTTATCTTTTAGTATTAATATTTATTAATAATCAATTTAATATTTTACTAAATTTAATAAATTAAAACATATCTTTATAATTTTATTGAAAATACATATATACAATTACAAAACATTTTTTACTAATATATATTTAAAAAATTACATCACAAGTAAGTTTAAATAAATAAACAAGATTTATTGTAGAATAAAAATTTGTATTTATAAAATTAACAAAATTTATAACATGGTAAACAATTCAATAGTATAACCAAAAAAATATTAAAATATTTATTAAAATTATTTTTTAATTTCAAATAAAGATGTGTGATATGTCATTAAATGATAATTATTAAGTAATATTTGTATTAAGAAAGGGTAATTTGGTCAAAATAATAAGTCAATCATATGATTTAATGATCAACTAATGGATGGGTGGATGGAAGTTCAATCTCAAGATTAAAAAGGAGATTTGTGCAATATATTTTGATTTTAAGAGAAGTTCGTATGAATTTTCGAAATAAAAGGGAGGTCTTCGTAATTTAGTTAAAGAGAGGGGAATTGGTGTATTTTACTCTAAATTACTTAATTAGAATACATGTTATATATGTTATGAATATACTCCTCTGATCCTTAATACAGGACCTAATTATTAAGTTAATTTAATCTAAATGTAAGACCCATCTCTCATATTTATTAATTTTTCTAAATTATCCTTCTAAATACTTCCTCAATCATAATCAAGTAGAAGAGAGAGAAAGGATATTAAGAAAGATTATTATGGGTTTTAGGAAAAATATGTTATATTTCTTATAGTTAAATAATTTACCTAAATTTTTTAATGTAATCAAATTAATTAAATATGTCTTATATTAAGACTGGAAGAGTAATATCTTTGTGGATATTTTATATCTCTATTATCTCTTATCTTTTCTATCGTCTACAGTATCTTTTATTATCTTTATATCGCAGAATTATTTTATGTTATTATCTAACCTGTAAATTTTGTTCAAGATGTAAAATTGTGTCTATAATAAATGTCCTGTGTCATATATTTAACACCTTGAATGGAATGAGAAATGTTCTTGTCTTCTCTTCTCTCTTATTCTCTAATCTTTCTTTAGTTTTATAACAATCTAATCTTAATTAGAACATATGTTATACAATCTTTTCAAATATTTATATATATCATTAGATTATATATAAGTGTTTATAAGTTAAGTAAATAAATTTTTGAAGAGAAAAGATAAATAAAAATACTTTAAAATAATTTATTTAGCTTATCAATTTTTTTAAATTAGTTGACTGAGTTTTATATTAAGCCTAGGTGATAATACTTATTTTAGCTTCCTTCATTTTTTTAAAAGAAGGATTTTATGTTAATTTTATAATTTTAAAACAAAATAAAGTTCTTCAATGTTTTATAACTAACATACCTAATCAAGAAAAAAGAGTGGGATCGAATCAACTAGTTTAACTGAAAAATTAGTAAACCAATTAGTGGTCCGGTCTAGTTTGATTGTTGAAAACCGATATTAACCTAGTTAAACCAGGAGTAACCCGGTGAAATTTCGTGTAAACTGATGAATCAGTTTGGCTTATTATATTATTATTAATTCTATTTTTTCTCATTCAACTTATAATATCCCAATCATTATAGATTTAAATGAATTTTAATTATAATTTGAATATTAATGGTTCTTGATTTTAGTTATTATGGAATCATAAAGATCAAAATCCTCAATATTATTGTACTTTATTATTGTTATAATCAAACTATTATTGTATTTTCTTATATTTTGTTATTAGTGATTATTAATGTTGTTGTATTTTATTATTCTTAATTAAATTATACTACTATTATATTAATATGAATGGTTTGATCTTGACTTGAACCCAGTCTGATTCACTGACCCTTAAACCACAACATCAACCGATTTGGCATGGATCCAATTTTTTTTCCTTGCACCCAATTATATCTTTGATAGAGATGAAAGGAACGGAAAAATCTAACAAATGCATTCATTATTATCCATTATTTTGAAAGAAATTTTATGTGAAATTTATAATATTAAAATAAAATAAAATTAATCCTCGAGATTTTTTTTTAACCTTTTTTCTCATAATTTTCGCTTTCATATCGTCTAGATAATAATTTTCTTGATGGTGGATACTTTGAGATCACAACCTTTGTCAACAGCTACAAACTTTAGGATGATGTCGAACCTTTTGCTGTGAAAATTCACTTTGACAACATGCAACTAAAGTTGAAGTTTCTTTTCTTTTCTTTTTTGGCTAAGACAAAAAAAGTTGAAGCAATTTTTCATTTTTTGGCTTTTCACTTTCTTGAAAAAAAAATTCAAATTTGTGAAACTAACTTTTTAATATGTCAAACTAATGTTTTTAATAAAAGCCTATCCAAATCTAAATAACATTGCATTAGTTGACTTGTACTTCATTTTCAATTTACAAAAATTATTTAAAATAAAATGATTTTTATCAACATTAATTCATTTATCAATGTAACCAAAGGGCGTTTTGTCCCCAAAAAAACTCTTTTGCACGATTAATTTCACAAATGTTGATGAATATTCAAGTTAATTTCACAAATGTTATCACAAATGTCTCAGGTTAATTACAGTGACTTTTACGTAAATGCTATCCATGTTCGGGTTCATCTGATATTCATGGCTCCTTATACTTATCAGAACTGATTTTCTTGAGCTCTACGGTTTTCTTGCGTTCTATTTACTCACACACCCCATAATGGTTTAGGTTAAGAAAAAGACTATGACAAACCAAGCTTAGACTAACTTATCATTAAATCGGTTTGGTCTGTTTCTATTCCTACTTGTTAGAACTAGTTTTCTTATTTTCTATTTATACACAAACCCTTGCTTCAGAACCTTTCTTCTTCTCTTTTTATTCTCTTTCCTTCTCTTCTTTTCTAACCATTAGATTAACATATTTTAATGGTTTAGGTTTTAATTTTTTTATAAATCATTTATAAAAAAATTTTAAAAACATTTAGTACATTTACAAACCATTAGAATTAAATTTTAATATAATTTATAATTTACAATTCATTTATTTTTATAATTTAATATTTTGATAATAATTTAAAAAATTTAAATTTGAATTGTTAAAATATTAATCTAATAATTAAAAAAAATGAGAAGAGGGAAGAGGACGAGAAGCAAAGAGAAAATTTCTGAACCGAGACGTCTCATGACATTACATAAAGATTGATTCTTGATTCAGAAAATCACATCTTTAAGTCCAATGTTCTTTTTCTTCCCTTGCGACTTTTCTATGTACTCCTCCGGTCCTTAATATAAGACTCAATTGGTGAGTTGGTTTTGGTCCTAAATATAAGACCCATTTCTCATATTTATCAATTATATCTAAATCACCCCTATGGATACTCTTTCAACCATAATCAAGTAGAAGAGAAAGATGGGGTGTTAAGAAATATGATTATGGTATTTTAGGAAAAACGTGTCATATTTCTTATAATTAACTAATTTACCTAACTTTCTTAATCTAATCAAATTAGTAAAATGGGTCTTATATTAAAAATCGGAGAAGTATTTTTTTACCAGAGTTCCATGTATAGGCTATAGGTTGTTCTCTGCCCTCCGCAGTGCTACAGGAAATCGCTGCAACCGACGTTAAAACCTCCGAGGACTTGGGATGACGCAAAAAAATTGCACCAAACAGGAATCCAGGTGGAAATCGTCAGTTGACTTCTTCACATAACATAGTACTCAAAAATGAATGCGACCTTCACGTGAAATGCAATTGTCTTTTCCCCACTGAGTTGTACTCACTGAGCTTCAGGCCTTTCTGATCCAAGTACGCATCACTCTTCTACGAATTTTCCACATTTCCTATCAAGCTTTATGATGATGTCTTGGGGATGAACAAGCAATAAGCAGCTGGTCCGAAAAAACAAGCAATAAACAGCTGAATTATGAGCCCCCATAACTTCCAAAAGAATCCATTTCATTGCAAAGTGAATACAGCATACTCCCTCCAGTCTTATTTATAAGATCTTATCATTATTTTATTACCTCTAGTTTTTAATATTAGAATTAATTAGATAATTACATTTAATACTAAATATAATATCTCAATCACTATCAAAACATTTTTTTACACCGCCTAATCTGTGTTGTATATTGTGACAACAGTGTAAAAAAGTAGCCGATGACATTTTTGTAAATATCGATATATTTTTAAATTAATTCCATATACAACTGGTGTAAAATATACTTTTTAAACCAGTTATTTGTGCAATGGGTATAAAAAATATTAAAAATATATTTTTAAAAAATAATATATATAAGTTTTTATACCGGTTTCTTATATAATCAATCTAAAGTATACTTTCTACACCATATATTTATTACAACCGATGTAAAAAGTTTATAAAATATTTTTTTAAAAAAATAATATTTATAAGCTTCTAGAAATTGATTTAAAACCTAAAGGTTTAACTTATTTCATTTTGCAGCTACCTCTTCTAAACCAAACTTCATTTTCTCATAATCTCTTTAAGTTCTCGCAATCTCCTTTCTATGCTTCATTCACAAGTAACATCAATGCTAGTCCTCTTCTTCATGCTCTTCTCATTTGTGTTGTGACGTCTTCTTCGTGCTTGTCTCCTTTATAGTACGTCATCTTCTCTATACTCATCATCTCTTTAAGGTTCATTAACTTCTCCACAGTCATCAAATAGAGATCCATACTCACAGCATCCAAATATGTACCTATCCATTTAGATCTATGCTCACGGCGTTAAGATTTGTTCTTATTGCATCCAAATCCCTACTATCTCAAGCTCTTATTATGTTATCATCCAAATACTCATATTTGCTTAGAATTGCACTCATCTTCATTGCCTCTATATTCGTTTTATGTTTATACTTTCTTTTAATTTGCCCTTTTAATAAATAATTTGGAATTTTTTCTAACAAGTATATTTTTATTGTATGAACCGATATGAATCAATATCATTTCTAAAAAAAATTGGCTAGTTTTTTTTATAGTCTCATTAGATCTTATTGTTTCTATTTTTATGCTATTTCTTATTTTCTTAGATGTTGAACTATTGGTTGTGATGTTATGAGATCTGGATTTTATGAGATATGATAAAATTTCAGAAGAAGCTGTGATTTAATTGTAGCTTCTTTTGGGATTTTAACTAATTTTCTTAATACCACATTTAGTCTTTAATATAAAAGCCAGTTGACTAATTTGAATAGATTAAGAAAGTTTGTCAAATTAGTTATTTGTATTAAATAGTTGTTGTATTCCCTTTGCTAATTATGTAAAACTACTATTTGATGATAGATTATTTAACATGTACAACTATTACAAGGATTATTTGAAAAAAAGAATGGATGAACATGAAAGATAAAGTGGATTAGGTCTTATATTTTGGACCAAATTGAAAATCAAACTAGCTCTTATGTTAAAAAACTAAGATAATATTTTCAAATTAGTTGTTTAGCTCTTACATTAAAAATTAGAGGGTAGTACAATACAATGTCCTTTACAAAATTTAATGAAACCACATTCATACCATACTTTTGGAAATACCACTGTCTGTTTCACTCTTGGCTTTTCCATCATACCCATATTTTCACCCCCAACTAACAATACGTGCCAATCAAAAGGTTGTTACAATTTTTAGTCCTCATATTTAACCATCTTTAACTAATTTATCTAATCTCGTAAAATTCCTTAATAGAGTTTTATAAAAAGGACTAGAGAAAAGTATTGCATAGTGCCTAGCATTTATTGGTCTACCATATATAGGCCCCCTAATGAAGGCCCAATCAACATATCCATTTCTATTGCTTTCTGGGCTTCCTCAGCAAGTTCATATTCAACCGACAATACAAATGGTTAATCAGCAGATTGGATTTCTCATAATACGACAAATTAATGCTTAAATTTCATTAAAAAAGATGCATGTATTTGATGTTCGATAGTATCTCAAATATGATTATCTTCATTAAAAGTAAGGGAAAAAACATATGCATATGGTTGGTTTATTATTTTCAGAAAAGCTTTTGAAAACAATCAAATGTAATAATAAATAACAGTCACATTTAATGATTATAACTAGTTCTAAAATAATTAATGTTTCCATTAAATTTTTACACAACAAAACACGTTTTATAAAGTTCATAAACTATATAAAAATAATTATTTTTAATTTAAATAAATAGGTTTTTAATTGCAAATATCATAAGCTCGATTATTTAAAGGATAAATTATACGAAATTAGATTTTTTTTATTCATGCCTTTTTTGTTGGCTTAAAGGAAAGGTTCATGTGTTATTTGATTTCTGAAATTCAGAAACTTAGTTGAAAATCACAAACAATGTGATTGTAAATCATAAATGTCCAATTATTTTGACTAAAACTTTTGATGCGTGTAATTCAACTTCCTGTTTTTGCAACTACTGATCTTTAGAAGTCATCATATCCTCAATCAAATAGGGGTATGTTCACCCATCATTTTCTTAAAAATTAACCAAATAAGGCCGGTTTCCTAATTAAGGGCATCAAGTGTGATTATTACTCCTAAGTGGGTATTTATTTGTGATTTTGGCATTCTGAAGTGACATGATTTTAGATTTTTCGGCTTTGACTTTGTCGTGATGCGATGGGATTGGGGTCAAAGGAGACAGGAGTATGTGTTGTTCTTCCCCTAATGCCCAGCAACTTGCTCTCCTGGGCCTGCCTTCGTTTAGGCCCAACAACTTGCCCACCTTTCTTTCTTTCTTTGTCCATATCAGCAAATTATTTTCTAGGGCAACATATGATTAACGATTCATATGAAAATTTTTGTTTTTAAGAGAAATTTTATAATTTTAGCCATGAAAGTCTCTTAAGAAGTAACCAGTCAACTTAGAAGGTGTTTGGTAATATAAAAGTACTTTTTAAAAGTATTTTTTTTCTTAAAACGATATAGATTTTTTCATATATTTACTTCATATAACGTAAAAATATTTTTAAAATCACAGTTTGGTTTCTATCTAAACACTCTTTTAATCCATGTTTGGATCTACATTTTCATCTTTAAACACACGATGAAAAGCTGAAAATGAGTTATTAGTACATTTTACATATGTTTAGATTAACTTTTGATCAATTGGGCTTTTAGAGTAAAAAGTGGTTTAAAAGTATGTCATGGAACTGCTTTTAAATTATTCACCGTAGAAAGAGAAAAAAAAAACCATGAAAAAAGGAAAAGAGTCTTGAAGTGCACTCTACCTTGCTTTAATAAAAAAAAATCATTTTAAAAGATCCAATAATTTGATGTTTATAAAAATATTGATGAGAAGAACCTGATAAATTTTTATATGCACTAGGTATTCGTAGTTTGAGAATTTTATGCATATAAAATACTAATATTCTGATTTATATCATTCTCACCAATTAAATTTTTGATGAGAGGCTTTTCCTCAGTTTTTCCTAAAATTTAAATAAGATAAAATAAATTTATTTTTCTTACAGCTAATCTAAATACAACCAAATTTCTACCTTTATAAATTGACTTATATATAGAAATCAATCTAAATATAAATTATATTACGCAAACTAACTTTTTAATTTTAAATTTATAAAAATCAAATGAAAAATAAGTCATTTTTCCATCCAATTCAATTAGGCCCTTAATATTGCCTTGTGCATGAAAATCTAACCAACTCTTGCATCACATTTGATCTTGCATCACATTTGATTAGGTTATATATGTCATTACAATGATATCATACATTATATAAAATTAATAATGATAATAAACTAAATACAAAATGATATTAATTAGACAAAATTTTAATCAAATCACTAATAATTTTATCTAGTTGATTTAACTTGTTTTGAGAGTTGAGTCTCAAAAGTTCATTTTACCATTCAACTCCACATCCATGATTATATTTATAAAGATATTTTTAAATTATTGTTATTTAATTAGAGGAGAGGTGCTAATTACCTAATATTAAATCGTAAAAAGATTATAAACGTCATAAGTTTATAAGGTCATTAATAATTTTTAAATTACACATTAATACGATTTTCCTTACGTAGAATTAACTTTACTTTTTATAATGGGGGACAGATTGTTAATAAAACAAATATTTAAATTCAAATATTCTTTTTCTTGTTATTATTATCAATCATTGATCATTGATATACAATGATGATTTTAAACTTTTGTTTGATGTACTTTTACTATTAGCATATTTAAGTAACCTTTTTTTTATTCAAATTGTATTCATTTTTTTAATTTCTCAAAATTTCATTTCATAACTAATTTAATCTTTTAAAAAAATTAAATTAAGTATTTAAATCTCTTATTGCGTCGTTTTCATCCTTCCCTCACATTTCCATACCAGCATTTCAAATTTCGAACAATCATTTATATAAATATACGCATATAATGAAAATAACAATTATTATTATCCTATTATACCCTGAAATGATTACTGTTTTCTTTTACAGAACATACGCAAAATGAAAATTTCCACAGTTACCACTATAAAATTCTCAGCATGATCTATCGATGAAGAAGATGGATAGGTTGTTGGCGCTGCTGGGAAGGTTGACGATTACCTGGATCTGAAATCTACCGCTATCTTTGGGAGGATAGAGTGAGAGATTACAGAGGGAGAAAGAGACAGAGAAGAGTGAAAGAGTGAAAAGAGTGAGTAAGAGAGTGAGAGTGTGTTTGCAGTAGCCACCAAATCCCGCTCGTTAGACTCCAAAATCTACTGCTAGCCAGATTATCAGTGTTCTTCGGCGGAATACAGTCCCCTTCTTGAACCCCTCACTCTCACATTACATTACCCACCGCCACTACTCTACCATTTCCCTCTTCTCTCCCTGTGCAACTCATGGATTCTTATGAAGCTACGAATATAGTGCTCACCAAAATCAAGAATCTTGACCCCGAAAATGCCTCTAAAATCATGGGTTTTCTACTCATTAGCCTAGAAGAGAGTGAATTGGTACAATTGTGCTGTACTCCTGACCATGTTCTTCGCTCGCTAATTCTCAGGGCCAAGTCCCAACTTGGTCTTTCGAGTAACTCCTCGACTTCCTCTGCTATCCCTTCGCCTCCCTCTCCTCTTAACCCCATAGCCAGACCTACTACTAGCAACCCATTTTCGCAGTCGTCGCCGAGAATCGGTGACAATGGTTTTGACTTCAGTAGGAACCCATCTTCACCGTCTTCGCATTCTTGGGTATTTTCTGGGTTGCCGAACAGCCCCATTAGCCCAAACTCAAGCACTTTACTCTCCTATAAGAATATACGTGCTGGGTTTCCGAACGACCCCACTAACAATGTTAAAGACTTCGTTGATGAGCACCAAATGAACGATTACTTGTCCTTTCTAAACGAGTCCTCCTCTAAGAGTGAGGATTTTGTCGATCCGAGGCTTCAACCGGGACATGGGGTTAACAATTGGCAATCTGTCAACAATGGCGATGTTGTTCCTTTTCATAGGAGGTGTTTCTCGGCGAGCGATGTGTGTTTTGACCCTGAAGAAGCAGGTCCGGGAATTGGGCATAAGCTCTGCCTTTATTATGCGAGGGGCCACTGTAAAAATGGCAGCAATTGCAAGTTTGTGCATGGCGTTTTGCCAGATTCACTGGATGCTCCCATTGTTGGTTCTCCAAGTAGGTTTGAGGGGTTCGAACAGCGTGAGGAGTTTATGAGATTGAAGGCCTTACGGCAAAGAATGATGACTTCATCGCGTCTCACGGCTGGGGTGTCACCTTCTTCACACGATCAGTACTTGAACTTTTTGATGCAGCACCAAAATGATCCTCAAAGCCAGAGGTCCACTCTTTCTATGTGCAAATTAGGAACATAATTTCTTTCTTTTCATCCTGTTTAGTGTTATTTTTATTTACTTAATCCTGGATGTGTTGTGACGCTTCTCAGAGCCGCAGCGTCATTAATGATGGGTGAAGAGTTTATCCCCTTTGGAAGAGGCAGGCCGGAAAGGAATGACTTTTCTGCTATGATATCAGCAGAGAGACTGAACTCTGCTTCCAGACAGATTTATTTGACATTTCCTGCGGAGAGCACGTTTAAAGATGAAGATGTTTCAGATTACTTCAGGTGTAGCATGCTTACTCCACCTGTAATCCCGTCATGTCAGTGAAGTTGATATCAAGGTTGAAATCGTTTGAAAATTTTTAAAATATAATATAATGGCTTAGAGACATTGTAAATTCTATGAGAAAATGCGGTGCCATTGAATCATGCAAAATATATTGCAATCTGTTATAGAGGCTATGAAGCACCTATAGTTCATAAATGGAGCCATATCTGTATGCGTCTGACACTATCAGATCGGGGACAGGTGTAGTTGCACTTAATCATTATACATCGTGTCACAGTATTCATGCTGTGTTGTCTCTCGTGGCAACCTTTACTGTTGTTGACATCGGTGAGCCCCACATGTTTTCAAATGCAAGACTCAAATTGATTCTTTTAGTGTGAATGTGTGATCATGATTCTGGAGTCCTAGTGAGTCGGGAGTTTTCCACGACTCTAGTATTGTTTTTCAGAGCAATGCTAGTCTCTTTTCTTATACGTGATGTGAGCTTGCTTAAGAGTATGCATGGACATCAACAACTGAAGAACATAAGATTGGTATTGGGAGAGGGAACAAAAGGGGCAGGGGTATCCTGAAATATGTTGTCATCTCTCCAAGTCATGCGTTTTGCATCTATTCTTGGGGTTTATTTTTTTTATCAAGGTATGTAGTTTGCGGAGCACAATCCTTATGTGTCTCTCCCATTTGGAGATCGAATCCATTGTGAACTTTTCCAGGTATCAGTTTGCAGTTTTTTTCCTCCCTACGAGAGAAAGCAAGTAATTTAGGTTTACTCTGATAAGAAAATTGCCAAATATAAAGTCCTTACCGTGCATATATTTTTCTATGGAAGGTTGAAAATGTAAAAGGTACTTCTTGTCTTGATTTCCATGTTATAGACTTCGACTACCTAGAGTTTCCATTCAGCAGCATGCACAATGCACATTGTCCAGGGTCTTTTCAGCTTGCCAGTCAAGTCTACGTTGAAGTTCAATTGGCATGAAAGCTCTCTCAACTTGACTAGTTAATATGATCTGTTGAGACTAAAAATACACAACAACGAATTGTTTGGATGATATATTTAATTCCTTTGTTTGCTCTCTATCAACGTGGGCTACCATTCTCATTGCTCAAGCTGTCAAAGCAGTAGAGAATGAGCAGTCCAAGTTACAACGGTGAATATATGATGTTATTCTTCAGTTTCTCAGAAGATATGTCCTCTAACTGACCGATAACCCAAAAAACAGGCTGTACTAATATTGGATATGAATCTGATACTGATATTTGCACCGTATTTTCATAATTTATATTGCCATTTTTTTTTCCCATCTGGTACATATTGAAATAGCTCGAGCTGCCAAGGGATCATAGTAATATAAAGGTCAACATTTATTTGGGTTGGAAACTAGATCTTTTATTTGTTTTATATTTTTATCTTTATTTTTGTGTGGACATCTTATTTTATCTTATTTTACATTTAAAATTTTTTGTTTAATTCTCGATATTCTTTTATGTTGTTTACTTTTTGATGTTTTAATTGGGGGAATACACTCGCACGTGCACTCTCACAACCAGTAGTGCTTTAGCTCTTACTGCACGACAATGTCAATATCAGTAAATGAGACTATTGGGATGCTTTTATTTATGTAGTTGCTTTCTTCTAGATGGTAGCCAGCTGGTGATACATAATGACTCCAAGTCCCACAGACAAGATGCATGGCTTAAAACTGCACACACTATTTCTCTGATAATTTGTGATTCATTTTAAAAGAAGTATAGTTGGTGAGATTTTGGAAACAATGGGTCAAAGCCTGCAATTAAAGATTTTATGATTAGAGTCCTTAATAGTTACAGCCTTGGAAGTTCAATTTAGAACTCTGGTATGTTTCTCTCAACATTCATTTTAATGCATATTTAAGTAAACAAAATAATCTTGTGCGATCCATATAATAGATCTCATTTGGTAGGAATGTGGGATAATGCTTGTTGTTGTTGTTGTTGCTACATCTAGGTAAATAACCATATTTTGTCTTGTCAATGGTTCACTTCTAATAAAGCGGCCTTGTTTGTTTTATTTATGATCGTCTGCCTGCCTGTAAATCCTAATCGAGAATTTTCATTGAATTGGCTCCTTTTTGTTATTGAAGCCAATTTGGCCCTGTGCAAGATGTGAGGATTCCGTACCAGCAAAAGCGAATGTTTGGCTTTGTTACTTTTGTCTACCCAGAGACTGTAAGAGTAATACTAGCCAAAGGGAACCCGCATTTTATCTGTGATTCGCGTGTGCTTGTCAAGCCCTACAAGGAGAAGGGAAAAGCCCCAGAGAAGTATGAGCTTGTGATTTTCTTTTATTGTCCAATTGTTTATATCTTCTTGTTCGTATTATAATATCATGGGTCATGTCTGATTGATGTAGGAGACAGCAACACCAACAGCAGCAGTTTGACAGGGGAGATTTTTCACCATCTTTGAGTCCTATGGGGTTTGATTCCAAAGAACCTTATGATCACGTTGGTAATTAAAATTCTTTTTTGCATTACATGGTCATGGAAGAATGAGTTCTTAAAAGAAAATTTTCATTGCATTTTCGATCTTCTAGAACACCCATAAGTTGTGCGGGAAGCTACTTCCATAAGGAGTTTAACGTGCTTCCATTTTGGCTTAATCAACTCTTTGCTTCTCCGCAGGAGCAAGAATGTTCTATAGTCCACAGGAGATCCTTTTAAGAAAGCAATTGGAGCAGCATGAGTTGCACAAAGCCATTGAACTTCAAGGGAGAAGGTTGATGAATCTGCAGCTTCCAGACTTCAAGAATAACCCCATACACCATCACCATCGCAGTCTCTCTGTTGGTTCTTCTCTGCCCTTACCACAACTTAATAGTAACATTAGTAATGCAGTTCTTACTCCTGATAGCATTAAGGGAGATGTTACAGGTTAGACAAATTGATGTTAGCTATGTGCTGTAAAATTTCTCTTGAAGCAGGTCCGGACACTCTACCTTGTCGTGATGTATTTTTTTGCAGGCTATAGTGGCACCACGGCTCCTGCTATTTCTTTACCTACTGCTACTTCTCTTTCTGACATGCAGCAGAAACAGGAAGATCTTAGTCCACCTGACATTCATGATAATGTAGGTGGAAACAAAAAGGATGACCCAAATACGGAAGTCTTTGGTAAAAAGTATGGAGCTTCACTGTTCCTGATTTTATTTCCTTCTCCATTAGGTTTCTGAACTCTGTCTAGCTTTCTAATATTCTATGCTGTTTCATCTCTGCGTTTCGTGAACTGTGGGGTAGTTTGGAGCAAGTGCTTCCTGATAGCCTATCAGCATCTCCAACAAATGCAGCAGGAGGTCTGCCCGACTCATCCGCGTTGCCTGAGTTCAATGAGAGTGCCGCTATCTCGACTAGCTCATCTCCTCATAACGTAGAACCATCCTCTAAGTCTGCTGACATCTCTTCTCGTTGATTTCCATTTGAATTTCAGGTATTTTTCAGTTGCAGTTTGTATGCCATATTTTCTACCATAGACATAAGGTTTAAATCCTTCTGACAAGTTAATAAATCTTAGATTTCGCATTTTAGGCAATAGAAATGGCCATCAGGGGTTGATTTATATTAGGGTAAGCTCTCTCTGCTGTTTTCATTCCTTGATTGCTTTCTTTTCAGTGGATTCTCCTCAAATTTTGGTTCCTGATCTATAACATGGTTCTCCTTTTCATGGTTGTCTGCAACTCTACAGATTTATAGAAGCATACAGAAGAATCCTCTAGATGTATAGCCGAATACAACCAGATCAAAGACTAGATCGTTAGATATGATTCAAGGCAATACATACTACTAACAGCCAGTGATACATATTCCATACTTGGGCAGCCATGTTAGCTCTTAAGCAATTTATCTTTCCTTCTTTTCCCTTTTCAATCACTGTTCCCTTCCCAAACAGTTTCTGTAGGCTTGCTTGATCAGACTGGCATAGAAATGTACTCTACATTTACCCCTAATGTAATATATACAGCTCTTTTTCATCCACATTTGAGTTTAATCTAGCTTGTGAATGATCACACACGATACAGTATTTGAACCTTTTAGCAATTTTTTTCCTTTTTGGATTTAATACTACGTGGAAGTTTGAATCCTTTATAATGCATTTAAAGGGAACTACTAATTAGGGGAATGGGGCTGTTGACTAAATCCGGAAACCTGAAAAGCTCAGTCTGACCTGATGATGTCCTAAAGAGAAACATCACATTGTTCTTCTGAGACAAGCCAGGCAGGACCAAGGACCTCTGATGGATAAAACCAGTTGTGGTGCAGTTCACTTTCTGAACCAAGCGCAACCCTTTACATTAGAGGGATAAAACCAGTTGAGCTATAATTCACTTCTGAAAGAGATATGAATATTAGTGAGATAGAAAAAGAAAAGCGAAAAATATTGAAATGGCTGGGTGAGAAATTAGTCTTTCCAAGTGGATTCAATCTTAGTCAAAATATTTATAATTATCAAATATTGTTACTACATTAGTACTATGTCAATGTTATATACTGATGTTAATTTTTGAAGTTTTTTATATAATTAACTTTTTAAGAGATTTGTCAAAATGTATTACAATTCCTTCAATTCTTTAATATAAAAAAATTACAGTCCTAAATCGACCATAAATATAGAGAACAAATTGTATGCTTTTTTTTCAAATTATTATTTTTATTAGCAGATGTATTTTCTTATTAAAAATTTGTTTGAGACACTATAAGATATCATATATAGGTAGTACTCTCAACGAATTTTGAATGCACTCTTTTCCTTGCACTCAATTCTTGTTCATTTTTAAAATTATTATTTTTAATACTATCAAATAATATGAAGGAAAATTAACAAACCATGTACACTTCTCTGTGATCTCAGGATAATATCACCTTACCCTTTTAATTAAAAAAAAAATACAAGAGAAAGAAGGAAAATGATAGGCACATGAGATGAGACCAGGAGGTTTGTTTGGGAGGTAGTGGGCAGGGGCAGAGGGAGGTCCACATGTGGGGGAAGGCGTTCAGGTGTGGTCACATGCTGCTCTGACAATTTATCAACAAACGTACATCCACCACCACACTCCTTTCATTTTCAAACTCATTGCATTCAAGTACTTCTTTGTTCCTCTTCTCCTTTCTGTTTTTTCTTCATTTGTTGTTGTTTTTTCGGGATTAATATAATTTTTAATTTTTTAAATTTAGAAAAAATTGTAAAAAAAGACTTTAGAATTATGAAAACATAGATAGGGACCATTGATAACTTCACTATAGCTTTTGACAATAATAATATGTCATGGAGTTGTCAAAATCCAAAGTGAAGTTGTCAAGGGTCCCTATTTGTGTTTTTACAATTCTAAAGTCTTTTTTTTACAATTTCCCCTTAAATTTATTCTAATTTTAATTTTAAAGTGTTTGGTTTTTAAAATTTCATTTTATGTAAAATATTTGTTTTTATAATTCAACAAAAATATAGACTATTTTACTCTTAGAGAGAGTAAAATATATAATTTAAAATTTAAGAGATTAAAATTAAAATAAACACAAATTTAAGGAACTAAACCTTATATTAACCCATTTTTTTAAGCTAGTCTATAAATAAAAAAATTAAAAATATTTTTCCTGAACCAACCAAAAATCCATCTATATTGTGAGAAATACTTACATAGCCCAGAATATCAACTCATCCCAACTCTGTCCAATAAAAATGCTCCAGCTCAATTCATTTCACTCCACATGTCAGCCTATTCATTTATATTACTCCCTCTCTTCCTTATTATAAAAGACATTTGATGTTTATGACATGTTCCTATATATAAGAGACACTTAAAAGTTGTTTCTACTTTTTTGTGTTGATTTCCTATTTTACCCATATTTATTATTTTCAACTCACACTCTCTCTCCTTCTCACTTCTCTTTTTTTTTTAATAATTTAATTGTTCTCTCTCCTGCTTCTCTCCTTATTAATGAGGGCATTTTTGAAAAAAAATTATATTTTTTACACATTAATTGTTCTTAACTAATTTTAACTATTTTTTTATCAACGTATTTCGGTTATTTGTCTCTTATAATAAGGAACAAAAAGAATAGCTTGTTGTTTTTTTTAAAAAATAAAAATACTTATGTTTTGCAATTTCCCTTAGTGCCCTCTTCCCTCTTCCCAGTCCCCCTCCCCTGCCTCCCACTTGCGCCTCCAAACCCTTCCCCCTCCTCCCTTCGTTGAGAAAAAGAGAACGCCAACGAAAGGGAGGAGCTAAATGCCTTTAAATCAAGAGCTATGAGGTACGACTGGTTTGGAGGCCGCTTGAGAGCATTAGGGGTCGTTTGAGCATTTAATTCATCGTCCTCATCCTAGACGACAAGGGAGCCGATGAGGACGCGAGATGGTGACGAGAACCAAAGAGGAGGAAAGCTGAGCCAAAGGACAAGCACGCGACTAGAGGGAAGACGAGTTTGGGGAGCGATGCAGATAGACCAGTAGAGAGGAGAGTGGAATAGTGGATTGATCTGACTCGCGTTTGAGAGGTCGCAGCTACTATTCATCGTCTTCTCCATCAAAAGAGACCATAGCTGAAAGAGGCAAAAATTATGACTAGGCTTCTTCTAAAGGAGCTGTCGCTTCGATTGTGTCTCAGTAGAGAAGAGAGGAGAGGAGAGACAAGGTAGAAAATGGGGAAATGAAGGGACGAAGGGAGAAAGTTAGGTGACGGAACGAAGAGACCAGAGAGATGAAGCCATGGAGTGAGCCGTAGGGGAGAGAGCAGTACAGGAAATTAAAAAACAAAAATATTTTTATTTTTTAAAACAACAAATTAGTATAAGTGAGTTGGCTAACATGTTGGATTCAAATTAATTGTGCTGGAGCATTTTTATTGGACAGAGTTGGTATTCTCAGAATACCTAAGAATTTGTTCCGTATTGTAACTTTAAATATAGAAAATTAGTTGAAGTGTTTGCTTTAATTTCAAAAATAAGATCTTCGATTCTCAAATTTCATAATTTGTTTATGAAATCATACGAAAAAAATGTTAATGAGATAAAATATAGGAGGTATTTTTAAAAAATTGATATTTTTATATATTTATTTATTATAAATAATTAATTTAATTAAAGCCTTACTTTTTAAATGGAGTGTGGAAGATCCAAAGTCGAAAGTAGCGGAGACACAGGGGATTTCTGATTCCAATGTCACCCTCGTCTTTCTATTTTTGTCCTTTTCTCCTATTTACTTTGGGCCTGTTTGGATGCTTCAAAACCGTGGTTTCAGAAGCACTTTTTCACAAAATGAGGTAATCTCCTCCATATATTTACTTCGTAATTCGTAAAAGCACTTCTGAAACCATGATTTGGTTTCTATCCAAACACTCCCTTTATCCAGGTTTATTCCGAGATGAGTAAAAGTATTTTGTCGGTGGTTTATTTGGTAGTGTCAGTTGAGAACTTTTGACAAGCTTTCTTTTCTTAAAACGTTTTCTCTAATACCAAGAGGTTTTCTTTACTATTTAAAATAAATAACTTATTTAATAAAATAAGTAATTTTAAAAAAAATTTTGGTTAAAAAGATAATTTATTAGACCAAGTAAAACGACACATAAACTATTGGTTTCTTCACATGATAAATTCTAATCAAAGTAGGACAACCCAATTAAAAACTAAAAAGAAGACAGAAAACAGCAACATGATAGACATTAAAATGAAAAAGAGAAGAACTTGCAGGATCATGATCCAATAATGTCTTTTTCCCCCCAATAAAACATCTTCAAGTAATAATAAATTAGTGCCCCCAGGAAAAAAGAAGAAAGGAAATATTGATTTTCCAAAAGGTCGAATGAAAAGGCTTTTCTACTCTTTGCCAACATGTGATTATTTTCTAGATATACCCAACAATTTAATTTTACTTTATTTATAGTACATCTAGCACTCTAATAGTATTTACCCAACATTTTTAGTATTTTAATCTTATTTATGATACATTTATCATCTCAAATCATAAATAAGATCAAGGTATTGAATGTAACTAAAAAATATTGAATGCATTAGAAAAATAACATCAAATTCTGGATATACCGTAAACAAGATTAATATTTTGGATGAGTGTGAAAGATAATATTAAAATGTCGGATGCTATTTTACTTTTTTTCTTTTTTATTTTCAAAGGAAAAGAGGTGTTTCATTAATGAATGAAATTGCAAAGACATAAAAAGGCAAAGGAATTTTATTTATTTTCAAATGTCTACCATACTCAAATCATTCTCATCATATGATTTATATATGCTTAATATTATCTTTATAACAAACTAGACATATGTTTAGTTTTGTGACACTAGTTGATAGATTATTTGAATAATCTTATTGTCCCTTGTTTGGAAAATTGGTTATTTATTGTCAACGATGGAAGCAATTTATGCATTTTCCGTGCCATAATAAAAAGTAATAATCATTTGAATGGGCTAATAAATCCTATCTCTAGGATGTTGCATACAATGCTGTCGTGCGGATTATGATTAAAATACATGACACTATACTGAGTATAATAATTAGCCACATTTCCCATTTCAATATTCAAAGATGCAAAATAATCAATTAAGCCAGTACTCAAGAAATGAATTAAATCAACTGTGAGTTCACCAAAAATTAGGTCAATTACTTCTCTAGTTTTATTTATAGGGAAAAAAAGTGCTGAGGATTTATTTTAAGTTTTCAACCAACTAAAATGTGTTTTAAAAAATTTCTTTCTAGGTAAATGAAAATTTTTTGTATTCAAGTTCTTTTGGGTTTATTTTCGTTGGGTAGTTATTTAGGTAGGGTTTTAATTTTTAATCGCACCCTGCAGTCTAGAGTAAAGTGGGGGATCATCTGCAGCAGATTGCTACGATTTCATCGTAATTTCGCATCTGGATTGCCCCTAACAGTATTTGAATTGCGAGAGCGAAAGAGCTATCGACCTGGATTTATGAACAATGAACAGAATTAGGCCCAGACTGTTCATGTTTGGGAGGGAGTTGCATACGCGCTCGTATGATGGCCCCTCGGAAACTTTGAAGAGGAAGGTGGCCGAATTGGAGAAAATAAGGAAGATGAGGACCTCAAGAAAGAAAGACCAGTTCTTTGTGGAGGTTCCCGAGTCTAAATCATTCCTCGACACTGCCACAATGCCCATGATTCTTGCTGCGGTTGGAATCGCTCTCTTTGCCAAGCTCCTCATGATGGTATTCCTGACTTGTGCTTGCGAATCCCATTCTCCTTTCTTCCTCCTCCTCTTTTTTTTTTTTGAGCCATTGATAGTCATAACTCATAAATGGTAGATGCTCAGATGGAGATGCTTACTATTTTTGGTCATGTTTTAATGGCATTCTAATTGTTTGATGAAAGTACTGAGTGAGCAATTGAAATATGGATTATCAAAAATTAGAGGATAAGTGTGCATACAAGCTTGGAGGTAGTCTGTTGTAACCTACATTGTTTGTCTACCTCTTAGTATCAGCCTTTTGGTTTGCATAGGCCATTGGTATATGGAGTTATAATCTAATGAATGTCTGTTTTGGCATCGCAGTATGATGATTCCAGGTCCCAAGAGTTACTTGAGCGCAAGATAAAGCATGCACCGGCTGACCAAGGCACGGTAAGAATGCTTACGCGTGAAGAGTGGGAGGAGTTTCGAGAAGTGAGGCCAAGGACTCCTTTTGAATCTAAGCTTGCCCGACCTAATGCTCGAATAAGAACTGGAGAACCATTGCGTTTGGTAAGCCTTGTGATGCTTCTAATACACGTGACTATTGCTCTTAGCCGGGTAGTATCATTTGTTTTACTAAACACCAGGTTGTGAAATTACTTGCTAGACAAGAAAAATAATACCTTATCACTGTGACACGCCAATGCTGATAAATAAACCTAAAGACGAGATGGTTGATTTAATGTGAATATATATTTATATATGCTTGCAAAGTGATGGGAGAGCACTTTAGCCTTAAATAAGGGGGAGGGGGAAGAGGCAAAAAATGGATGCATGAAGTGTCCTGAGGTAGTTCTAATGATAAAATTATTATTTAAGTTGTTTTGACTAATTAAGATGAGTACTGATTTTGGTGCATAAATCTCTCACGGAAAACTCAGACCCCATGACCAACAAGTGTTGGGCACAGTGGTTAGCGGCTGACGCTCCCAAGGTGAGAACCTGTGTTCGATCCTTGGAGCACACTTGTAGGTAGAGGGGGGTATCCATCTTGGCACAAAGTGCTATAGGATGTGCTCCACACGACCCTCGACTCTGGATTAGTTGGTTGCTCAGGTTTACCTGACCCAGTGGAAGGTCAGGGCCTAGAAAAAGCGCTGGATACTGGAGGGAATCACGGGGGGCCAAAGGCCCTATCGTGCCCTAGATTACCAAAAAAAAAAAAAAAAACTCAGACCCCATGAGTAGCGCTTGGGATCTGGCTTACTGCAGCAATCTGACATCCCGCACTTATAGTCATAGTGGTTTTATAACTATGCCTAGAGTGAGATTTCTGTACTGCCAGCTCATTGCCGTCCCCACGATTTTTGCAGGAGGACTTGAAGGATTGGACAACTGATGTGCTGATGGATGCAGTTGCCCGAGTTGAAGAGTATGGTAGACGTGACTCCAAGTGATATTAGTTGCTGCCCCAGTTCTGAGTTCAGTTTGTCATGCCAGATGAAAGTCATTATGATTACGAACTTGTTAACCTCTGAAGATTTGCTCAATAGCCGTAATAGCTTGATTTGACTCCTGACAATTGATTAGGAAATAAGAATTATCATATGGATGTATTAACTTTACGCATTGATACACGAATGGAACTTTTTCAGATTGTTAATATTCTCTTTAAAGCTGTTAAATGTAAGTGGTTGCACACAAGTACCTCCCAGTACATTAGCCTTCTTGGTGTCTATGATGTAATGGTGGGTTGGGCTAGGCTAGTGAATGCACTTCTTCGGTGATTGGCCTGTATAAGGAAGTTGTATTCAAACAACCATTCCTTGGTGGCTAGATTGTTGAGTAAACTTTAGTTATGCTGAGAGGCCATCAGCCCTTTCTGGGTCTGAACCACTAACTTGTTTCTTTCTCATCACTGCCTAATGTGTTTATAGTTGTTCACAAAGAGCCTATTCGGTTCCCCAAGAAGCCGTCCTCCCCCTTTTTATTTTAATGGCACCATGACTTCATAGTGTTATTGACATCGGAAATTTAACCCAGACGCTCTCGGAGTCAATATATAAGTCCCGCATGTACCAGTCAAATTTAAACAATCACATGGAATGGGTTCGCGAGCATGTTTCTTCTGAGTATGGGCCTCTTCACAGACTCAAAAGTAGTGCAGAGGCTGAAGCTTTCTCTCAGGGTTAAGCAGGCCCCCCTCCGGGGGGGTCCCCAAAAAAAAAGCTGATTTCTTTTCTTTTTTTTTAAAAAAAACGCCCTCACAGCTGAAGCAAAAGGAAAAGCAAAGGTAATTAATTGATCAATTCAGAGCACAAAAGCCAAAAGGATTAGCTTGAGTCATGTGACATACGAGGGCTTCCTTTTTGTTCATTTCTATTTTATAGCAGTGAAGGGGACCATTCTCAACAAAGACCCTGTGATATCCTTACACTTTCTTTTGCATCGTCCTATCTCCCCACTTTAGACCAAATAAACAAACAAGATAGCTGTAATTCCATGATACTTTTAAAATACTTACACGTAACGTTAGATTATATACTCCTCCGGACCGGAGGAGTATAAGTTATAAATCGAGTAAATTAATTTAGATAAAAATGATAAATATAATAATTTAAAATAATTTATTTAATTTTTCTAAGCTATTTTCTTCTTGGGCTTCTATGCGATTCAAGTTCTAATTGTGTTTGATGATTTACAATTATATGCCAAACTATTTTGAATTTGATGAGCATATTCTCTTCACTATTTTTACCCTCCTATTTTAGTGGCCGAAATAGTTGCGGTTTCCACTTCTGTCCGAGTTTGATGCCTTGTTATTAGTGATTCTCTATGACTGATTGATATAATTTGAAAATCATATTAAATGCATTTTGTGATGATAACCATGCAATATCTATCTCCAAGCAAATGCAAGTCATGCATACTTTATGTGATGATAATTAAGGTTATTCCTAACTTTAACGTTTTTTTTAATTTGTTTAAAATGGAACCTTCTTAATATATGAGCTAGTTAGGATGTTTGTTTTGATTACGAATATACAATAATTCAAATCCAATTTGTTTTCTAAATTTAATAATTTTTCTCAAACTATCGTTATTGATTATATATGTAAGGAAGTTTCCATTAACAAAGGTAATGTTTAAATGTATTTTAGAGAAACCAAATAGATATTTATTACAAATAATTAATATGAATAATTTTTTAATATATATAAATTAATTATCTAACTCTTATATTGGCATCACCATAAATCTAAAAGAATACAAGCATGCTTTTTTGGTCAAATATAAGAAAACATATACTGTAGTTTATAATTTATCTAGATCCAATAACATAAATTGAGATAATGATAAAACTTGAGATAATAAGGTTATTGTTTATCTGTATTGGGTTTTTTTTCCCTATTGGTTATATTAAATTTCTCAAATCAATATGACGTGTAAATTATTCCATCTGATTGTGTGAAGTGCATATCGCCATGAATTGGTAGACCATTCTTATGTCATAAAAAAGTTCACCATTATTTTGCTGTTTTTTTTTTTTAACCACTAGCTATATATGTGTAAAAACTGTTACATAAATATCCCATATTTTAATTTCGCATATTATTATTCAATTGATTTGATTAAAGATATATTGATTATTATAAATTATAAGCACCTCAAATGGTAATATTTGATAATAATATACTTATTGATTTTGAATTATTGTATAAAATGATTCTTTCGCTGGTAAAAAATGATTCTTTCAAAAAAGATTTTTTTTAAATAACCCATGGATGGCTGGTCAAAAAAAATAACCCATGCATGGTATGAGTATAAAATCAATATTGAATAATACTATTTTCAATATTAAGTGCTTTATCACGATGTTAATTGCAATATTTGGAATCTATGGCGTGAATTTATAATAATATATTAAGAATAAGTGAATAACTAATATTGAAATAATAATATCAAATATTTATAGAAATCAGATCTTCGGAAATAATGTTTAATTAAAAAAGGAATTAAAATTAGGCAATTAATTAAATCAAACTTAAATGGTAATAATATGAGATACTATTTATAAGTTAGACTTTTTATTACTCCTCCGGTCCTAATTATAAGACCCAATTGACTTATTTGAGGATATTAAGGAAGTAAGTTAAGTTGGTTATTTATAATAAATAAGTGTTGTTATTCCTAAAATATCCTTGCTAATTAAGTATATTGGCTAAAAGTATCATTATTAGAAGGATTATCTTGGAAAAAAATGCATATATATAAGAAAGAAAATGGATTGGGTCTTATAATTAGGACCAAATAAAAAGTCAAATTGGGTCTTATAATAAGGACCGGAGGAGTATAACTTACAACGAACATTCATCCGAAAATAACCGTTTCCTCCCATAACCGTCAACATGCAGATCCCAAATTTTCTTCATTCTCTTCCTCAATCTCTCCATTTCCTTTCTGTTTTGATTTTTCCCCTGTTGTTGCTTTTCTTCTAAAACCCTAATACTCGAGTTCCCCGCCATAAGGCCACCTGAGGTCATCTCAGGTGGTTGCGGCCCAGGTTGCGACGGTGAGGGTGTGGATCAAGGATCGTAACTAATCGCATAATCCATTCTCGTGGGACAGAGTTTTACATTTAGGGAAATCAACGATGAAGAAAGACGTCATGAAGAGCATTTTCAAGCCGAAGCCCCGGTCGCCCACGGATCTTGTGAGGCACGTTCGGGAACTTCTCATCTTTGTCGAAACCAACAAGGAAGTCCGGGAAAGCAAGCGTGAAGAGAAGGTAACCACACCAATTCGTCTTTTTGATATTTGTGGTCGTGGTTTAATTTCTTTCTGCATTGGGGATTCTTTTATTTGATTATCTTGTGACTCTGACCCTATGTTTTCTATTTGAATGCGGTTTAATTGTTCTATAATTTGATTTGATTTCGAGGTGATCCGTGCTTCAGTGAAAGAAGAAAAGGGACGAAAATTATGAATATATATGTGCCTTGGTTGTGATCTATGTTTGATATTTTGTTTGCAGCTTACAGAATTAGGTAAGACTATCCTGGAGATTAGAACTGTTCTGTTCGGGAATGGGACTGCAGAGCCGAATCCAGATGCATGTGTTCAGATAACCCAGGAGTTTTTTAAGGAGGACACTTTCCGTCTTCTTGTCCTCGCTCTTCCAAAGCTGGACTTGGGGGTAAGCCTGCATTGAATATAGATTATATACATATATAATTGAATTTTGGTGCCTTGTGATGTGATGTTCCCTCTGGACACTTGAGGTGTCTATGCTTGATATACCGATATTTATGAAAACAAGTTACGATTTTGTTTGTGCACCAAGAAACCATGCAATTAATATTATATCATACTCTTTTATTTTTGCCAGCTTCAGAAAATATCATTTTTTCCATGTCATTTTCCTTTTCAATTGTTTTATACATCTTTAGAACAAATACCTTGCTACTTCATCCCATAACATCTGATTGAGCATCCAAAGATGAATTTGCATTCACTTCCCTGTGCAGGGCCGTCTACATTCTACTCATGTGGTTGCAAATTTGCAAAGGCAGCGAGTTAATTCCCAGCTACTCGCTTCCCAGTATCTGGAAAAGAACATGAATCTGATGGATATTTTGATACCTGGGTAAGCTTTCAGTGACACATTTCATCTCGTTTTGAAGTGTTTCCTGGTTCCCAATTAATGTGTTACTGAAAGGTTTAAAAAATATGTTGTCAGTTATGGTGAAGGCGACATTGCTTTGACTTATGGTGCCATTGCAAGAGAGTGCATTCGCCATCAGTGCGTAGCAAGGTGAGCTTAGTTACTGTTCTGTTTCCCAATTAATTGGACCCGATGCATTGCAGTCGCAGAATTACAAGGCATGGCGTAGGAGACGAAAAGGGGGTGGGGCCCACTCAGGAGGGTTCCATCTGAATGCCCTCTTCTCATCTCTCTTTCTTGATGATCCCGTCCAATATACTACTTCCGGTCCTAATTATAAGACCCAGTTGATTTATTTGAGGAGATTAAGAAAGGAAGTTAAGATAGTTATTTGTAATAAATAAGTGTTGTCATTCCTAAAATATCTTTACTAATTAAATATATTAATTAGAACTATCATTATTAGAAGGATTATCTTGGAAAAAAATACATAAATATGAGAGATAAAATGGATTGAGGTTTTATAATTAGGACCAAACAAAAAGTCAAACGGGATCTTATATTAAGGACCAGAGGTAGTATAATACTGCACAGATTGCACTTCACGATTAACTTTACAATCAACCGAGGTCTTTATCATATGCTAGTTATGGCACCTGGGTCATCTTATATGACAAGTTATCCGAAGAAAGAGATACACAAAAAAATGTTATTCATGTTCTCATGAGATCATTAAGAAGATTCGAGTTTGTCAGTTACCATTCAGCAAGGAGAGAAGAGGGGGAAAAGATCACAATTTTCTACCGTAATTTTGTAGGTGCTCATGGCGTAGTATTGATTTTTCTTAATCGACGAATCCAAAATTTGGTCAAGTGAGACGTATAAATCAGGTTTTTGTCACGCACGTTCTGCCTTTGTGTACTGATAATTTCAATTAAATTAAACTTCCTTCTTTGTGGATGAATAAACGGAAGACACAAGTATATAGCAAGATCAATTTAACCTGGATACTAAGCCGATTTTTAGAGCCATGGAGTTTCTTATTTCGCAGGCGCAGCTACCGATGTTTCGCTTATTGTTATTGGTTTAAGTGGGCTAGAATATGCTTGCTTGTTACATTTCAGAAGAAACAGAGGAAATGATGGGAAGTTAGTTAGTTAAATTAAAACACTATTTTTCATGGCCGGAATGACGCACCTTGACATTGTGACATGATATTTTGTTTTCGTTTTTATTCTCTAACAAGTATCCACTGGTTTATTAGGTATGTCTTGGAATCAGACCACATGAGGAAGTTTTTCGGTTACATTCAAACACCAAATTTCGAAATAGCAACAGATGCCTTTTCGACCTTCAAAGTTGAGTATGCCTGAGATATCAACTCTATCTTTCATCATATATTTTTATTCCTTTTTTTATGTTCACAATTTCTTGATTTTTTTTTTTAATCCCTCATTGCTGATTACTTATACCACAAGTAAGGTTCAAAACTCCTGCCTTTAAGGTTCAAAACGCGTGCGAACAGGCACACATACATGCAATACTCACACACTGTTTCACTTCAAAGTATAAGTGATGGATTAGACACGTCTCCTTATTAGTAAACATTTAAAGTCACTTAGTGAAACCATTTAGTAAATTAAATGATTTTTTTATTTGAATTGAGAATTTATATTGATCCTACTGATGAAGAGATGAGTAGTTTTAACTGGAATCTATGTCAAAATAATTCCTTCAATATAGCTAAAAAAATGACAGCTGAGAAAGAACTTTATCATATATCTCATAAGCCTTTCACTCATGCCTATGTTAGTTCTTCCTAAACATTTTTAATTTTTTTGGTACAAATAACGCAAAAGAACTTAAACCTCTGAATTTTTGCAAATTACTGAAAAACTCTATTCATTTCTGCTCTTGTACATTCTTGTTATTTTGTTCTTGTACTAATTTTAACGGCAAAAAGCTGATCCATTCCCTTGGTGTGCGTAGGAGCTTTTGACAAGGCATAAATCTACAGTTGCGGAGTTTCTTTCTAAAAATTTCGACTGGGTAAGTACATTTGATGTAGTTTTTTCGCGATATCCTTAAGCTATGCACTTTCCATATGTCTTTACCGTATCTGCTTTCCTAAAGCAGGTGCGTGAAAGCATAGTAAGTTTTGCCGTGTATTTTCTTCTTAATTATGTCATCGTATTTACCTTTTACAGCTCTGTCCATATTCTAATGGTTAATTTCCTGAAGTTTCTTGCTTTTCTTTTCTCCTTTATCCCTCCGTACCTTTCAGTTTTTCCAAGAATATAGCTCTCAGTTACTGGAATCTTCCAGCTACATCACAAGACGACAAGGGATCAAGGTATATATGTGTATTATATTGTGTTTTCTTGAGAAATAACCTCGAGCAGCAATATATATATATATATATATATCAAAGTTTGCATTTTATTTCACATATACTTGGACTTATCCAGCACAAATCTGTCAAAAAAAAGAAGGAAAAATTAGCCAAATATCACCCACATAATCTTTACGGGGCATGAGAAATAAGTCACATTACTATTCTTGTCTTCATTAATGGATTATCAGAAAACACAGTGATCGGGTGCATCAAGTTGTGTTTTTAAATAAATTTGGACGAAGGTCTATTGATTTAATTAGTTCTGTGACTCCTGAGTATTTTTTATGTTTCTATTTCAATGCAACTTATTATTATTCTTATTGTTGCTTCTATTAGATGCCCTTCTAGCGGCAAAGTTTATGTGATTACGTATAGCTCTTTAAATATTAAGCACTTGACCAAGCCACTTACTATGAGAGTTAACTAACCAAACTCGGTTTTTGCTGTTGCATCAGTTATTAGCAGATATGCTGTTGGATCGCTCAAATTCTGCTGTGATGGTTCGGTACGTTAGCTCGTTGGATAACTTGAGGATCCTCATGAATCTTCTGAGGGTATATATGCTCCTCTTTCATTCATTCCCTTATGTATGTATATATATAGTGTAAGTAAATCACTTTCTCAAATTTTCTTTTAAAATTAAAAAAAAATTTAATTGCAGGACTCTAACAAGTCAATCCAGCTCGAAACTTTCCACGCGTTCAAGGTATGTTGTGGATGGAAAACCACGCAGGGTTCTCTTCATGTCTTCGAAAATGAGTGCTCTTTAATTAAGGTCCGAAATTTGAGATACTTTGATTTCGCATGTATTGACAGTTATTTGTTGCAAACCAAAACAAGCCTCCTGAGATTGTCAGCATACTTGTTACTAATAAGACTAAGCTTTTGCGGTTGTTGGCAAATATAGAGAAAGGTATGTATGAGCGCTCTCTATTTGGTGCATGCGTGTGTTCTCTGTGACAAGTGACGATATGTGTCCATGTCAAGAAATAAGCGTTATCTACTTTTCTCAGGTGATATAGTCTCACACGCAACCTACCACGTATATATATTGAGATTGAATTTGGGTATATAAGAAATGTCAAAGGATAATGTTGGGGACACAGACCAATTATCAAATCTAAAAACGTGTGTGTGTGTGTGTGTGTTTGTGTTTTTTCCTCCCTGGTGTAAGAGGTTGATTTTTTCTGGCCAGAGGACGAGCAATTCCAAGCAGACAAAGGGCAAATCATAAACGAGATTGCAGCTCTTGGTCCCTAGCAGTTCATGCATGTCTTTGGAGAATTGGGAAGTTCCATGTTGAATCTCTAGATTCTTCAACTTTTTCTTTTCTTTTTCTTTTTTAATTTTCTATGTTTCCTACGCATTTCCATGCTCACATGTGATTCTTCCTGTGGTACGTATACACCGATCAGGAAGAATTCAGTGCACACCAATGTAATTTTTTTTGGGTGCACTAATGAGCAAAGATTCATTGATAATTCAATATTTCTTATTGTTTATCCACACCGCGTCGTCCAGAAATCATGTCAAGCAGGTTTTGATAGTTTCAAAACTTTTAGAAATTGAAATAAATTGACAATTTCAAGCAAAGATGAACGCACTGTGGGATCTCACTTTTCCAATATTTTGGAAAGGACTAAAAATAATACTCCTCCGGTCCTTATTATAAGACCCAATTTGACTTTTTATTTGGTCCTAATTATAAGACCCAATCCATTTTGTCTCTTATATTTATGCATTTTTTCCAAGATAATCCTTCTAATAATGATAGTTTTAGCCAATATACTTAATTAGTAAGGATATTTTAGGAATGACAACACTTATTTATTATAAATAACCAACTTAACTTACTTCCTTAATTTCCTCAAATAAGTCAATTGGGTCTTATAATTAGGACCGGAGGAGTATATATTATTGAAAGCAGACAGAGTAAGACCTATATGATTACGGGAAGCTTAATCTTTGAATGATTAGAAGAACGTGTTTTATTTTAGTTACAAGTAATATTAGAGTTGTGTCCATAGTTAATAAATAATTCAAACATGGATCCCAAAACGAATGAGAAATTAAATTAAAAGAGAAGATATGATCATCTTGCGTTTCTTTTTGATATCTAGGTCCTTAATTATGAGATTTCCCCGATTAATTCGACAATATATTGTAATTATTCCTTTGAAAAAAAAACGTATTGTGTACTTTTTAATGTATCAACTCGCCAATTAGAATTTAATCACAAGTCTGTACCTAAAGATATATATATATATATATATATATATATATTTGTATAATACATATACTTGAAAAGTGTACTAAAAAGAGAAAAGAAAGAATGATTATGGCCTAGCTTCAAAGCAAAGCTAGCATAAGTAATAAAATCAAACAAAAATCATGGTTTCCCCGGAATAAATTTCCCAACCACCGTCAATAAGTATAGAAGCAACTTATATAGGATATTATATACGATATATATATTGTGTCGCCTTGCTAGATGTAGGAGTTCAACTTGAAGCAAGCACATGGAGCCAAAGCTTCCATTAATTTCAAATCCACCAAACGCACCCTTAAAAGCCTTTTCTTCAAAGTTAAGCACTCACTGTACTCAAAAAATCCATAATGGCTCCCATCGCTCTCATTTCTTCACAAACGCGTCATTTTCAAACGCAGAAAATGTTACAAAAGGACTCATATATGCTTTCACCTTCTTCCACTCTCCTGAACACTCCATCACCAAAATGCATCTTCTTCTTCCTCCTCTTTTCTTCTTCTTCTTCTTCCCGCTTGTTGCTTACTCATCCCATTGCACCACTCAGACTGCAACTAAATCCTTCCAAAAATGCATGACTCTTCCTACCCAACAAGCCTCCATAGCATGGACCTTCCACCCTCGTAACTCCACCTTAGACCTCGTCTTCTTTGGCACTTTCATTTCTCCTTCTGGTTGGGTTGGATGGGGCATGAATCCCACCTCGCCGGAGATGACCGGAACTCGAGCTTTGATAGCCTTTCCTGACCCCAACTCCGGCCAAATAGTCCTCCTGCCTTACATTCTAGACCCAACCGTTAAGCTCCAGAAATCTCCACTCCTCTCTCGCCCCCTCGATATCCACCTCCTCTCCTCCTCGGCAGCCATGTACGGCGGCAAATTGGCTACCGTACACAACGGCGCCACCATCCAAATCTTCTCAACCCTCAAACTAAAACCAAACAAAACCAAAATCCACCTCGTCTGGAACCGTGGACTCTACGTTCAAGGCTACTCCCCCACTATCCACCCAACAACCTCGACCGACCTGTCGTCCATCACCACCTTCGACGTCCTCTCCGGCTCCTCCGCCGTCCAACACAGCAACAACGTGAAGGCCCTGAGAGTTATCCACGGCACCATCAATGCCATCTCATGGGGACTCCTATTACCCGTGGGAGCAGTCACAGCTCGTTACCTCCGACACATCCAATCACTAGGACCCACATGGTTCTACGTGCACGCAGGGATACAACTCTTCGCGTTCACTCTAGGAACCTTAGGTTTCGCCATCGGAATATGTCTCGGAAGGCTGTCGCCGGGAGTTGAGTACAGCCTTCACAGGAAGCTAGGGTTCGCGGTATTCTGCCTCGGGGCGATGCAGACGGTGGCGTTATTGTTCAGGCCGAAGACGACGAACAAGTTCAGGAAGTACTGGAAGTCGTATCATCATTTTGTGGGGTATTCATGCGTGGTGCTAGGGTTCGTGAACGTGTTTCAGGGGTTCCAAGTGATGGGTTTGAGCAGATCGTACTCGAAGTTGGTTTACTGTTTGGGGTTGTCGACGTTGATCGGAGTTTGCATAGCTTTGGAGGTAAACTCATGGGTGGTTTTCTGTAGGAAGTCGAAGGAGGAGAAGCTGAGGAGGGAGGGACTCATTGGAACCTCTGAGAAAAGCAGCGGCATCCATAATTAATGGACTTCATTGGTGTCTCTCTTTTTTTGTGAGTTTTTAGTGTATTGATTATGAGGTGTATATGTATCTTTGAGTACATTTTACACCTCTCCCTCAAAATTTTTTTCCATCATTATTTATGGCAAAGTTTGGAAAAAGGGGAAAATAAATTTTTTACACTTTTTTTTCTGGCTAACTATAAGCATACCTTCACTCTAGCTTCCAAGTTTTTTGCTTCCTGTTTGAAATTTATTAAAATTTGTTATCAGGTAGGTCTTATAAAAAAGTGTACTCCTCTGATCCTATTTATAAGGCAGTTCCAACATGTTCTGCACAGACCAAGAAAAACCTTAAACTGTATTAATTCTTCATTAAAATATAGCAACTTTCCAACTTTATCCCTATTTAATATATATACACCTTTCAAAAAAAAATTATCTACGTTATAATAAATGAAGGACAATATAGTATATTCATGATAAACATTTAATGAAGTGACTTATAAATAGAATAAAAAAAACCTTCTCTCTCTGTCTTATAAATAGGACCAGAGCAGTAGTTTATAAGTGCAAAAAACTCTTCTCTTTCTAGTGTTGTTTTAAGTTTTTTGGGATTTGTTCTCCCGTGTTGCTTCCAATGAGAGGTCGATATATCCTGAAGAGGCCCGGTAAAATCACAGGGTATATTGAAAGAATTAATCTAGAACAACATTGATAGCAATAGTAATAATAATCCGAAAGATGTTATATGTATATTGGTTAAATATGGATGTGTTTTTCAAAGTTGAGATGAAATAAAAAAGGCCATGTTAAGAGGTGGTGAATGTGATGATATGGAAGACCAAAAAGCAGATACGAAAGTGGAAATATTTTCTTGGATTTTTGTGTCTGGAATGTTACAAGTGTGCGATGAATCAGAGGTTAGAGGAGTGCGTACGTACGTGGATGTGTCCAAAGTGGGAACTAGGAGGCGTGTCCCCCGGCCAATACTCAAAACAGTTTTGAGCCCTTCAATTCATCGTATTTGAATCATTGATATTTTCTCGTATTCTAAATATGAAACTCATTTTATAATATAATTTATATTATAAAATATATTTTATATTTAGAATCAGAAAGGTATTTGATGTGAATAGTCTATATTTAAAACTTTTAATTAATTATTTTTAAATAGAAAAAATTATTTTTAAAAAAATTGAGACTTAAAAGATTATTTCTATTTTAAATTCTATACATATTAAAATAATTATTCCGAACAAATAAAAAAAACCAAATTCAGACTATTGAAATAAAATATAAATGATTCAGATCTAATTAAATTATACTCATCCGGTCTTTAATATAGGACCCAATTCTTAAGTTGGTTTTGGTCCTAAATATAAGACTCCTTTCTCATATTTATCAATTTTCTCTAAATTACCCCTATGAATACTCCCTCAACCATAATCAAGTAAAAGAGGGAGAGGGGTATTAAGAAAAATGATTATGGTGTTTTAGGAAAAATGTGTCACTTTTTTTATAATTAACTAACTTACTTAACTTTCTTAATCTAATCAAATTAGTTAAATAGATTTTATATGAAGAACCGGAAGAGTAATGTTTATTGAAGTAATGAGCACCAAAACTTGTTTCATAGCACTGTAGAGTGAATTAATGACGCTGATGAGGCTGTAAAGGAGTGGACCCCACTGTAAGCTTCCTCAACGAACTAAACCCCAACTAAAATCAGTTATCAGTTATTTGCCACATGTTTTCTCCAAAAAGAATCTTACATCTTATTAATTTTATTTTAAAATTGAATAACTTTTAAATTTGTCCGTATAATGACTTCTTGCGGTGAATAATAAATAAGTACTATATAACACTTTTTACCTCATAAACAACATCAGAGGATTATATATAATAAATTTAATCATAAAAATTCTTCGTGTAATATATGAACAAGGCAAAAGGAAAATATTCAAACAACACTTACGGAAAATAATTACAATAAACATTTCAGGAAGTGTTTTACCGAATTTGTTTAGACAAGCCAAATCAAAGTATGCCAACGCATTTTTTTTTTATTCAAAAACATAATAGGTCACCAAATAAAAAAATTTCTGGGGCTGTGGAGTTTCTGGTTTCAAGTAGTTTTTGTTTTGAAAAACAAAAAAAAATCTGCGTGGTCATATGTCCTAAAAATAAGTTGAAATATATTCTAAACAATTAATTTTTTATATTTTAATTACTTTTATTCTACAACATTAGAAAAGATAAGGAGATCATATTGTTATTAATAATAATTATGTTAATAAAGAAAATTATTTTATCCTTCATTTTACTATTTTAGATATGCTTTTTAAAATAACAATTTCAAACAGTTCTTTTAAATTTTTTGTTTTGAAAATTTATTCTAAACACTACCCGAGAAAGTTCTTTTTGGTACCAAAAGATTTAAGAGTATTTGGTGCCAAAAGATTTAGGAGAGGAGGCTTTCAAGGGCTAGAACATGTCTTCAAACTCAAAAAACGCCACTGACCAACAAAATTCTCACATTAGCGGTAGAAATCAAACTCATGACCTTGTAAGTTGTAAACTGACTCCTTATCAACTAAAAGAACTGCTCCATAAAGTTGTTTTGATATCGTAAAAACATATATTAAGAACACCATGACATGTTAATTTCCCTTCAGAGAAAGAATCAGAATATATCTGAAGAGCTGGACACCTAAGGACGAAACCCCTTCAACGTTTTCTCACTAGAAATCAATTAAAACCTTGCTACAGTCTAACAACAAAGTCAAAAACAACCAAAATGATTGAGGAAACAAACACAACCTTTTGAGACATCACAGATTAAAACTTTACCAACAAGAACCAAATTAAAAAAATGTAAAAGAAGTGCTGCTTATCTTTTAATATTTGCCGCCACAAAAGTGAATGCATGATACACTTCCAACTATTTCCCGCAATCTGATTTTACACCTCACTCTCAAATCCCAAAAACTTAAATCCTAAAACCATAACCCAAAACTCCCAAAGCCTTAACATTCCCTTTGTAACTTTTATCTCTATATCTGATCTGACATCCTCAAAATAGGCACTCCAGTTAGTTCTACATAATCAAACATCTTATGTCTTTCATAAAAATAATATAGTAACACAGTGATCTGCAAAATTCACAATTCATCTGCTTCACTGCTTTTATCTTCACCTACAATTTCGTTCGTGTCTTCAAAATGACCTTCCTATGTAGCAATTCCTGCAAGTAACCACAGAAGAGGTTTCAGTGTTGGCATAACAGGATTATTCAAGTTAAACCAGAAAACAAACTATCATTAATATGAGTCCTCAATTGTCATTTTCTCAATCATCAAATCCAAGCCAAGTAAGCACATTAGATCATATAACAAATTCATGAACTAATATGTAGTAGGCTTTTGGAGGGTTGGAATTTGTGTTCTTAATTTTCACTTTCTTCAGGTTCAGTGAGCATCTCTTCATTTCTGCTCTGTACACAATTCGTCATTGCCCTCCTTATTCTTTTTCCATATAACATATCCTTGCGCATCAAGATCTAAGAAGCAGGGACACTAGAAAAGGATTGTGTCGGTATTCTACCTGTATCCATGCACCCAATATTAAGACTCATATTTCTCTCAATTCCCTCATGGACTGTCACGCAGCAGAAACTCCATTTATACTCTGATACATGCATAGAGCTATATAGCAAGCAGAGCTGAAGGGAGGGGAGATGGGGAAAAATGACATACAGTACTAACATTCTGGTCAGGATTAATGCTGTGCGATGGGAGAAAAGTGGTATGAAAGATAAAACAGCAAAGAATGAAGGGGGATTTAAGGGGGAAAAAATGAATCATCAACCGTCATAACATTCCCCAGTGCTACCATATGCGATATCTTTCCCACATATGCTGCATGCAAAACTAATTTGTTGTTCAAAAGTAATTATGTTTCAGAAGAATGAAGAAACAAAAAAAGAGGATCATTGGTAACTGGTAAGCAATTTTTCAGAATTTTTCAAAGAAGCTTCAACTTGAAGTTATACCCAAAAAATCTTAGCCCAAAAGGGGAAAAAAGGTCATGCAAAGAACATATTTAACGGCAAACACATTCAGCACAGACAATCAAGGAAATCAACTAAATCACACAGTTAGGTCCGCGGAAAGCAGATGCAATGCATAAAAAGAGGTCCAAATATGAACAAAAGGATTATGGAAGAAAATGAGAAAGGGGAAAAGGAGGAAAGGAAAAAAGCAGACAACAAACAGGAAGGTAAATAAGCGGAAAATAAGTACAACAGGTCATTCTAACAATATATATTTACACATCACTTTGAAAAGGAAAGATCCAAACCATATAAACTTCCCAAGTTTGTGTTATTGGAACTATAGCTGCCTAGCATGTGAGTGACAATTATTTCTATTGAAAGGCATGGATGTCCATACAGGAAGCTTGCCTTTTCAACCAAAAAGTGACAATTGATATGATGGATGTGATTGATAGAGGTGGGAACAGAATGATTAATAATACAGAGAAACTGAGACTTAAAAAGCCTTCATTATCATGCCCTTTTCCATTCATTTTATCCCATAACCTTACCTTTGATTTTGCGAGAAACCTCAGTATTATCCTACCTACAGAAAAATGAGCCAACTACATTCAACGCATTTGATGTTTTTGAAATCTGGATTCACATCCTCTCTAGTTTCAATAGTATTCTCATGCATGCCCTGAAACAAGAAGTTTGTAAAATCTACTCTCACGCCCTTCCTAGTATCAAAGAAACTACCCATAGGTCCTGTATTTGATGTTTGGATATGCATTAATGAAGCATTTTAATAATTTTCACAGCGTCAAATTACTCTACTATAAGTTGTTGGGAGAAAGGTTGGTGGTCTACAAGTTTTGTTGTCAATAGAAGGGAGATTTACATATAAAAGAAAGCTAGAGGGAGGATGGGCGTACGTTCCTCAAAATATTCTTAATCAAAGAGATCTCTTCAAGAAGCATCTGTGATTCTCAATGCACAGATCTCTAGCAGCAGAACAAAAGTGGTGTCATTTCTGAAGGGTTTGGAGACAACCCAATGTAGGCTCATGCTTTTGCCTAACAGAGGGATCATTTTGATCGGGGAAATGTTTGGGGGACTGAACTGAAAGGCCTTAAGTTTGGGGGACTCTCCGCAGAATACTCAATCAAAGGGATCTCTTCAAGAAGCATCTGTGACTCTCAATGCACGGGTCTCTAGCATCGGAACAAAAAATGGTGTCATTTCTGAAGGGTTTGAAGACATCATAATGTAGGGTGATGCTTTTGCCAAATAGGGGGACCATTTTGATTGGGGGAAATATTTGGGGGGCTAAACTGAAAGGCCTTAAGTTTAAAGAACCAAATTAAGAGGAGGCTTTGCTTTTAGGAACCAAAACCATGCGTTTCACCTTTGGAGGATTAAATTAAAAGAAAAGTGATTTTTCAGGGACTATAATAAATTATTAATTATTAATTTACTCAACATAAAACAGCAGTTCCACAGCAAGATGGGAAGCACACGATGAGTGGGACAAGGATAGTAATAGAAATGTCAAATGTGAAACCATATTAAAGAGTTGAATCAAGGAAGACAAAAATGTAATTTGGTAAGCATTTGAATATTCTTCGGAAAATCATGACAACCGAGAATAGAAAGCAGTCCTCCTCTTCATAAAGACTCGGTGCAAGAGCCTCCAAAAAATAACCGCACAGTCAAAACACAGTCTTGCCTTTTCCCCCAGCTCGTGTTTTTAGTTGTATACAATAAATAACTAAAGCATTCTAGTATAAATTATAATTATGTTCAAGTGCCCAAGCAAATATTACAATAATTAAAAGCAGAAATGAAATATAATAGTAGCTGTTCTTACCCCTATTTGGCTGTCTCTTATTAACAGTATAACCACCAACATAACCAGGAGAGCTTTTAGCAGAAACATCTGAAGCTGCAGCACCAAGCCCAAAACCAAAGGGACCAGATTCATCTAGCTCAGAATTTGAAGACCGCCAAGTGGCATCCCCATAAACTGAACTACTATTGTATAAATCAGCAAAAGCTCCGTCAAAAGCACCATTTGATGCAGAGTGTGATGATGTCGGAGCAATATTTGTACCACTGTTTCTTCCATAACCTCCGGTTCCCAGACCATAACCATTGTCATCTACCCCAAAGCTGAGGTTAGCACCACTAATCTGTGACACATTGTTCATTGTACCTTGGGCAGAAATTGATGAAGAACCCCAACTGACTCCAGCATTGCCATAAATACTTCCTCCAACATTCCCACTTCCTGATCCTGTGTATGCACTGGAGTTAGCAGAACTTGTTCCGTAATTAAGACTATCAGTTCTCCACAAGTTCCGAGTTACAGAGCTGAAGAAAGAGTTGTTTCCTCCATTATTACCATCATATCCAATAGGACTCCCAAACCTATTTGAGCTTCCAATATAATATGGATTTATTGCCCGACCGTAACTAAGACTGTTATTGAAATTTGCATTCCCTCCAAATCCAGGGCTCAAACCGGGCTCAAAATTCATATTCATTCCATAACCAGATCCAAATGGTGAAAACCCACTTCGACCACTTGCAACAGGACTGAATCTACCATCCACCCTGAGTCCAAAGCCTCCAACAGCACCTGGAGCATATCCCTGCGTGAAGCCAGTTAGGAAATTATTGACCCTATTCATACCATAGTTATATCCAGCGAGTGGGCTTCGGCTTGGTGCAGGTGATAGTTCCTTAGGAACTGCACGCTTGACCTCAACCATTTTACCATTCAATTCATGGAAGGTCTTAAATAAGACCTTCTCAACAGCTTCTTCAGAGTCATAAGTGATAAATCCAAAGCCTCTTGGCCTCTGAGTGTTGTGATCGTACATAACTACAACATCTGTTATTGTCCCAAATTGATCAAAGTACTTCTTGAAATCACTCTCTGTAACTGTGGACGCTAAACCACCAACAAATATCTTTTTCGTGCGGCCTGGACCAGGAGAACCATGGTTGCTGCTACCACTGTTTCTACTCAGTATGCTCTGGTCATCCCTTGGAACAGCCTTCTTGGCCTCAACCTAGCAATACATGAAACAGAATTCAAAGCATAGAAAAATTGCATAGGGTAAGTCAATCTGTCCTTGAAAGAATAATAAACCAAAGAAAAACAAGCAAGAGTATTACAGGAAAGACTACCTTTTGGTTCATTAAAAATAATAGTCAAACAAACACCATTAATAGAAAAAATTCTTAAATTTGCAGCACAAATCAAAGTCAAAACTTTTTTAAAAAAGGAAAGACTCTGATGGGCCAGAATTCAAAAAAGAAAACATCAAATTTTAAGGCAGGAATTAAATGGATCACAAAACAAGAAGTACCATCCTTCCATCAATGTTGTGCTTCTCTTTTATGACTCTCTCAGCAACAGTTGGGTCTGCAAAAACTACAAAACCAAATCCACGGGCTCTACCTGTTGTCCGATCCTTCATAATTACTGCTTCCACGACCTCCCCATAAGAACTGAAATAATCTCTAAGCCGCTCTTCATTTGTGTCCCATGATATCCCACCAATAAATAACTTACCATTGTCGGATTGCATTTTATCTACATTCAAAATTTGCTTCAGCCAGTAAGTGCAAATTCACACAAATGCAAGTGGAAGCAATATCAGAAGTGATAAAGCAAATCTTCCAAATAATAAACCAAGCACCTTATTCGGAACATAAAAGAGAAGGAAAGTCAATGATGGATCCAATTCATTACATAGCTATAAACACAAACCACAACCATCAAAAACAAAATAACAAAGGCATATCCCACGATGGAGTAAACCGAAAACTAATGGCAGTGCAACTATCAGATTGTTTTAGCATATATAGTTCCAACCACGTCATCAAATGCATTTACAAAACTGGCAAAAACAAAATTAATAATACCTCAAACTGTGGCAAACTCAGAAACTGTATTTACCACAGAAATACAGATGGTCCTGGATTCAATCAAAAAACATCGGATCCTTTAACTATCGGTAAATCAAACCCAGAATTAAGCACTCCTGAAAAAAAAAACCATAAATATTTTTAATGAGCAAATTCACCAAGATCCATAGGCACGCAAACTTTTAGCAAAGATGAAAACTTCGATCCAGATTTTGTCCAAACCCACCGATTCAAAAAAGGCGAAGACGCCAAATCTCGCAGAAAACTAAGATCTGAGGGGAGGCACAATAAGATTAAGGACAGAGGGAAGGTTCATTATCTTCCTATGCCTCCCCGCTCGTTCATTCGTCTTCCAGTTATCTTAAATTAGATTAACGAATGCAAATTCAGTTACCAAACCGATTGGAAGAATGCGTATATACAAACTATCGGGAAAAACAGAAGCTTTATGAAGAGAAGGCGAAGGAGAAACTGCGAGACGCTTGCTGTGTAAATTATATAGGGACTGAGAATGGTGGAAGATGATTTTTTTTCGTTTCGTTTTCTCAAGACTAAAAGGGGGAAAAAAAATCAAAAAAACCGGAATTGATTTGAAATTATGACAAGGAAATTTCTGAAAAAAATGGAAAATTCAGACCATTAAAAGGGTGAAAAAAGAAACAAAAAGGGAATCAGAGATGTTTTTCCTCGTTTCTTGAAAAAAAAATGTAAAAGAGGCAATGCTTGCGTGTGCTCTCGTGGAGTCCTTTTATACCTAATGGGGTAAAAACGTTTGTATTGGAAATTATGGCATGGAAAGCTTCATGGACGTATGGAATCGAAGCCCACTCGCTGTTGTGTGTGTCCCACCAGTTTCGTAGAGATCTTCAAGTTACAGCCTTTGATCTTCATGACCTTTTCATAAGAGCATAGACCTCACTTTGTGACGCGTTAATATTCGATCAAACCGAGCTAGTTGTTTGGATCAAGTTGACAAACCAGATTTGATGGCGTCAAGGATGTTGGGTGAGGGAATCAGATTAGCTGTCCCAGCTAATGCTCCGACCTCGTTTGTTCAATCAAAACATGTTTCAAGAAAATTTTTTGACTTTATTATCACAATTTGTCCACCAATTTTGGAGAATACCCAAAGATTATTAATAGCTTAATGACATAGGGTTTGGTTGGGATGATCAATTAATTATTTTAAAACCCAAAGATGAGACAGAAAATTAAACAGCGACATGGGACTGGAAGTAACCTTAAATCAACGTTGATTACAAAACATGCTACATCATGAGAACTTGTCTATGATTTGTTCGATCAATATCTATTAATTCAGGAATTTGAATCTCCTACCACGCATATTTAAATTCACACAGTCCTCAGTTACAATTATAAAATGGAACATTGACTTGAATCTTCCACTGTCTATCCTCCCAGCAAAATGAAATCTTGAAAGTCCAGCAACTTTGGAGACGAGGAAGAGTGCATTTGAAGTCATCAAAATATCACAAGAAACCATAGGAGATAAACCAAACAACTGAGACTACATTTATATATATATATATATATATGGAACATACAATGATAAAATAGCCAGAAAGGATGCTACCAATAATTAACGCCATTTCTTTTTCTTTCTTGCGCATTAATTATATAAAATCTTAGAAATAAATCACATTTCATTACAAGAGGAGAGGATGGTGTGGTTCTCTAATACAAAAAAGTTTTTTTGCATTTTTGAGAAATGTGTACAGTTTAATGAAAGCCTTGATTAACTGAGGAAACAGAGGAAACTTGAGAGGGCAATTAAAGTTTAAGACTTTATGAAGCAAAGTCATTGTTACGTATATGTTTATATAGTTCTAAAAGTAAATATTTTTTAGCTTGAAATACAAGCTTGCATGATATAAGTGTAAAAAACAAGAAACAAATTAAACTAATACCATCCCAAGTCCCAACATACCCTTATCAAGCCATTAGAAAAAGCATCAACCCTTTTTGCTGCAAAAATAGGTTGTGTGTATGTGTGTGACTCTAGAGCAGGCAAAGTAATTAATGGAAGAACAGGGTCTAAGTTGAAGGGAGGGATCTAAGATTTTTTTTTTTTCAAAGAAAAAAGTAATGATGGTACGATGCAAAACTGGGAAAAAGCAGTGGAGAAATCTGAGAGAGAAGGTGAAGAAGAAGAAGAAATAGACGGAGGCAAACAAAACAGTGACGTCGGTGGGATACAGTGCACAGTTCCCAGTAAGATACGGCAGTCACCTGAAAACGCCAACAGAAACAACGAATAACGCTGTAACACTCCAAAAACGACAGCCAAGAGAAAACTTTTGACGTCGTTGACAAGGATGGTCAAACTTTTGCCCTCTATTTTTTTTTTTTGGTAGTTTTCACTATCTTACTACTGGTTTATGTATCAATGCTGTGAGAACAGCACCAGACCAGACGCAGGGTTGGTTTGCAGGTGCTATTTATAAGCATTCGTAGGCACATTCATGAAAACCGAAATAAATTTTTTTTATATATTTACTTTATATTTCATAAATAAAGTTGTTTTTAAGTTATTCTAAACAAGTTATAAACTAATCAAGACATTGTTCATACAATCTTGGTAAGATCAATTTTAACTAAAATAATTTTTTTTTCTAATAATACATATAAACAAACAAATTACTTAAAATAATATTACATCCAATCCTTAATATAAAATCTTGTTTGACTTTTATTTTGATCATAAATATAAAATCTCAATCCACTTTGTCTCTCATATTTATGTATTTTTTCCCAAAGTAACCCTTCTAATAATAGTACTTCTAACCAATACACTTGATTAACAAAGATATTTTAAAAAAGACAACACTTATTTATTACAAATAACTAACTTAACTTATTTTCTTAATCTATTCAAATTAGTCAACTAACTCCTATATTACCTCCAGTCCTAATTATAAGAGCTAGTTGACTAGTTTGATGAGATTAAGGAAATAAGTTAAGTTAGTTATTTGCAATAAATATATATTGTCTTTCCTAAAACATCATTATTTGCTAAGTTGATTGACTAGAACTACTATTATTAAAAAGACTATCTTGGAAAAAAAAATGTATAAGTATGAGAGACAAAGTGGATTGAGATCTTATAATTATGATCAAAATAAAAGTCAAACAAAGTTTTATATTAAAGACCGGAAGTAGTATTTAATTGTCTAACTAAACTAATACAATCTTTTGTGATTGACCAGACCCACTGATAAATCATTAAATATTAAATAACATTAAAGAAGAACTAACTAAAAAACAGATTTGTTTTGGGTTATTGAAAAAAATTTAAAATAAAAAATAAAAAGAAAACCGGCACTTAACCTACTATTGTTTCTCCCATTCTGATAAATGCCTAGACCAGACCATAGGCTGATTTCTTGCCAAAACATTGGAACCGATTAGTCCAACTTAGTTTTGTCAATGTTTATAGTTACATTCCCACAAAAGGGAAGGAAAAAAAAATCCAAGTACGTAAAGAGAAGTCAGACTTTTGCATTGTTTCTTCGAAGTGATTAAAAGGGAAATGGAAGAGAATGCTGGATGAATGTTATTTATTTTCTGCTCATGAGAAAGGAAATGTTATTTATTCGTATGGCATGACTTTCTCTTCTGATCCTATACAACCTAACATTAAAGAAATAAAGAAACAAAAAGCTTAAAAAATACTTTACCATTAGAGGCTTTTCTTCATTCACATTCAAACCTTTTTTTCCCCCGCTAAGACATAAATATCCTTCTATTAGAGGTAATTACATTTGAAGTACTATCAGGTACTAAATATAAACACCTCTCCCAGCAGATATTCAAACATTAGTTCACCACATTGTGAGATATTAGTTTCTTCTTCTAGACTCAAACCCCCTTAGGCATTCAAACCCTTTTAGTATAATTAAAAAAAAAACGTCTTGACCTGGTTTACTCACCCAGAAGAGGGAAAAAAGACTCTAGTAACACGATCTAGCAGTGTGATCAAACGGGCAAAGGAAACACCGTTTCTCGCAGACTATCTACTTGGGGCATAAAATATTCCCCTTCACAAAAAGAATAAGAATATATTTGTAACTTATTCATGGGGACCCCAGCTGGTATCCCTTTAAGGTTTTCACACTAGTACTCAACATAAACCTTGGTACAATCTGCTGACAAAAAACCAAAACAAAAATGATGCGGAGTAAGAAACAACCAATTCCTGATCAGAAGAACCCACAACTTTGCGAGACATTACAGTTGAAAATCTAACCAACGAAAGGGGGAAACAAAACAAAAAGAAAGAAAGAAAAAGGAAGAGATGCTGTGGATCATTCTTATATTGCTGCCTCACATGTGAATGCATGATACACTTCCACTATATCCCGCAATCTGATTTTACATCTCACTCAAATCCCAAAAACTGAAAAATCTAACAGAAACTCAAAACTCAAGCCTTGACATTCCCTTTGTAACTTCTATCCCTATATCTCTGATCCTCAAAATAGGCACTCCTGTTAGCCTACATAACCAAACATCTTGTATCTTTAACGAAACAAACTAATACCAGTGATCCGTATACTTCAGAATTCACCTGCTTCACTGTTTCTTCTTCACCTACAGTTTCGTACGTGTCTTCAAAATGATCTTCCTATGTAGCAATTCCTGAAGAAAAGAGACAAGTTTCAGTGTTAGTATACTTAGTTGCTTAGTTTGTGCCAGGCAATAAACTATAATGAACATTTCGCCCAAGAAAAAGTGTAATGAACATGTTTCAAGTAAATTTGATTAATCTGTTTTTCCTATCCAAGTGATTTAATTCTGTGAAATAAAGTTAGAATGAAATGAACAGATGCCTTGGCAGAAGGGGAGTGGCAAAGGGCTGAATGTTAATGGCATCCACGTGAGGTACCAACCCTTGAGCAATCTAACTAAAAGGGATTGAAAGGATCTGAATTCCTTGCATTTAGCAGGTAAATGTACAGTGTGTAGATAGAGAGAGATGGATAAAAACAAGATGTGGGTAGAAAGAGAATAAGCGAGTTCCATGCCCATGTTCACTCTTATGCATCACACACTCTCTTAAATACACAACACATCATTGCAGAAAATCTCAATCCGGGATTAAAATATAGGAGTTCCATATGAAATTGATAAAAAACAAAACAGGATCACGTATTTAGATATCTAAAAAATGTATGAATGACGGTGTACGAATATTTTGGATATTATACATGATCATCGCCGTAACTTCTGAAAATGCACCTGGAAAATGACAGAAAAATTGCATTTGAGCTTCCTTAATTTTTTTATCCACCATCTATCCTTATCCGCCAAGATCTATGTCCATAATCTGACACTTGTAAATGCGTATGCTTCCTGGGTCAACACTCATTTTTCTCTCACCTCCCTTGTGGACTGTCACTCAGTAGAAACTCCTATCATATATGGCTCTTTTTTTGGTTATAGTTATCTTTCATTTCAAAATTAGATTTTATTTATTGGGCGCACGTAACCTCTAACTTTTCAAGTTCCATGGAAGTATAGAAGCTAACAGCAGCATAACGTTAGAATGGCTTTCCAAAATTGTAAAGGGAGAAGAAAATAAAGGCAGTCAAAGGATTTCTAAGAATCTTTTCTATCAAGCAGCATAAACATGACTTGTGGGTAGAACAAATGTATTCAATCATCACAATCAAAGCAAGGAAATATTGAAACCACACAATTAGGCCTACGTATTAAAATAGTCCAGAAGAGGATCACCGGGATTTCAAATGGAAGTGCGAGAAAAAAAGATCACAAATAGATAAAGAATAAAACATGGCAGAAAACCACAAATAGATAAAGAATAAAACATGGTAGAAAACAGCACAACAGAATTAATTTAACATTTATTCTTTGAAAAAAGAAAAGATTCGAAGACATTTAAATGTATTGTCAAGATAACCCACCCAAACTTAAGTAATTGGAACTCTAGCTGCCCAGCATTATCCATGTTTTCATCAAAAACACGTATCTCTAACAGAAGAAACGTATGCATATGTACAACACCACCTTTCATACAGTAGCAAAAACAACTCCATGAGTTGTTATATGGTCAGAAACCCCCCATTCATAAACCTTATTTGCCTCATAGCTTTGTCCTGGAAGTGCTTGACAGCAGCTTCATAGCTGGAGATGACAAAAGCTTCATAGCCAGAGAAGAGACTATGGGGATTTTAAATTTAAAGCATCATTCGCACTGAGTAGTGAATTTAATGAAGCAGGGGGAAGATTCATATAGAACTGATAAGGAATTTGCTTAGGACAGTGGGTATTCTTAAAACTACAGCCCTACAGGCAAATTTTGGCAGCTTCAGGGGGTTCTTAAGAACTGGAGCAGAGGCATTTTGGCCCTTATAAGGTGTTGGAAAGGATAGGTGTGCTGCCTAAAAATTAGAACTACCTTCAGAGTCAAGAATGCATCCAACATTGCATGTCTCCTTACTGAAGTTACGTCCACATCCTTTTGTGAAGCAAAGGAGTCCTCCTTATGACTGGCCAGAGCTCCTTACAAGCTCAGAATCAGAAAAGATTCTGAGTAAGATGGTTGGTAGACATAAAGGAGATATTATCACTGAAGTTTTGGCGTAATGGAAGGGCTTACTGGATGCAGAAACATCTTGGATGCTCCCTGTTCCAGTTTCAACAGAAGTTTTGAGATTTTGTGATTCCTTTTTTTTTTGGGGGGGGGGGGTTGTGTCGGGGCTATTGAGTGGTAATAATATCATAAATGACAGAGTGAGGAGTTATGAAAGTTAGTTCAGTGAGGGAAATATTAGAAAATAGCTGTTAAAATTGTTGCCTAAAAATTGATGTACCAACTTGTATTTTCAGATTATGTTGCGAATAATACAGTCGCATTACCAGTCTCTGTTCCTCAGTTTCTCTCAACTTTCTCCGTCTTCTCACTTAATTCCCTCTCAATTCTCCCTCTTCGTCTCCCTTCCCTCCCCTTCTCTCTCTCGTCCAAGTCACAAACCTACATCACACTCATACAGTCACTTTATTAATATTAATTGGGTTCTGCATAGAAATTACTTTAATACAGCTTTCTGTTTATACGTACAAAATGCATTAACATGTATCTAATCCCAATCAAACTATATTCTAAACTAATCAATGGGATAGTGTGGGAATGAATGATTAAAAAAAGAGCATATTTTCCATCGTCAGAGATCAATTGAATATGAATCTGAAATTAATTCATGATGCATACCAGATCAACGAACATTAAGTTATTAAACTAGCAAGAGAACAGCTCACCTATTCACCAAGACTACAGTGCAAAATTCTTAAAACAAACATTATAACAGTTAAACATTGCCATGTCATCTTAGATATAGAGTAATTAGTAATAAATATTTTGATCCTATCCATTCAGGCCACACAAGGGTTTCCGGAGGATGAAGAAAGAGGAGAAGCAAGAAAATATAATTACAATAGCTCTTACCTCTATTTGACTGTCTCTTATTAACAGTGTAACCACCAACATAACCAGGAGAGCTTTTGGCAGAAACATCTGAAGCTGCGCTGCCGAGACCATAACCAAAGGGAACAGACCCATCTCGCTCAGAATTTGAAGATCGCCAAGTGGGATCCCCATAAACTGAACTGCTATTGTAGAAATCAGTAAAGGCCCCATCAAAAACACCATTTGATGAGGAGTATGATGATGTTGGGGCAATACTGCCACCACCGCTTCCGCCATACCCTCCACCCCCCAAACCATAATTACTGTCAGCACCTCCGTAGCGAAGATTACCACTACTCTGAGACATATTGTTCAAACCAGCTTGACTGGAAACTCCTGATGAACCCCAATTCACTCCAGTCCCATATGAGTTTCCTCCAGCATTACCAGTTCCTGATCCCATGTACGCATTATTGGAATTTGCAGAGCCCGTTCCATAATTAAGACCACCAGCCCCCCACAAGTTTCGAGTCACAGAGCTGAAGAAAGAATTGTTTCCTCCATTGCCACCATCATACCCAATAGGACTCCCAAACCTATTTGAGCTGCCAACATAGTAAGGATTTAATCCCCGAGCATAGCTAAGATTGCTATTGAAGTTTGCATTCCCTCCAAATCCAGGGTTCAAGCCAGGCTCAAAATTCATACTCATTCCATAACCAGATCCAAACGGAGCAAATCCACTTCGACCACTTGCAACAGGACTGAATCTACTATCCATCCTCAGTCCGTAGCCTCCAACAGCACCTGGAGTATACCCCTGAGTGAAGCCATTTAGGAAACTACTGACCCTACCCATACCATAATTATATCCACTAAGTGGGCTGCGGTTTGGTCCTGGTGATAACTCCTTAGGAACCGCCCGCTTGACCTCAACCATTTTACCATTCAGTTCATGAAAAGTCTTAAGCAAGACCTTTTCAACAGCTTCTTCAGAATCATAAGTGATAAATCCAAAGCCTCTTGGCCTCTGAGTGTTGTGATCATACATCACTACAACATCCGTTATTGTCCCAAATTGATCGAAGTACTTCTTGAAATCACTCTCTGTGACTGTTGATGCTAAACCTCCTACAAATATCTTTCTTGTGCGGCCTGGACCAGGAGAACCATGGATGCTACTACTGTTTCTGTTCAGTATGTTCTGGTCATCTCTAGGAACAGCCTTCTTTGCCTCAACCTAATGATACACGAATCAGTATTCTTTGCCAAACCATCTTAAAGCAGAAAAAATGATATTAAAAACAAAAAAGCATCGAAGTAAACAAATTGAGACAATTTAACCGTTTTTGAGAATGGAGTAGTCTATCACACCATTCAACGAGAATAACTGCTTGAAAACTATGTAGAGCCTGAATTGGAAGGAGAATACACATAGAATTACTTACCATCCTTCCATCAATGTTGTGCTTCTCTTTTATGACTCTATCTGCAACAGCTGGGTCAGCAAAAACTACAAAACCAAATCCACGAGCTCTACCAGTTGTCCGATCCTTCATTATCACTGCTTCCACAACCTCCCCATAGGAGCTGAAGTACTCCCTAAGTCGCTCTTCATTTGTGTCCCATGATATCCCCCCAATAAATAACTTGCCATTATCCGATTGCATTTTATCTACAGACAAAAAATACTCCATCTCCTTAGTTCAAATACTACAGATGCAGGTGGCAGCATCATCGGAAAGGATAAAGACAAGCTTCCATAGGATAAACCAAGCACCAAATTTGGATGACAAAAAAGCAGGTCCGCGGAGGATCCAATTCATTTCAGAATTATAAGATAACCAAACCCGAACAAAACAATTGATTCAAAAGCGTATTCTCGGTTAGAATAAAATCAGAACTTAATAGCATTACCATTTATCAAATTGTTCGAGTACATGTAGTTCTATTTACGCCATCAAAGGCGTTTAGAGAATCAGCAAAAGCATTATGAACGATACATTTAATTATGACAAATTCAGAAACTGTATTTACGGTGTAAATACAGATATTCCCGGATTCAATTATGAAACATCGGATCTTCACCTATCAGAAAATCAGACCCAGAATTAAGCACTTCCAAAAAAACCATAAATATTTTCAATAAGTGAATTCATCGAGATCCAAAGGCACATCAAATTTTGCAAAGATCAAAACTTCAATCCAGATTTCGTCCAAACCCACCGATTCAAGACGACCAGGATGCCAAATCTGGGAGAAAACTAAGATCTGAGGGGAGGCACAATAAGAATAAGAGCAGAGGACAAGTTCATTATCTATCTATGCCTCCCCACCCTTTTCTTCGTCTTCCAGTTGTGTTTAATTAGATTACCGAATGCAAATTCAGTTACCAAACCGATTGGGAAAAAAATAAAAATAAAAAATCTATATATATACAGACTGCGGAGAGAACAGAAGCTATGTGAAGAGAGGGCAAGACAGAACAAAGGAGAAGCGAGGTGGCTGGTGTGAGAAATATATAGGGACAATGGAAATGGAAATGGAAATTTTAACCCTTTTTTTCCCCTGTTGGGCCTGCGATTTAAAATATTTATTATATATATATATATATATATATATATATGCACGCGCCCATATTTAAATAAACAAATTAATCTATAACACTTTCAGGTATTATTGTAATAACAGTAATTTAAATTTTAAAAATTGTTAGTACTACATGCGATGCCTCTTAGATTTTTCTTTTTTCTTTGTATGTAAACCTCAACAATGAGAAATTATTTAAAAGACATCGCATCTTTCTTACTTGATTCAATTTAATTGTTATTAGTATTGATCAACAATCAACATCAATTTATAATTATAAAAATAAAATAACCTAGGTTAGGTTGTAAGCAAGGTTTGAGCTGCAGATAGTGCTTATAATTCAAATTCAGATTGAAAAAGGAAGAGATGAGAATTAATATATCAATGAATATAACTAAAAATAGGGTTAAGATTTCAGATGTATCTAGCATTTTAAAGTATAACGCATCAAACGCCATGAAATATTTTTTTAAATGCGTCCAACACCCTAAAATATTTTTTGATGCATTCAACATCATGAAGTATTTTTTTAGATTTGCTCATCACCCAAAAATATTTTTTAGTACATCTAACTCCAAGGCAAAAAAATACTTCAAGGTATTGGACGCACCTGAAAAATACTTCAAGGTGCTAGATGCATCTGAAAAAATATTTCGGAGTGTTGGATGTACCTTAATCCTTATTAATATAAAAATACTTCAATATGAGTAATTATGCTATTTGTAAACAATGACAGAAAATTTTCTCAAATTTCATATAACATAGGGGAAAAAATGCGTCTCATTGTAATTTCAATGGAGTAAAGGACAAAAGTATTCTAAAATATAAATAAGAAATCGGAGAAAAATAAAATAAAATTTTATAAACTTTACTTTTTAATATAAAAACTATTTAATTAATTCAAGCAAATTAAAAAATAACTAACAGTTTTAAATGACAGAAAATGACTATATTTTTCTCAAGTGAAAGAATCTGTCCATTTGAGAAAATAATTAAATTTGATATAAAAATAATGAGACTGAAACATAAATTAACAAGTTTAGAATAAAGAATAACAGTATCTTTTTTTTTTAGCACTACATGAGGACATATTAGTTATTTTCTCACATTTTCATAATTTCAGTTTAGACTTTTCTTTCTTTCCTGTCATTTGGAAGTGTTAGTTGTCTTTTTTTGGAATTTCTTATTCTTGAAGTTCCTTATTAGTCATTGTTCCAATTAAGAAACCAAATAAATGAATTAATGATAAGAAATATTTCATAACCTCTCTAAAATATTTGTCTATAATATTAGATTATATACCAATTTATAAGATAGATAAACCAGTGTGCAGAAAATAACAAATACGAGAGAAAATAGATTAAAATTTTATATTTAGAATCAAATCTAACTTTTTAACTGGCTTCTATATTAAGAATATGATATAGCATTTTCTTGAATTAATATAATGTTTGGTCATTGTAGTTTACTTTCATTTTAATTTTAGTATATACATAATTTTAAATTTTAAATCTTAATCCTTCAAAAAGCAAAATGATTTAAATTCTATTAAAATATAAATATTGACATTTTAGACGGAAACAAACTTCAGAAACTGAAACCTATTATTTCCAACTAAACTTTTATATTGGTATGCGACAACCACATTGACGGATTATACATATTTTGAAAGGTAATGTAAAAGCAAGGATTGATTGGTGGAGCCGTGTAGGCAGTGCTGATTCCTTTTAGACAATTTTTTTTTTTTCCTTTTTTTTTTTTTTGGGTTTAGGGTAAAAACCAATTTGATTGGGGTAGACAGCTTTTTGGATGTGTGCATGGACGCAGAGAATTGAAACCCACTTGAGAGGGAATGACCCACCACGTGTAAAAGTCCCTCCATTTATTGCGTTTCATCTTCTTCTTCTTCTCACATTTCTGCTGTCTTCTTCATTCACGCTTTGCCCCTTCTCTTATCTCCCACACCTCACCCAAAATTACAACACCACATGGTTCGATGTGGTACTCTAATTAAAATTTCATGGGCCCACCTTTGCCCTATCATGGGCCCACCCCGAACAATATAAAAGGCCCAACTTTTCGTTGATCACGATGATATTGATACCTTACCTCCCTTTTTACCCACTGTTACTTTTTGTTCCGCCATCTTTTACCCACTGTTATAGTGACTTTTTGTAAAAAAAAGTTCATTTAATATTAACCTGCTTATGAGGTCCTTAATTGTAATTTTCCTCAAAATGAAAGAGATACACATGCTTTATCTTTGCCATTATTTCAACTGTGCGCATAAAGGTTACACTTAAAAACTCAAAATTAATAAAGTATTTAAATTAAGTACAAATTTTTAAAATGATCATCAGTAATGTTTTGTGTTTCGTGCTGTGTTTTTTTAACTAATTCAAAATTTTTACTTATATCTAGGAGTGTTTATAAGATGGGATGTCTCAGTCTTTTCGTCCCATATCTCTTCCCATTTGGGATGGGATATAACTGGAAGAAGACATTGACGTCTGATATAATTTGTTTTGAATTTTTTTATTTCACAACTAAATTTACATCAAGTATAAAAATTTATGATAAAACTTATATAAAAATAGATAAAACTTAACCACAAATTAGCAATAGAAATTAGCAAAGAAAAATTACCTAATTTGAAAGACAAAGACATATAAACTTAAAACATCCACTAAAAAGCATTGCACAATCCATACTAAAAAAAAATTGTAAACAACACAAACATAAAAATTATAATAATAAGTAAAATAAATTCATAAAATTTTAAAAACAAAGAGAGATAATATATCTGGACAGGATTGGGACCAGGATAAGACACCTCGATGTCGTGTCTCTTGTCCCATTTTGTCTCAAAACATTTTTGCCTCATCTTCTTTTTATTATCTTTTGAAAATTTTTGGGATGAAGGTGTCCTGTCTTAAAATAATTAGATCAAGATGAGATAAAATTGAACAATCTTATATGTTATATTAAAGTATAAGGAAAAATTATTTTTGAATTTTTAAATTATTAATACACACACTTATATATTTTAATTTAAAATTTTTATGCAAGTTCGTTGATCTAAAATTAAGCTTCAAACGTAAAAGCTTGCAGCGGAAGAAACTGATGATCGTGGGACACAGTGAAAGCGTCCCGCGTACTCTTCGAACGGTTTAAATGAATAAATTAAATTATTATTAAATGAATGGAATATCCGCTCCGACTTTCATATCATTGGCTGAACAAGCGAGGCTGCTTCTCCTTCCCTCCAAAACCCTAGCTCTTCAAATCTTTCCCTCCACAATTTCAAATCTTTCAAATTCCAAGCCAAAAATCAAATGGAGCAGAGCTACCATTCCAATTCCAATTCCAATTCCCCTATATATTCCGATCATGACTCTCCTTCATTCCCATCTTACCAGATCTCCTTCTTCCCAAACTTCCAACTCTTCTGCTCCTACCCCATTATTCATCAATGGCCTCCTCCAACAACTCAATTCCCTTCGCCCGTACCAATGATTTTTCCCAATCCGCTCCTCGCACTACTGGCGAGGTTCATGTTATTGTGGGACCAATGTTTGCTGGCAAGACTACTGCTCTACTCCGTCGTGTCAAGTCTGAGGCTGACAATGGCAGGTAGGTTTGACTTTGGGTTTCTGTTCTGCTTCCACAAAATAACGTCTTTCCTTTTAATATGAGGATTCCAACTGAATTTTGAACCAGGCATGATTTAAGGAATGAAATCGCGAATTGCGTGAATTACATGTTCTGTATGAATGATTAGAGATCAAATTTCCGTTTGCGCTTTTGGTGGAACAAGTGATCTTGGTTTGGAGGATTGGATTCATCTCTGTTTTTCTTTTTTCTTTTATTTATGTGAAGAAATGTGGCGATGATAAAATCCAGCAAGGATAACAGATATGCAATTGACTCAGTTGTGACACATGATGGGATTAGATTCCCATGCTGGGCGTTGCCAGACCTGTCTTCATTTAGAGCAAAGTATGGAGATGATTCTTATGAAAAGGTATTACCATTGATTATACTGCATAAATATGGCCCTCCGGTAGTCTTCATCTTAATTATACTCTGATGGGTACTCTTTATGATAGGATTCTCGTAGCTGTTTATGTATTTATTTTTGCTTTGGTGCCTCCAATTTTAGATCTTGTATTTTTCCCGGTGAGATGACGTTCTTTTTTTGCCAGAAAAGGTGAGCCTGTAGAAAGTTGCTCACTGTGAATCTATTTTGAGGCAGGCTTGAGAGGCATTGTCCTTGCTGCCTGATGAGAGGCTTATGTGTAAAGGGCAATGACGAGAACATTATTTTAGAATGTGTTGACAATAATTATGGCTATTTCTCTCTACTTAAATAATGGAACAAGGTTAGGTAATGATTGGTAAAAAATACTTGAATTCTAGAAAGAGCATATTTTGAGGGAATCCTAGCCTTTGACTTGATAACGTTGTAAGCCAATACGTCTGATGCAGGTGTGATGGTTTTGTTCTTGATTTGTGACCTTTTTTTATCGTTCAAATTTTGTGGGCGCAGTTGGATGTGATTGGTATAGACGAGGCTCAATTCTTTGACGATCTCTATGATTTTTGCTGCAAAGCTGCTGATAATGATGGTAAAACTGTTATAGTTGCAGGTCTAGACGGTGACTATTTGAGGTACTGGTCAAAAAGGAACTTTCTCTTCCTTGATCCCCTTTTTCTATGTAGCACTACTTACTATTCTGATTAACCACTTTAGGGCTTTTACGTTTATGTGCTATTAATCAGTTTCATTTCAAAAACTAGTGACATTCTTCTCATTATGGCTGTTTTGCTCTTTAGGAGAAACTTTGGTTCAGTGCTCGATATTATACCACTGGCTGATACTGTAACTAAGTTGACAGCCCGTTGTGAACTATGTGGCAAACGTGCCTTCTTCACATGGAGGAAGACACAAGAGACACAGACTGAACTGATTGGTGGGGCTGACGTGTACATGCCTGTGTGCCGTTTCCACTATGTCAATGGACAAATTGCCATGGAAACTGTGAGAAGTGTTCGGGAACCTCGTAAAGTGAAGAGTGAGTCCTTTCTGGAGGTGGCTCCAGTTATTTAGTGATATAATCATAATGACTTGGTTTGTGTTAGGTATAAGTTTAGTCAGTCTTTATAGTGAAAGCCAATTAGTGCCTTACAGATAGGATAACGTTGTTTTGAGTTGGAGCTCACGTGGTTTAGGTAGTATTGTCTGTTCCATTGTCTCGATTTTATGTATATATGCATTTAAGTTTCTTCTTGATCTTTTAGATCTGTACTTCTACTTTGATCTGGAGTGGACTATAGAAAGAGATCATGAGAGAGCCTGAACTGAGATCCTTACATGTTATGACAATTTAAAGAACTTCCAATACCAAACCTGTGCCAATGTGTTCTTTACAATTTACATGCTTATAAATTAAGAAAACTTATAAGAAACAAAAGTTTATTGGCAATGATATTTCCTTTACAACTCTATTAAACTCGGATTCAATCATAACTCATTTTTGCTTGAACAAACGTATGAGAAACTAATTCTCTTAAGTTTCAAATATAAGGTCTATTTAAAGGTTTTGGTTTAGTATAAGATTTCATTTCCTTTGCATATTAACTTCTTTTCTTACTACTCATTAATTGAGATGTTTTTATTTTTATTTATTAAATTATAACCATTAAATAACGAGATTTTTTTTTGAAAAACGCTACAAATGTTTTATATATTAATTATAAGTAACTAACTAATTTATTTTTTATATTTTGCAATTTGATTAAGGAAACTTTAAAGGCCGGAAGAGCATGATATTTTAGTAGACTAGTATGTTCTAAGAATCTTGTGATCCAAAGAAGGTATATTAAATTTATTGAACGTTACCATACATCAAAGTTTAAAACTGAATTGACCTATTGGCCAAAAAAACAAAAAACTGAATTGACCTAAATTCTGCAGGCTCGCCAGGTTTTAGGGAAAAGATTGTAACTAATTCTCAGCCTTTGGCTAAGATCAACTGCAATAATGCATCCATTTCATTCAAGAAGCAATTCAAAAATTATGGTGGAGCCTCTTCAAGTCTCCTCTATTGATGATTTGAATCGGGAATTAAGTCATAGTGGCAGGAACCATAACCTGCGTTCAAAAATTAAGCAGTCACATTTCAATAGTGTAAAAAAAAGCATAATACAAATTTACTAATTACCACTACCTCCTGTCCTCGATATAAGACCTCGTTTGACTTATATTTTGATTTTAAATATAAGACTCCAATCCATTTTGTCCCCTCATATTTATATATTTTTTTCAAAGCAGTCCTTCTAATAATAGTAATTCTAATCAATACACTTGATTAGCAAAGATATTTTAGAAAAGACAACACCTATTTATTACAAATAACTAACTTAATTTATTTTTTTAATCTTTTCAAATTAGTCCACTAACTCTTATAATTAGAACTGAAAGTAATATTATAATCTTGATACATCTCCGTTATTCACTATCGAGGGTGAATTTAATTCAGTCAATGCACCATGAAAAAAGTTGAGGGAGATATAAGTAGACTCTTGTAATCTCAAGAATTGAATCTGACTAAGAATTATATAGGCTAGTCTTATTAAACATTTAATCTCCTTTAAATTTATAATGCCAGTTGACTCAGCCATATCTATACTTTTTAAGATTCGATAACCAACAAACTCAAAATGAGTCATATAATGTAAAAGGTGTAGGTGGGTTGATGCTCAGCCTGTACAAGTGACGTGTACATAAATATTGATGGAATATCAATGATAAATAATGCAATCCCAACTCAACGCATCAAAATTATGATATTATTATATAAGGGGCAATATATCTAGACCTAAGTGCTTGGATTATTAATCTCTAAATTATAATATTTCTCTGATTTTTAATATGAGATAGTAAAAATTATTTAACTAATTTGAATAGATTTAAAAAACTAAATAAATTACTTGATTTTAGTAAATATAACATGATTTTTCTAAAATACTTTTATATAACGTTAGAATATATATTAGATTATTTTCCAAAAAAATAATAAATATGAAAAAATAAAAGGATTAATAGAAGTTTTGGTTTTTTAAATTTATCCTCATTTTGATTTTAATCCCTTAAATTTCAAATTATAAGTTTTGATCCCTCAAATTTCTTTTCATTTAAAATATTAGTTCTTATAATACAATAAAAATCTTGACTATGTTTTTCTTAGAAGAACCAAAACTTATGACTTAAAATTTAAAAAACTAAAATCAAAATGAGAGTAAATTTAAGAGACTAAAGATTATATCACCTCAAAATAACATAAATTAAAATTTTACATTTATTATTAAAAATTAACAAATTGGAAGAACAAAATTATAATTTTGAATCTTCTCATTACAATTTCCAAAAGTGGAGTGTATGTATTCGCATCAAGTAATCGTGATGTCATCGCATCACATGCCTTAACTTTTTCAGTGCACATGGAGGCACCTTTTGCTGATCTCAATGCCAATGATGCTGAACATGTCTTTGATAAATAATTGGTTTATCCCAAAAGCACAAAGGACAGTTATCAAATAAAATTTGTTTTGACATACCAAGGAGTCAGCTTAGTTTATGGGAAGATAGAAATATTTCTGCTGCAATTTGGATTGGTTTCCTCCGTGAAGTACTCTCAGATGACATCGGAGAGCGTGCCTTTAGGACTGGTTGGCACAAAATCTAAGAATACTTCTCACTTTGATCATAATAAAGGAAAAGTTTGTTCAATATTTTAAGGGAACATTTCAATGGATAATTATAAATCTGGCCAAATGCCATTTGGGGATACTATAGTTATAGAATTATATTCTAAAATGTAAATTACATAGATTTTTCTTGAATTTTATTGGAATTATTTAGGATCCTCTTTCAATTACACAAATGACATAAATCTCAAATTTTGCCAAAGTTACATTACATTATCTCGTATTCAAAGCATACGCATCTCACTCAAAGTAAACCATAATTCTGTATTTTTTAAGAAATTGAAATTGAATTATTTATAAATTACAAATGGTGCACTACACCTTAAACTTATATATTTTTCATTTTTTTCTTGAATTATGTTCAAAATTGCACAGCCATGCATTTCTCATATTTTTCAAATGTCTCATGAAAATACCGAGAATGCTGACATGTATGTTTGTGTAAAAATCAAGGAAAAATAGTGTAATTTACTATTGAACATGTGACTAAATTTTACACAGACAAAGTGTTTAGGAAAAATAACAGAAATATGCCTGTTCAGTGTTTAATTTTAAAAAAACAAATAGATCAAACAACTACTTCTGTAATAATTTTGACTACTTTTATAATAGTTTTGACATGTCAAATCTGTCAAAATCACTTATTTGTTATTTTAAAATTCACGAGGTATTTTTTTTTGGTCATTCTCCCAAGTGTTTATCTAGCTTAGTAAATCCCAAGGGAGGTTTGTGTAATTTATTTTGTGATCGGAGAGACTTAGGTAGGTTTTGAAAATACCGAAAAACAAAAACAAAGAAATTAAGGCAAAAGTGAACTAATGGTGGTGTGATACGTACTGGGATCTTCTTGTGTGATAATGGCAGCACCTCTGAAGTAGCAAGATCCTCCAGAATGCTTGAACTTCTGGAAATAGCTGTTGAAAGCAAAGGAAGCATGGCTCCTCATTGTGTTTGGGAAGAAGCAACTTTGCTTCGCTTGAATCTTACTGCAATCTGCTCCTCCTTTCCCACATGCCCAATCCACGGCTGCCTGCAACTCTTCATCAGGTGTCTGCTCATCTGCTATGCACCACTGTTCATCTTCACCATACACTGCATACATATGTGTGTGTGTGTGTGAGAACAATAATGTAAAGTTTAACAGATAAAAATGAGAATAATAACGTAAGGTTTGATTTGAGCTTCTGTTTACCTGTTTTTGGCGGAGTCATTGACAGAAAAAGCAGCAAAACCATTAGTTTCAGTGTCCATGCAGTTGCCATTGTTGAAGCTGCTTGAAGCAGGTAGGAGCAGAAAGACTTTGTTCGCAATTCAAGACTTGTGGACTAAAAAAGAAAGGCCAAGCAGCAAGTTTTATAATGACATTTATCCTTCAGATTTGTTTTAATCTTTTTCTTTTACCCTTTTGCGTGTTCTTCCAATTCAGTGTCTCACTTTTCCTTGTCATGAAGCATCTGATACTTCATTGCACATATAATATTCAGTTTATTATAAAGAATCATTTTGGTACTACCCTAACGTATAATCTTCATGGATTCATTTTGATAAAAGGAAGCATCTTTTCGGTTCTCTTAGACATGATACTATAGAAGATTAGGTGACCCGGCTAGCCAATGCGATACGATAGATATCCGACCCGACTTTGACCCGACCCATGAACACCATTTGGGTGCCTTTAAGTCAAATTAGATGAGAATGAAGATGGGATCATGTGCATAAATTGTCAATTAAACAAGCAACTTGCCAGTCACAGATCCATGACAGTGAAAGGGATATGGGTCAGGCACATGCAGAGCACAATGATATCCATAAAGTTCTAAAATACAAAAGAAACGTTATCTCCAGTCATTGTCAAGTTCAAAGCTTTCTTTCACAAAGATGCTTCTGAACCTAAAGCTTTCTCTGTTTTCCCCACTAATCTAATTAGTGTGGAGAATATAGTCATTAGAAGAAACTGAGATTAATACTTATCCCATTTATAAGGTAATTTTAGCATATTTTATGTGGACTAAAAAAAATCTTAAACCGTATTAACTCTCTATTAAAATATAATAACTTTATAGCTTTACCCATATTTAATATATACGATTTTCAAAAAAATTATTATCTATACTATAATAAAATAAGGACAAAATAGTAGACTCATGTTAAAAATTTAATAAAATAACTTATAAATAGAAAAAAAAAATATTCTCTTTTTGTTTTATAAATAGGATGAGGAGTATATATGATGATAAGACACATGTTGATTGAATGTGAGCAACTTGAGCTTCACATGGGATGGAATTTTGTGATGTGAGGATACATAAAAATCCCTGAATTCAAGTTTTTCTTTCCCAACAAGAATTTCAAGCTGTGATCTGATTAGCCTATTGTCCGGTAAATCAGTTCAGCAAAATTGAATTTTTTTAAAGAAAGAAAGAAAGAAAACAGTGCTTTTGGGACTCTGGGGCATTAATTCCCTTCTGGGGCATTAATTCCCTTCCTCCATGATAACTTTGGAAGTCCATTCTTCTAGTAAGTAATGCACTTTTTTTGCAGAGTTATTTTCAATATTTTCCTCGTACTATGTCCCCAGAGAATGATTTGGTCTGTGTAATTTAAGCCGCACAAATAGTCAACATTGATATATTTATAAAAGTTGTAGATCGCACCATATAGTGTATATAATATTTATAAATTATGAATAATGAAGTTCATTTTAAAAGTTCTGTGCAAATGCATGCCACAAGTCCAATTGTATTGATTATTATTCTCCACTTTCCCATTATTTGTCTTCTTTGCATTATTATAAGTGCCATTATCTTTTACTCATCACATTTGGAGATGATCTTATTTCTTACACATAAATACATCTTTCTACCAAATTTGAATAATTTTCATAATATTTTATTTTTTAAATTTATTTTTATTTTGGAAACTGTGGAATAAAAAAAATAAAATATTAACTGTCAAAATAAATTCTGAATAGGCTGGCTGAAGGAGCATGGTTGTTTCCCCCAAAATAAGAGAATCCCAACACGATCAACAAATAGTCAGTCTGAAAATGGCATCCCTTTTTTCAATAAAAGAAAAAGCATTTAAGCATACTCTAACAATATTAAGAATTTTAAAATGTCATAAAAAAACCATAAATTTTTTTGATGGAATTAAAAAAAATTTAATTTTTTCCAACTCTCATCTTTCATATCTTTACTCATCTTCCACATTAATAATCATTTTTAACATTTTCAATAATTAATCTGTCAATGTTTTAACAATCATTTTAGATATTTTTAGTATTTATTTTCCGTGTTTTCAATACTTATTTTTCATTAATAAAAATATGAAAAATAATTATTAAAAATATTTCAGTTGACTAATAAAAAAATTTAAAAAATTGAGTGCTAAAATGTAAAAGAGATATACTGCAAATATGAAAGATGGGTAGTTAAAAAATTAACTCAACAAAATTATTCCAACCAAAGGCCGTAGTCTTCTTGTATCTTATATGTCATTTCCCCCTTTTTCATTAACAAAGTTTAACCTAAATATAAAACATCAATTCACTTTATCTACAATATTTATCCATTTTATTCACAAGTAATATCTCAATGGTGATTACACATATTAAAAAGTTTTCATAAAAAGATAATTTTAATACACATGATTTATAAGAATATTTTAATAAAGACAACATTTATTTATTACAAATAACAATTCTAGCTAATTTTCTTAACATACATATGAATTATCTAGCTTTTATATTAAGTAATGAAGATAATATTTTTAAATATGCTGCAAATCCTACTACTGAGTACGCCTAATCCAGACACTCCTCACTGAATACTGCATAGAGAAAAACCTTCAAATTCTTCTGTTTTGGATTTTTTTTTTTCCTTTGGCAAAAAACAAAGGATAAGACATGCGGTGGATGGGCTTATCTCTTGTAAAAACATAGTAAATGTAGGGATTTTTAAATCATTTTTCTCATATCCAAATTAAAATACTACATTTATTTGTAAAGCATTTATCAAAACACTTCAGAGTGACTTGCATAATTTAAAGACTACTCTACTCCTAGTCACATATTTAATTATAGAACCTAACTTTTATTAAATTAGTTTTTAAAAGTTTAATTGTCCAAAATTATAGTTGATGAGTCCTAAATTATTATCAGTCCTCGCCATTCAAAATTTAAACAGCAGAAAAGGAATCGCAAGCTGTTTGACAAAATGCCAAATAGAAAAAAAAAAAAAAAGGTGAAATGAAAGGTTGTGGGGAAGATGTGTCTAAAATTATTACAGGAGGACTGAAATGCGGAGACAGAAACGGATGTTGTAGCTCTAACTTGTGCCTTGTAGAGTAGCCTTTGGAACGTAACAACAACTTTCCGTAAAGCTAATTGGAGATGGGGTCTCATCAGTCACATGCAAACTTCACGTCCATGAACATGCTTCGTTTTTTTCCTGGTATGTCATCTTTTCTAATCACTTTTCAACCACTCAATCTTGTGTGTGAAATTGTGTCAAATGAAATTTCCATTTAATTTTGATTTTTCCATTGAAAAGGGAGATCTCTTTAGCAAGAGATAATACAGATAAAACACTTTAGAATCTCTCTTAACCGGTACTAAATCACTCCCAATATACATAATCATTGCTTTCAAGATCTTATGTATCATTTGTAACCCCAGAAAATTATAAAGTATTTTTTTTTTTGTTAAAGTATAAGTATCCTCCTACTCGAGACAATCCTATTCAAGGCACTATCGGACACTAAATGTGAGTACCTTTTCCTACAAGGATTTGAACCTTGGTTCACCATGTTGTGAAGAACTAGCCTCTTCTGCTAAATCCAACCTCCCTTGGTAAAATTATAAAGTATTGATTACAAATAAAATTTCCTTTTCAGTACAAGTATTTCGTTTTTTTTTTTTCATCACCATCCCAATAAACAACCCTATCCCACAGAAATTAGAAAACTGGCGTCACATAAGCTGCTATGAGAGGGACTAATAGCTTTATTGAATAAAAAATCACAAGAATCAAGAGTGCAGCTAAACTAAAAGAATAAAATATAAAAGTAGTGCTCAACTGAACAACCCTTTTTGGCAAAGAATAAGAATAAAAGGAACAGCCATGTTTGAAGATCCTTAAATATATGCCTCATTCAAAGGCCTGCCTGCCCAGCTTGTGCCTTTTCATGATAAATTGTCGGCTGTGCTGGTGCTCATATAATTACTTTGACTCCACTTGCCAAAAAGGAAGGACGGAGAGCATAGGCACAAGATCATGCACAATATAAAGTTTTGCGCATACAAACATAAAGTTCGACATAAAGCAGCACTTCAAACTAATCAGAACCCACATATATATCATATTTTCGTTCACATTGCAGGGAATATTAATTACAACAACAGGAAAAAGATTAGACCACAGAGACCCTGTATATAAGATCGTTCTCCAGAGGAGAAGGAACGACCCTCTTGTGAATTTAGACACCAAAACGGAAACAAAAGAAGAGACAAAACAAAAGCTTCAACCAAGTCCTTTCCTAATTTATGTTTTCTAAAGAAAAAAAGATATTTGCTATACGTACATATAAGCAGAGGTTCTACTATGGTTCCAGCTTCAAGGAAACGACTCGTGATTGTCTGTTGCGTTTTGCAGCCTTTACAAACACTACAGAAAGGCAAGATGGTGCCCACCATGGCCGGCGAACCTTTTGCTCCCCTTTAAGACAAGCCACTGAAGACATGAAGAGTTTTTCCCGGATAAGTTAGAGATGCTTGACATATTTTTCAAGGCAAAGAAAACTTTAATTCAGCGCTAAAGAATTCTCATCACTACTATTGTGCCAACAGTCCTCCTTGCGAGAAAAATTTACAATATAAAAGAATGACATTCCATATCTCCTTAGATAAATTAACCAGGCATGTTCGATCCATCCATGATACAATAAGTTAACGATAATCAGACATTTTCTGTCAACAATGCTGAAGCCTAGGAACTACTTTTGCATCTATGGCAAAGGGTATTTCAAAGAAAGTGTGGATTTATAACCTCCTTTCCCAAACCAGGCGACATAGCCATGCACTGAAACTCTACTAGTGGTTACTAAACAAGTGAAGTGACAACTGTAAGATGTGGCTGAATACTAACTTCTGGATAGCTTTCACAAGCTCAAACCAATGCTAAAATATCTACTCCTCTGGTTCTATTTATAGAGCAAAGAGAGAAGGTATTTTTTGGTTCTATTTATAGGGTACTGAGAGAAATTTTTTGTATGGATGTACAATTTTAACCCTCATTTATTATTATATTGACTTTGTTTATATGAGGTATAATGTATATTAAATAAGAATAAAATTGGAAAGTCATTAAATTTTAAATGAGAGTTAATGAAATTTAAGATTTTTCTTAGTCTTTGTGAAACATGCTGGAAGTGCCTTATAAATAGGACTAGAGGACTATGTCTAATACTTACACCTAACTTAAATTTCCTTGGATCGTTAAATGACAACGAACAAAATAGTACAAATACTGTAGTTACAAAATCTTATTCACTGCCCCTGTCTACACACCTATAATCAAGAGATAAAATGAGCATAATTATACACTAATGTGTGTGAGGAAGGTGAAAGGGATGAGGGGAAGCTAGAGGGGGAAAGAGAAACCTTTGATCTGCCTCAATTCCTTGCACAATGTAATGAAGTCTCCCCACTTCATGTGGCACCGTCTTATGAAGCGAAGAATCTGCTCTGTAGTGAACATTGACATTCCTTCCAGGTATTCTCCATTAACACCATTTTCTTTAAAGATTTGACGGTAACTACCAAGATTTATCTTTTCCAACCATAAGCCAACATCCTGGAAAACAGAAATAAGGTGCACAAGGAAACTGTTATTTTTCATATTTCTTATATCCTTATCCTTATCTACATTGAATGTGTGTGCATATGCGTGCGGGTGTTAAATCTCATATACACTGCAGCCGAAAAAGGTGCATTATAGGTCATTATTACCAACACCGCCAATGAAGAAGGAAAGTCCTATTCGCCAAGATTAGATCCTCTTAACATAAGTTTTACCAAATCTGTGCTATTCATGACACAATTAATCACAGATGAATTAGACAAAAGGAAGCAACAATTGAACTTAATGAAACAAATGCTCAAGATAGTCTTAGACCTAATGCACATAACCAGGTAAGTACTTATTAATATTTATGAAGAATTCAAAGAATTAGCAGAACTCCGCCCAGTCTTATCATTGCCTAGCTAGCTTTAGAGACAGGTCCAACTCTGCAATAGAAGGGTGATAGCTCATGAATTCAGTCTACTGCTATTTATTTAAGCAAGCTTTTATCATGAGAAACAGCAATCAGATTAGATGGAAATCCATTTGGTTTTCCGTAATTAATCAGTTCAAAATAGTTAAGAAACTACTACCAATTCGATGAAAATCCATTTGTCATTATGCAAAAAGAGTCATTGTCCGAGCAAGTTCCCTTGGTTTTAAGCTTATATAGGATTTGGTCTGGTATCTCTGAAAGGACGGAAAAGAAAAGGTCCCCTAAGAAACTTCTGAATAAAAAATAGTCATAAGTCTTCACAGTTCGCAGAAACTTCAAAAATCAAGTACAACAAAAACAAAAGTTTTATCACACCATTGGGATGTGTCTGAGACCAATTCTTTGGATAAACCATTCTAGAATGAAGTAGTGCTCAACAGTTCTTAGTTCTAAACTTACAAGATAATTGTTAGAGCAAGGCATATACATTGTTTATAAAATACAAATCTAACAAAAATTCAAATTTTCATCAGCAAAATAACAGAACAGCAGGTATAAAATGACACCAATATAAGAACCGTTGGTCCTACCCAACATTATAACCATCCATGCGATGCAAGTCTTATGAGTCCAACAGATGGATCTTCATTCAAAGCCATGGATGTTCTTTTGTTGAATGTCAAAGTATATTGAATCCGAAATTCAAGCCCTTTCTGTCAGATAATATATTTGCAAAACTTAAACAATTACTGGTTTCAATTGAAATACTGAACAAAGTCACCTTTGCAGGTCTGGGGAACTTGAATCAAATCTAGAAGATTTGGGACCACCAATGTGAGTTTTGTTTGATTATGAGAGTTCCAAGCGAGTGTCCACGCAAGCATAATTGTCAGATCCCACATAATGAGATGAAACTTGACTTTACCTAACCAAGTTACCCACTTGCATGGCAATAGCTGGATTTAACTTCCCAATTGACAATAACTACCTCCGTCACTTCTTTGATTAGTTAATTTAAACTTTGTTCATGATTTATAAGAACTGAAATCTTCGACTCAAAATAGTCTGACTTCAAAATGCAAAACAATAAGACACGATGAGGGGAAAAAAAATACAAAACAAATAAGAACAAGATACTGTTAACACGCCATCGGAATCGAATTGCAGCACAAGATAGAAAAGAAGAGAAGCGCTAAATCATGAAGAACCAGTTGTATCGTTCATATAATTAATCACCCAAGTGAATTAGCATCACAACCCGGACTATCATAAAGCACGAGTAATTATTCTGCCCAAAGAATCCAGTATAGCTAAGAACAGCAGACAAGATCTAAGTATACAGTTTCCGTCGAAATCAAACAATTAAAGCGGTGTATAGTCAGAAATTATTCAAAAAAAGATTTTAACAAAAACCAACACCGTCTAAACAAGGGAATCGAGAAAGAGGGGAAGAAATTGGTGACCTCAACAGTCCAGATAAAGAAATCTAGAGGCTCCGGCTGCTGACCTCTGCTCATTTCCCGAATCAAGCTTACGAAATACACCTAAACAAAGGCGCATCAAAACCAAAAAGTTAAAGCTTGTCGAGAAAATTCTTCACAAACTTTCCCAGATGAGAAATTGGCAGGCGGATGCGTCGGAAAAGTAGAGAACCCAGTATCAAGATAAAAATTAGAACAGCAAGATCTCAAGCACTCAACCTCCCAATGAAATTGAACAAAAAATTGGAGTAGCAGATGGTACTGAGTATACTTACCGTGCGCGAATGGGTTAATATGCAGTCAAAAATCAGCAGAAAAATTCTCCATTTGAGAGTAAGTAGACATCAGACAAGGACGGAGAGAGAGAAGGAGAGAGACCGATGAGAAGTGAGAAAATAAAAGAAGTCGGGCGAGAAGGAGAGAGAAATACCCACTCGTCTCTTTATGGCCACCTGCCTACTCAGCCTGGAATTACATACCTGCTGCGCGTTTCCGGGTTTGTTCTTCCTCACGCGACTCCACGCATCGTACACGCACGCGCCAACGTTGTCGCCTACTCGCCTCCGATTCTCCGAAGTCCAAACCATTTCCGCAGAATGGGGTTAAGACAAAATTACATCTTTACAACTGTCCTTAGCCATCCTTAACTTACTACAACATTAATATAATTATTGGTGACTAAAAAATATGATTACATAATTTTTTAAATTTTGCGTTATATGTAAATAATTTATCTGACTTAAAAATTTATAATAACTTTTAAACTTTTACATATATGTAGAAAGATCTAATTAGCCAAAAAAATGATCAAGTTAGTAAAAAGTTAGCTTATAATCCATTTATTTAAATCTTGATATTAATGTGAAAACCTTATTAATGAGTGATATGAAAAACTTAATTGGTTTCACTATTGTTTAAATAAAATAACATAATATAACAAGGAATGTGATTACATATGACATAAAGTTAGAAGGCCATATATGCACATAATTTAGGGGTTATCTAAATGTGAAAAATCAAGGAGGTATTCGTTTCATTATGTATCATGACCTATTAATAAAAAAATTACAATGAAGTTCAGAGTAAAAAATATAGTTACTAAAAATTTTTAATGACAATCTGCGATAACAAGTTTCGGGATAATAACGGTAACTGTTTACTTATCATTAGGATTTACTAATATTTTTTATCTTATTGTAATTCTCTTTAAAATAATTGAGTACGTGAAATTATCAATCCAAATTTAAAAAGTTGATGGTGTTTTCCGGAAGAGTTCCATTTTATTTGTTTTTTAATACGTTGTTTTTGATCGGTTGGGCCTGTGTTTTCATGTTCAATCGCTTTTTAATACATTATAATATCATGACATTATTACAGAGAATCTACAAAATCCAAAGTCATTATGACTTTTTGCTACTCTAAATTATCGAATTGCAGTTAACAAATTGAAATAATATCATGCATATGCTTTTTGGACATACAAGCTGGTGAATTGCTTATGAGATTAGAAAAAGAAATTAAAAAAAAAGGAAACGGATAAGGCTGTTAAAAAAAAAAAGAATTGAGGAAAAAAGTTAGAATTTTATTTAATACGCACTCCCACTCTTTGCGAATGCGTAGTTGATAAAATATGAGAAATGATATGAATCTTAGAGTTGAATGGTAAAGAAGGTAACACTCTTGAGTAAGATTTCAGGTTTAAATTTTACGGATGATAAATATTGCATTAAAAAACTTCATTTAATTAAGACCTTATTACAATTGGGATTATTCAATAGTTATCATATGTAAAATAATTTGCAGCAGAGAGAGATATTGAAAGAGAAAGATTTTGGGCAAAATTGAAAATCTTATCAGTCAAAAAAATTTAATAAATTTTTATACATAAAAGTATTAATACTCTGTAAATTTCATACACATATAATACCACTACTCGAATTTAGATATTTAGACATTCCTTATCAAGAAAGTTTTTGATAGAGTTCTTCCCCCAATTTTCTCAATAAAATTTGTATTTGAACCATCACACATCAAAACTAACCTATACAAATTATTACTATCCCGATCCTGATTATAAGATCTCATTTCCCGATTTTGATTATAATTAGGATCGGGATAGTAATAATAATTTGTATAGGTTGGTTTTGATTGTCATGATTATAAATAAAGTCTTATAATTATAACAAGAGGTAATATTATGCTACGATATATTATATAGTATTATAAAAAAAATAAAGAATTGAACCAAGTTTTATGCTTTTGGTACTATCTTAAAGATGGTAACTACACACTTTTATTGAGAAACCAAGGTTTGGGGGCATTTACACACAAAATTGTTGGCTAGATAGCTAATTTTACTTTATTTTTACCATTTGTCTTGATTTGTGGCTATTGCCTATTAGGCAACAAGGAGAAGACAACAACAATAAATCTTATCTCATTAAATAGGTTTAGTACATAAATCAAACTTGTTAAGTTAAAAAATCTTAATAAAGGGCTTTATTAAAAAAAATTTCGACTTTTAATTACTAGACCCCCTATATTGAAAATGAGAAAGACTTGCATGCAAGAGATACAAAGACAAATTCGTTAATCAACCATCATAGATAATCCTTGGATATTACTCCAAATCAGCATCTCTAGAGTATTTAATTAATGTTTCATTTTCATTAACTTTAATTCTATCATTGTCTTTTGAGGATGCCACAAGCCTTTGGGAAGAGAATTGATTGGATAAGTGGTAACAAATTCACCTATGAAATTTTAGTACACAACCCACATAGCTTTCAATAAACATTTCAATTATTGAACATAAAAATGAGTGATGACAAGGAATCACTTCCCATTTTGACTAATAACTGAATTAGTTATAATTAAGTTACCTCCTCTATCTCCATTTACAAATCAAATTTTGTTAATTCATATAAATTAAGAAAATTAATCAAAATTAATTAATGCTTTTTTAAAATTGGCATATCTTTCCAACAGAAGAAATCTTTAATTCAATGTAACAAATTTTAGCCCAATTTCAGTCATCTCTCTGTCATAATTACTTAAACCATATTTAAGCTAAAAGCACTAAGAAAAAATATGCCATAAAAATTAACTTAGAAAGTAATATAAAAGTTAGAGAAAATAAAATCGAGACAACAAAAATAAATTATTTTATTTTTAAATATTTCATGACAAATGACATATTCTATTTACAAACATAGCGTATTAACATTACACATCAAAGGCCTCATCTATTTATTTTTATGTTTTTGCGTATAAGTATTTAAAAAAATATTTATATATAAAAACAAATAATTTTTTAATAATCAAAAGTAATAATATAATAAGTGGAAAATAGGAGTAAGTGTACACGTGGAGCACATGAAGAGAAGCGTCGTCTGCGTTGGCCTGCTCCAGTTACGCTGGGGCCACATTGCCAACGTTGACCTGACACGTGGTTGTGAATGTATCCCCCGCATTCAACTCATTTTGTATGATATAATATTTTATTTGATTTTTATTTGGATCATAGATATAAGATCTTGATATATTTTATTTCTTATATTTATATATTTTTCTCAAAATAGTTCTTCTAATAATAGTAATTCTATCCAATATATTTAATCAGTAATGATATTTTAGAAAAAACAATATCTAGTTATTACAACTAACTAACTAAACTTATTTTCTTAATCTCTTCAAATAAGTCAGCTAACTCTTATATTTAGAACAGGAGACAGTACTATATAACTTTTTTTTTGCCCTTTCACGCGATGTATTAAATCAATCCCTTTTTACCATATTTACGAGGATATACATATATATATATGTAGTGCTAAGAGAATTTAAAAAAAAAATATTTAATTTTTATATGGAAGGTGCTTTCTCATGTATCATTTTCCGCTCACATAATTAGATTCTTTTTCTTTTTGAAAAAAAAAGGAGAGACTAATATGAAATCTAAATATTAGATTTCTTCTAATTTTGTTCCATGCATAAAGGCTAGCGAACAAATATCAACCGCTTTGCTCAAATATCGACAACTCTTGCCACTCTCCCTAATACTTCTATGAGTTAGTGCACAATACTCTTCTAATCTTAGTTGTAAAATAGAGAGGGGATATTTTCTCACTCGATTAAATTTTTAATACAAAAGTATTATTTTACTTTTAATTTATTATCGTGTATATTATTCTTTTCTTGAAAAGTATATACTCAATGGGTCTCTAATATAAAAATTGGTTAACTAATTTGAGTAGATTAAAAAATTACTTAAATTAGCTATTTGTAATAAATAAATAATATTTTTCCTAATTTTTTTTACTAATTAAGTGTCATTTGATAAAATACTTAATATGTGTAATTATTATAAGGGCTATCTTAAAAAAAATAAATAAATGCAAAGTGGATTAAAATATTATATTTAGATCAAATTAGCTTTTATATTAAGGACAGAATGTAATATATTGAATAAGAATAAACTTGAAAATTTTAAGATAAAGTTAACATGGTTTATGATTTTCTTGATTTTAATAAAATGTACTAGAAATGACTTATTCAATAAAATAAAAAATAAGTTAAAAAAATAGGCGATATACGCACTTGGGCTGACTTTTGAGTTCAATGGAAAGTGACCAAATAAAGAACGTTGGGAAAGCTCCGAGCTGATGTGAATGCAAACTGTAGTTTGTTTGTTCATGTTTATTCGTTTATCCATCGGCTGCTTTGTTCCTGTCCGTTTTCCGAAGACTCTTGTGTGGCCCTCTTTTAATTTCATCCTCCACTTGATACCCACCATCTAGTGTTTTTCTCCAAAATTCGCCATGATTCCTAAATACTCCTCCAGTGCTTAATATAAGATTTGTTTAACTAATTTGATTAGATTAAGGAAGTTAGGTAAGTTAGTTAATTACAAAAAATATGACATGTTTTTCCTAAAACACCATAATCATCTTTCTTAACATATTTCGTCACTCACTTGCTTGATTATGGTTGAGGAAGTATTATAAGGGTAATTAAAAAAAATTGATAAATATGAGAAATAATCCTTATATTTAGGACCAAAATTAACTTAATAATTGAATCTTATATTAAGGACCGAAGGAATATATTTAACAACGTTCAAATTCTTAATGATTTTATCTGATTTAACTCCATGTAATATTAGGAAAAATAAAAATACAATCCCTGTATCTATAAAATGTCTGTTGTAAGTACCCCTTAATTAGGAAAAATGAAAAAAAAGGTACTGTCCTGTACTAATTTATTTGCAGTAAGTTTAAAGTGCATAGGAACTACTGATTTTTTTTTTAATTTCCTAAATTTAAATTACTGAAGATCAACTTATTGCTAATGTTATTGAAATTTGTGTAAATCATGAAAGGCATAATTGGAGGTAAATTAGATTTGATTAAGGCAAGAACTGAGATTAACACGTACTATAGGATTAATAATTTTTCTGAGTAGTTTAAAGCCAATAATCATTGGTCCAGTTCTTAAGCAGGAAAACGACTTTGACGTAACAAAAACATTTCTTGAAGAAAGACAAAGGTCACGGACTTCATTCTTCTTACGTTCCTTATGGATAGATACCAATTAGCATAATTCTTTTTTTTGTTACATTACAATTTGCGAGATATATTCAATATTTATTATAAATATCCTTATTTAACATGAACAATATTTTTATTATTATATATGCTTATTCAGAACCATATTTTATCCACAAAATTAATTTTTTTAATGAGGAAAATAGATATGAACACCCCGAGATTACAACCGGAATTAGACTCATGAACTCTCAAGATTTTTTTTTTTTTTTTTGTATTGTAACGGCATTCGGATGTCAACCATCATCCCTGCCCAAGAACTTCTAGGATAAAAGTATTAATAATAACTCATTTTTATTATTATTAAAACATTCAGTGACAAAATATCTAATATTTGATAATATTAATTAATTTGAATTTAAGTCAAGTTGGTTTTTACATGTACGGAAACTCTCTTAAATGTTAGCATAACGTTTCGCCCCCTATTCACGCGACTTAAATGTATGATCTGAATCGTATTAAGTTCCTTATTACTTAATTTACACGAAAAATATTTTATTTTTCAACTATTGTTTTTTTTATTTTTAAAATAGTGTTCATTAATTCAAAATATCGAGGGCTGAACATGAGGACATTTTAAAGCAGAGAGGTGAAAGATGAAAAGGATAAGATCTTAATGTAATGACATCTCATGGTCAGTGTTTGAATTTATAATTTGTGAATGAAGGCAAATTCATAGAACTGAGGAAGACGTTGAGACAATACATATTCTAATTCTAAGTCAACACATTGGGGCCTTGTCTCTTTGGACTGCGATCTTTCACCTAAACTCTATACAAACAAACTACAAATTACAAAAACCTTCATAACCAATCTCTTGACATGTATGGTTCAAATCAATTGAATAGTTTGTTTACATTGGAAAGATATCGTTGGGAACCAGGCCTTCAATGTCTGATATCACACCACTTGCAGCTAGTTCCCTGCAACATGTTGCTTCCCTTGTTCTATTAGTTTTGTTTCTACTCCTTCATATTTTATTATTATGATGATTAGATCAAATGAATAGCAATGCCTCTTTAATCCTTCCTTTCTTTTTCTTCCATTACTTTCCACGAACAGGGGAAAATCATGTTCATGGAAGTTTTCGCTGGCTGCTGTAGGGAAACGAACGTACTGCCCATCAAATGAATGAACAAAGAATATATCATCTCAGTTAGTGAAGGTACATGCAAAGGCCTCGTCCAGGATGAAAATGAAAAGGAACTGTTAACAGGAGATTAATGAGATCAGGAGCTACTGCAAAAAAGGTGACTGACTCATGGATTATTACAGCCCGGATTATTTCAAACACAAACCGTCAGAGCCCAGAAATGAAAACAAATCACCAGCATCAGCTGACTAACAAACCTTGTACTCCAGGAGAAGAGAAAAGCAGCAAAGAAAGAAGCCTCTAACCAAAAGAAACATAAATTCAACCACTACATGCATATAACACTGTTATAATCCATAAAAGGCGAAAAAAAGGGTTTGTTTGGTCTCATAATCTCAGATGGAATCAGCTTGTACTCATGATTGACGCCATTAGTATCCAGAATCAGAAGTTGAATAACGGAATAAGTAACTTGAAGCATTGACGATGCCTGAGAGGGCGTTATTCAATCCAAATATTGAGTTTGGATGTTGATACATTTGGAATCAACAACACCAATTAAGCTTAGATTCATTCATCAATCCTCCCTGGGGTCAAGAGATAAAGGCTCACTTTTCGCAGTGGAAAGGGAACCATCTGAACATTTTTCACTTTCAGTGTCATTACCATTAGAGAGGCACTTCTCAATTGGTGGGGCTACAACAAGGGAACCATCTGAAAATTTTTCACTTTTAGTGTCATTACCATTAGAAAGGCACTTCTCAATTGGAGGGGCTACAATATCTGCAATGAACTTTATTAAAGAGCAAAGTCCACCTAAAAAGTTATGATCAATAACACCCGCTCCTTCCACAACATGGGCAAAATCAACAAGTTTAACGGCAGCACCTGAACTCTTTCCTTTTAGCACAGATTCCTTGTCAAACACGATAAGGGCTGAAGAAGCATAGAAATGGAAAATTGTTTGAACCTCAAACCATGCCTTGAGCTCCAAAAGCTGCGCTAAAATTCCAGAAGAACCACCATAAACCTCAGACGCAAAAAAGCAATCAGGTTGCACATCATGATTTTCAGGTGCATTAGAAGAAACAAACTTTTTCAAAACCAATTTGACATCCTCTGCAGCTAGAGTTTGCAAAAGCTTCCTCTTGGGCTTCCAGAATCCAGAATCCTTGGAGACAAAGGCCTTCAATCCTGATATCCTAAAACCCAGTAAGAGACTAGAGCTTGTTTGATCTTTCTCCACGGACTTGCGGATGTAGTCCTCAGAAGCTTGTGGATACCATGTCCTGGAACCAATCTTAATATCTATGATGGATGGATTTTCATAGCTGGAGACAAGATTTTGCAAGACCAGGTGAGGATGCAAGCCAGACCCGTCTGATGCATACACTTTCTTGGTGCCATAAAAGACAGGAAAATATCTGCGGATGTGATCTGGAATCCTGGCATCAGAATAAAGAGATTCATAGAATTCCACCTCTTGGGAACCACGATTGCCACTTTGAAGAGGCTTATAGAAGCAACCACAATCATCTACTAGGGGACCGAGATGACCTTCTTCGGCTAGATGGCCAGCAACTTGATGTGCTGGGACCTTTAGCATTGTTCCTACAAATTGGCAAGAGCACCAACAAAATGACACCATATAAACATATGTTAAAGAGATGAATAGTTTAGCTCTCCAATCTGTTTAAAGAAAAATTTATGGGTTGAAACTTTTAGTTGAAGTATAAACGGTATTCACAATTTTATCTTCATTAAAAGCACTTCAATCAGTTCCAAAATGCTGGCATATACCTTATACATAATCAAATCTAAAGGGTTATCTACTAAGGACACCAGTCAATGGGGAGGGTGAAACCACTGACTATTGCAACCACTGACTATTGCACGTATGGTCAGGAATAAAACGCATAACAAAGGTCAAATGACAGTATTTTATTCTTAATCATTCATCCAAGATCTAATGGTATCTCACAATAAAACAATGGCAGGTAGTATGTATTTATCTGCCAAAGGGGGAAAAAGGATGACTTCACTCAATTCAAAAAGCACTACACTGCTGCACAGAACAACTGATTTAAAATTTACGATAACTTCCTGGCTTCCTGCAAAGAAGTTTTTTGCTTTCCCTCGTTCACCGGGGCTTTGTTTATATTTTGTTTCTATAGATCTTATAAAAACAAAAAGTATATTTTGCACCTCCACCAACAGGCCATTAGAAGCACATTTCAATAGTTAAATCCCAAAAGTAAACCTTGATACTTGAACTGCCACCATTAGACAGAGTAAAGTACATATATAATATTACACCGAGATATCAAGTCCAAACCCTCACGAAGCGATTTAATAATTAAAAAGTTGCGCAGATAAAGTTGAATTCAACGACTGGAACTCATGAAATGACCAATGGTTCCTAAGCCAGAATCAGAATGGACAGAGGAACAATGAAATGAAAACAATTCAATATTCCAGGAAAAATGAACCAAACCCAATATCCCCCAAGGAAATAAACGCCATCGTAAATATCCACATGCAAACTACGAGAGAGAAAGAGAGAGAGGACAACAATTGCTCATCAAATCAATAACGGAGCAGAACTGGAATGAAACATAAACGTTGTACCAAGTACATCTGGAGTTACGTGTTGGGTTGTTTAGGGAGAGATCGAAATTTGTGAAAAAAACACAGGCTATGGAATACGAACCCACCGCGACCAGATCCACTATGTCCTGAAGATACACGCAAGAAAAAGGCGAGCATAAATGCGATGTGCATTAATAACAGGCGAGGACATCTCACAGTAACTGAAAATACATCTTTACCCTCGACTACAAGCTCTATCTCAAATCGAAGTGATGCCCCATCGGGACGAACAGGAATTGGGTTCACGACCTCCTTCCTCCTTACAGCGAAATAGAAACAAATCCATCAAATTCTCCCGCAGCTACCCCTCGGATACGGGTAGGTTTGATTTTGAGGCTTTTTGATCTTTATGAAATTATTTTTTAAAATTTTTTTGGTCCCAACAGCTAAATCTAAAATATAAAGCCCGATCAGACCTCTATATCCCAATAATGTCATAATTACCCGCTACCTAGCCAATTACTCGAGGAAGAGGAAGACACAAGCAGCGATGGCGCCCTGCTCCGCCGTGCAATCGCGTGTTCGGTCCCTTTCTTTCGGTGCGACGTGGTCCTCCCCTTGAGTTTGTTCCCATTGGCTTCGAGCTCAGCCCCGCTCAACCTTCGCAGCCCCCTCTCCCAAAACGACGTTCCCTCTCGGTCCTTCCAGTTCCATCTCTCGTCTCCACTTTCTCCTCTGTCGAAAAATCCAAAAAACACGCGCCCTCTGCACCAACCTCCAGCTGGTGCCTTTACTGAAAAAAATTAATACTCCTCCGGTCCTTGATATAAGATCCATTTAATTAATTTGATTAGATTAAGGAAGTTAGATAAGTTAGTTAATTATAAAAAATGTGACATGTTTTTCCTAAAATACCATAATCATCTTTCTTAATACCTCATCTTCCCCTTCTACTTAATTATGGTTGAGGGAGTATCCATAGGGGTAATTTAGAGAAAATTGATAAATATGAGAAATGGGTCTTATATTTAGAACCAAAACCAACTCAATAATTGGGTCCTATATTAAGGACCGGAGGAGTAATAAAAAGAATATTAAAATCTTAATAAACCATTTTATTTTTAAAATTATAAAGATACTATGATAGTTACAAAAATTTATTATTTAAGATACAACTTTACAAATTATGAGTCAATTCTTTATTAACTGGATTAATCTTTATTGATAAGAATCAAATGTATATTTTAACTTATAATAATAAATTAAAACCTTTTTAGGCAAATTTAAATTATTTTTGAGTTTTAACTTAAAAAATGAACTACTTTTATCGCCCAAAAAAAAAACTGGGTTGTTGGTATGTCAAAACTAACCAATCATTGTTCTACTTTGGCAATTTTTGCACATTTTATGTCTTGAAACAGGGTTTTCTCATCAACCCAGTTTGCTGGGTTTATAAGTACAATTGGAAAGAAAGTTACAGGGACCTTAGTTTTACCTCCAGCAGATTACGCCTGCTCAATCTTTTCATGATTATTTTTTGTAGACTTTAACCTGATCTTATTATTACCTCAAATCCTAAATATAAGATTTAGTTGACTAATTTAAGTAGATTAAGAAAATAAGTTAAGTTAGTTGTTTGTTATAAATAGGTATTGTCTTTCCTAAAATATCTTTGCTAATTAAGTTTATGGGTTAGAATCACTATTATTAGAAAGACTATCTTAAAAAAATAAATAAATATGAGAGATAAAGTAGATTAAGATATTATATTTAGGATAAAAAAATTAAATGAGATTTTATATTAAAAAAAAATCCAAATATCAATTGTCACTTGTCAGTGTCGTTTTTTCTCATCATCCCTCAGAATCTCTAAATTCTACCCGTCTAAATCGACCTGAAGGCCCACAATGCACCACATCATCAGCCCATTCTCTCCTTCGACTTCTCTCTCCTCTTTTGACCCCCAAGCGTTGGCTAACAAATCATCTCCCTGACTATGGGTTATTTTGGAACTCCGTTCAAAACGGATTTTTAAACAAATTCACATAAGTCAAGATAAAACTCTCTCTGCACATTTATCTCGTATCCTGTGAAGTACGTTTAAAAAACTATTTATAAGTCAATCCAAATAAACTCCCACCTCTATTCCGTAGTAGACCAATTCTCTGTCGTTGACTCTCTCTCTCTCACCTTTGCCACTGTCTCTCTCTAAACAGAGGCCATCCCAACGAACTGAATGGAGTTTGGAGACAAGATATTGTGATATACTAACTTGGTCTTTAATATAAGATCTCATTTTATTTTTATTTTGGTCTTAAATATAAAACCCCAATCAACTTTGTGTGTCATATTTATCTATTTTTTTTTTCCAAAATAGTACTTCTAATAATAATAGTTCTAGTCAATATATTTGATTAACAAAGATATTTTAGGAAAGACAACACCTATTTATTATAAATAACTAATTTAACTTCTTTTCTTAATCTATTGAAGTTAGTTAACTAGTTCTTATATTTAGGACTGGAGGTAGTATTTTTCTTCCATTCTTTAATGGATGTTTCGGGTTCTTGCAATGGCATCGTCGCAAAATGAGAAGTTATTCTCACGGGATCATGTTGACTAACAAAGTGAGCAGGTGTGCATTATCTTGTACGTCACTCTCAAGTTGATTAATAAATTTCTCTTTTGTAAGGAGGATGAACTTTATTGCAAGACAGGAACTAATGATCCAGCTTGGAAGCATGAAGTCAATTAGGTGGCTTGGATTATTTTGGATCTGGTTCTTGTTCTGCATTGGGCTATATTAGAAAAATATCCAAACGTAATTTTATTATCCTATCAGGTATGTTGTAATAAATAGTATGGGGCTGCATTTTGATGGCGGCATGTCAAAAGATATATATATATACTCTTTCGATTCTTAATATAAAACTCATTTAACTAATTTGATTAGATTAAAGAAGTTAGGTAAATTAGTTAATTATAAGAAATATGACACATTTTTCCTAAAACACCACAATCATCTTTCTTAATACCTCATCTCCCTCTTTTACTTGATTATGGTTAAGAGAGTATCTATAGGGATAATTTAGATAAAATTGATAAATATAATAAATGGGTCTTATATTTAGGACCAAAACCAACTCAAGAATTGAGTCCTATATTAATGACCGGAGGAGTACATATATATATATATGTATGTGTATATATTATATGTAAGACTAGCACTAGTTGTGTTCATTATCAGTTCATATGGATGAATTCAAACCATTCCATTTTCCTTTCCGCAAAATAGTAAATTGCATGAGCAAAAACTATCCAAAAAATGGTAAAAGGGGTTTGTGATAAACAAACTTCTTTTTTGTAAGGAGGATGGACTTTATTACAAGCCAGGAACCAATGATCCAGTTCTTAATGAAAACAATGTCTTCCTTAAATACATCAACCTATGGCTTAGACTGAAGCCTTTTTCTTCATAAGTGAAAACCACTTCATATGCCCCAAAAGCTTTGTTGGTTTCCTGAATTGAAAGTTCATCGCTACAAAAGGTGCTATTGCGATGCCATAGACCTCTTCCTTGTACATCTTTATGCTCATTTTGTTGGCAATACCTAAAAAAAATAATAAAAACATGGTTCAAGTCGTATCTAAAGATACTATCTCTAAGAGTTATTCCATCACACATGTTAGAATAAAAGGCGGCACTCTCTATGATTAAACAAACCCTTCTTGTACAGAGCAAGGTGACAGAACAACAGAAATTTAAAACTTAAGAGAAGAGAGAGGAGGAGAGTTCGGGGATAGAACTCAAAAGCACATTGACCATCCACCACACTTTGCCTTTTATAAGCAGATAATATGTGAACGTTGGGCTATCATAATTGTGATTAAAGATGGTTTTAATGATAATTAAAGGGACAATTTTAAAACAATTGATTAAAGTGAATTAAAACATTTTAATTCCATTAAATCTGGTTAACGAAAGAACAAAACCGACTAATTAAGATACATAAATACTTCAATAGTCATTTCTAATAAAGACTCATCTTCTTAGCCATCTTATTAATTAGCTCAAGCTCACATGTTAGTAAACACTAAGGTTTTCTTAATATCGAGTAATATGAGATTTCTTTTGACACACTCACTCGTATACTGAAATGCCAACACATTCAAGGTTGATGGTTCTATCTAGCTGCACAAGAGATGCTCGGTTCTTAGATTCAACCCATACGCCAAAAGTGCTGGTACTTTATGAGGACTCGCAACCTCCACATGATAATATAGTCGAAGACTAGGGAGGCCAAGAGGGTTGCGATCGCTGTCAGTGGTCCCAGTGCAATGAAAAATATTTTGCTCATATGGCAGAGGCTCTGCATAATTCTTAATGACTGGGCACTCGTAAAAAGGAAGAGGAGCAGAAAGAGGCAAGTCGGTGGGAAATAGGAGCTTGAGATTGAGAAAGAGTAGCCCGTGGGGCTGTTTGTTCACCAATTGCGTCATTAATACTTCTTTGGAACAGATGGATTCCCGCAAGTTTTGACAACTTGTATATGGAACAGACATATAAACTTGGATCGTTCTAGCTTTGACCTACTACGGCAGGCATCTTCAACAATATTATTGGAAGAATCTCAAGTAAATTTAACCAAAAAAATCTAAATTTAAATTCAGGTTTATACTTTTAACAAATTCCTAATCAGGCTGTGGGGTCTAATTAGAAATTTCTAAATGTTATTATATAATTAGAATGACCATCTTCAGTTAAAAGAAAAAAAATTATTTTATCCCTTTCAAATGATTCCTCATCTTTTACGATTATTTTTTAAGACAAAAAAACATATAAATAATTTTAAAGTGCTTAAAATTTGTATATATATCTAAAATTATTTAAAATATTTTAATAAAAAATGTTTAATTGGAAATATAAGTAGCCTTTAAATAAATATTTTTTATTTTCATTTCTCATCATCTGCGTTATAATGTAAATTATAACAATTTAATATTAAATATTTCTTGCAATTAAAATATTTTACAATTTTAAAATAAATATTTCCAACCTGAAAAAATATTTATTTACAGAATACTTATATTATAATTTAAAATGTTTATTAAAATATTTTAAAAGTTTTAGTTATATATGCAAAATTTCAAACACTGAAAAATTATTTCTATGTTTTTTGGTCTAAATATTACTAATAAGAGATGATGAACCATTTGGACAGGATAAAATAATTAATTTTTATCTTTAATTAAAGAATATTAAAAAAAATTTAATTACATCTCATGTCCTGATTAAGAATTTACTAATATTGGGATTCTCCCAATATTATAAGATCATCTAGCTTGTGCATGACGCCAGAATAATACTTGCCACCCCACTTGGGACCTTACGGAGTTCATGAAAGGACTCGGCTGGTAAAAGCCCACACACGCAATCATGATCATGATACACAACTTTTTTCTGTGTTGGCATGAAAACAAAAGTCAGAATGCGACAACAAAAGATCCATTCTACAACGACAGGGCAGCATGGATAATCTGAGGCAACTAGAGCAGGATCATTCGAATCCCTCGAATACTTCATATGGGCAGAAATCGACATTGTACAAAAAAATTACAAATCATAGCAAAATTGATCATGCAAAGTTTGATATTCATCCACTTCATTAGATAGGATTTCATGCGCCAACAATGAAATCCTACAACCATTGAACAACATAAAACTATATAGAAGTCTAAACTGTAGTTAAAGTTCATTTCAAATTTGCACAACGTCATATTTCTGCCAAGAGCTTACTGGCATTGGAATGGGGCGTTTATTGTCCAGCACTCGCATGAAGTTCAACTGCCAGTGGATTTGTCTGCAGCTGGACAATTATTGCGGACCAGCATGATGTCACCAGCTACAGGTCCTCAGTGCTCCACAGCCATATTTTCTGTGGAGGCTTCTGAGGCTGCTTCTTATGAATCTACTCAAATTTTGCAAACAGCCACGATGCCAGTGACACCACTAATATTCAGAAGTTAAAGGAGAAAGCAATTTGAAGGACCGATGATGCATAAGAGGGCATATTTTCTTTGGAATTGATATCAACAATTAAGCTTAGATTCTTCAATCCTTCCTGGAGTAGTGATGAAGGCGAACTTTTCACAGAGAAAAAAGACCCATCTGAAATGGTCACTTCTGGTGTCGTTACCATTAGAAATTCCCTTCTCAATTGGAGAGGCCACCATATCTCAAATGAACTTTATGAAAGAGCAACCCCCTTCAACATGGGCAAGATCAACAAGTTTGATGGCAGCACCTGAACTCTTTCCATTTAGAACAGATTCCTTTTCAAACAAGTTAAGGGCCAAAGAAGAATAGAAACGGAAAATGGTTTGAACCTCAAACCATGCTTGAGCTCCAAAAACGGAAAATAGTTTGAACCTCAAACCATGACTTGAGCCCCAAGAGCTGTGCTAAATTCCAAAAGAACCACTATAAACCCCAGACACAAAAATGCAATCAGGTCGTGCACCATGATTTGCAGGTGTATTGGAAGAAACGAACTTATTCAAAACCAATTTGACGTCCTCTGTAGATAGATTATGCAGAAGCTTCCTCTCAGGCTTCCAGAATCCAGAGTGATATCCAGAAACCCAACAAGAGATTCATAGATCTTTTTTCATGCCCTTCAGGATGAAGTCATTAGAATTGTGGATACCATGTCCTGGAACCAATCTTAATATCTGCAATGGATGGGTTTATGTAGCTGGAGACAAGATCTTCCAAGACCAGGTGAGGATGTAAGCCAAGCCCATCTGATGCATTGATTTCCTAGGTACCATGAAAGATAGTGGAGCATCTGCATGTCAGAAATAAACAGATTTATAGAATTCCAACACAAGGGAACTGCGTTTATCACTTTGAAGGGGCTTCAAGAGGCAGAGAGCAACATTTGCTCCATCAAATTGATAACGGAACAAAACTGGAATGCAGCTTAGACATTGAAGCAAGTGAAGTTGAAATTACCTGTTATGTTCTTTAGGGAGGTTTTGAAGTCCGTGAAAAGGATTCAGGCGATGGAATGTAAACCCACTGTGACAAGACCCACAATGTTAAAAAGATCTATGCAGGAGGAAGAGCATGAACGCCATCTGCATTAGCAAAGGTGAACAGAAATCACAACACCCGGGGTAATGCATCTTGAATGTACAACTTTGCCCTCTAGCTCAATATGAATAAATGTCCTCTTGGGAAAGGGGACAAGGAGTTGATCTGTGGCCTCCTTCCTCTTTACCGTCAAACAGGTAAAAATCCCAAAGTTTTGAATCCATTAATATCAATTGTGTCATTAATACTTTTGCGTCACTTCCATTCAATAAAAGCATTGACCAATTTAACCTATATATCTAGATCATAATAGCATTCCAGAGTAATAAGCTTCCCTTCTCAAATATGCTGTTTTCCAATGATATACAATATCACAAGTCAAATAACTCCAGTTTTTGCCTACATCCTCCAACTGTTGAAAAAGGTGTAGAATTAATGAGGCGTCAGAAGAGAAAAACAAGTAAAAATTTTAAAACCAATGAATGCAAAGTGGAAGTGAATTGCAACTAGGATTTTAGCAAGGCTTGCAGCCTTTAAAGTTTTAATTCTTTGCCAGTCAATCCTGGCCAGAACTACAGCTACTGTCAGGCAGATCCAATCTGTCCTGAATTCTTACAAGAGTTACATGGCTCCTATGGGGGCAAGAAACAAACCTTAGTGAACAAGAAATCCTAGATTTGGGAACCTATACACATCGAAAAAGTAGAATTCCACCCCCAAATAAAAAGACATAAGTGGTTAATTCTCATGTTCTCTAGCCAAGCGTGGCATAGTGTACAGTTAAATCTAGAATAGTGTCGAAAAATTCTAAATTAGAAACCAAACAAGTGTTTCATTGTTGCCTATGAAGCATTCGCGATTGTAGCAGCATGAAGAAGTTCATCAGGAGTTGCAGCTGGATCAAGGTCCCAACACCTTTCTGGCAAGTTGCTTGTCTCTCCCTTCAGCAACCAAGAAGGCACTTGGTGTGAAAAGCGTAGCATTTCTCTTCTCGGTATCCATCTAATTGCCTTTTTGTCAGAATTTGTTTGATACACTGTTTTAAATCCATCCAGCTTTATAAGGGGACTAACACAAACACCAAGCTCCTCAGAGTAATCATCAAGAACCTCCACCATTTCATACTGATGCCTCACTTCATCTGGAGTCGCTCTATTCCAGTCGGGAGACCAGTTTCGATAAACAGCCCAAATATCTCCACATCTCGGATAAATCCGAATACAACCACCTCGACCAGCCTTCTCCCGTGCTAGAAGATGAGAGAAAACATTTACCTGGTCAACAACATCAGAATTGAATGCCCTGAAATTTCCACAAGATTTCGTAAAACCAGAATCCATCCAGTTCACTGGGCCAAACTCACTATCAGTCTTTGAGTTCAAATAACTAATATGAATCTTAAATGGATTCACAGAGATGACCTCACGGATTAGACAATATAAACGAGGCATGCCATCTTCCTCATCATATAAAGCCCATATTTGCTTTGGCCTAAAGCACTGCTCTGACCTGTCTTTATCAAAGTCATGAAAGTCAGAATCCGGGACAGTGATTGTGACGGAAGCAGTTTTCCTATGCTCTAATTGATGGTCAGAAACACTTAGACATGCTCTTTTATATTCCTCTCTATTGACTTGACCAGCTTCTGCTAGAGATTTTGCTTTCTCCCCAACAGCGGCAGCATCAGATGCCAGTTTCATCTCCTCCAGTTTCTTCTGAATATCCGCCTTGGCCTTCTCAATCAGTAATTTTCTCGCATCAAATGCTGGTGCCACGGAATACTGCTTAGTTTGGACTTCATTTGCACAGGAAACTTTCTGGTCATGTACAATGCTTTCATTCCCATCAGCTAATCTTGATTCAGAAGCCGATTTCAATTCCTTTTGTTCACAGGCATTTCGGAAACTGGCTGCAACAACAATTTTCCTTTTTTTGTCAGGTCTAGTGGGCTTAATTTCCTGAGGTTCGTTACAGTGGAATGATACATCTGAATTTACATTGTGCACAGTCTCTGCTAATTGATGCCTCTGATCAACTGGTGGTTTGATTCTTGGTCTTCCTCTCTTCCTATTTCCATTGACCTTACAAACAGAATCAGAAGATAGGGGAGTCGAACCATTTCCATTGACATGTCCACCAGGACTCCACTGAAATGAAACATTTGAAACATACTCATATCCATGTGGAGAATGATATCCAGTGATACCATTGCCATTGAAATAGGTAGTACTGGTAGGCACATAGGTGACATTATCAAATGAATGACCTCCATACCCATTGCCCGGCACATATGACCAAGGAGTATAAGGGAAAGAACCATTTGCTGGGGCTGCCCCGGTTTCAACAGCAACAAAAGTTCCCCGACAGTTTTTACATGAAAGTCTCTTATTAACATACTTACGCAAGTACTCATACTGGACATTACATGAAGTGCAAATGGTCCAGAAAGTATCATGCCGACCATGAGAAGTTGGTAAATTGAAACACTTGTTATAACCTGTAGTTCCTGCAGAATGGACTGATGACAAATTCGTCTGATTGACCCCAGCAGCCGTTTGTGTATTTCTCTTGCGATCATAAGAACTTCGCATGGCACCATCTGATAGCCAAGTCCAAGCTTCGGATACCAGCTTAAAGGCCCCGTCAGCTCCCACACATTTGTTCTTATCCGGGTGAAGCAACACAGCCAGCTTCCTATACTGTTTCCTAACGGTCTCTTTATCTGCTGAAGGTTTTATTCCAAGAATTGAATAATAATCTACTTCGCCATTATATTTTGCCTCAGAAGCTACATAAACTTGAAATGTAGCCACCATTTGAGGTATTCCCTCCAATTCAGGACACATTGTTTTTGCCTTTAATGCATAGCTTTTGGCACCTGCAAAGTCTCTCTGAGCAAATCGCTTCTCGGCAACCTCTATTGCTTTAAGCGCCTCCTCTTTGCTTGCTTCCATGTAGGAACCTGGGGCTCTTCAGAATTCCACTCTTTTAGCAAAAGCTATGACCAGCCCAGCATAATGATCCGTCACAAGGCTTCCATCGTCGCATCTGGACTCTGTCTGCTAAAATTTTTAGTAAAGAAAGAATAGTTTTAGTTTGGAGGCTAAGAAAATTTTCATTTGACATCCACGAGCAACAATACGTAATACTCTCAACAAATACTCAAATTCCAGCATAAATTCAAAATTTTATTTTGAAGGGGGGAAAACCGTCAACTCAAATAAAACAGGAAAATATGCATTAGCAGCAAATCTTGCTACTGAATTGATCCCACAAAAGGTCGCAGAAATTTCATAAATAAAACACTTTGATGCTCATAAGGCAAGAACTATTTCCCGCAGAATTGTTCCCAAGCATCGAAGAAAATGCAGAATAGATGCAACTGCATACAGTGGCTTCTCCTCGAGAAGTGAAGATGCAGGTTTTCAAACAGCAGAAAATAACAAAATAACTAACAATAACTGAGAAAGATCAAAGCTTGAGAGATAACAGGGGTAGCCGTAGAGGAAGACGAAGGTTGAGCGTGAAATAAAGAAAGACTACCTCACCAAAGACGAAGAAGACAAAGCCGAGAGTGAGTGAGAGCGCCAAGCACCTGAGAATAGTAAGAGAACGGCGACGCCCAGGACCCACGAGCAGTGAGTGTGTGAGGGAGGCGCGAGGCGAGAGAGATCTGCCCTGTGCCCAGAAAGATTGCGGCGACGGAGATCAGGGAATGAGGCGCGAGAGAGACTACCCTGAAAATGACAGATTATTACAAATTTGCCATTTCAAAAAAGAACACAGAGCACCTAACTTCACCCTGGAAAAAAAGAAGGCAAGGAAACAAGGATGAGCTTTTCTTTTTGGAAGAAAAAGGTTTCGGAAATCAACAGTACAGTTAAATACAAAATATTCATCCATATATTTTTTTTTCACTTTTATTTCAAAGAACTAAAAAATTATTTTTTCGAAAAATCAAACTGCCAACATCAATGAACATTTCCAGAAAACAAAGCAACCATCTAATGCCTTGAAACCCTCCAAAAGTGGGACATTACCAAACTTTTAATCGGCAACCACCGATCGAAACCTAGATTTTCACACAAGAGTCCTCAAAATTTTACACCCAGAATGCATTTATTTTTATTAAAAAAAACCGGATTGTATAAAAATATTCTGTTACAGAAATTAAAGAAAAAGAAAAAAGAAAACTCACAGAGATGGGGCAGGAAATGGGGATTGAAGACCTAGATCGGCACATGTACTTGGGATCCCAGCTGAAGCAAAATTGAACAGAGAGCAAACTGCGAATTCTCACGACACTGAAAACGTGGAAAGGCAAATCGATTTGTAAGTACAAAGTGGAGTGTGCTAAATAAATGATAAAGTTCAAGGCAAGGGGCGTTGGTACAGAAAGGAAAAGGAGAAAGTGGGGAGGTGCAGGTTCCCAGATTCGGGTTGGGAAGTGGATCCGATCCGAGTTCGGGGAGATGTGGCGGCGGCGATGGATAGGACTCAGGAGCTTCAGCCGATCGCCGATCGGAGTGAAAGTTGAGAAACGAAATCAGAATTTAGTCAAAAATAAATAAATAAAATGGGGTTATTTATTGCATTTACTCAAATTAATTAATAACTCTTAATTATTAAAAATTAATAACAAACAGTTGTACAACAGAACGGGCACAGCTGGGCCTTTATTGCGTCATAATGTTTTTACTTTATTTACATATTCACAAGTATTTTGGAAGATCTCCTTTATTTTGAATTTTGTTGATTTTAAATTTAATATTTCAATTTAAAGATTTGTGATGAAATATTTAACTTGCTGAGAACTTTATTTAAAAACACTGTAATAGTATTGAGTTTAAAAAAGGTTAAAGTTTTAAATAAGTTGAGTAACAACTCCTTTTAATTCTCAGAATAATTACTATAAAATTTCGGATAATAATTTTTTTGTCAGTGGAATAATTAATGTATAAATTATCGAATTCAGGTAATTAGGTAGAACATTTTGAACAACATGTGCATAGTTAAGTGGGAGGGTTGGAGTTAGGGGGAGGATTGGGTGGTTGTTGATGTTAATGTTGTTAGAAATTTGGGTAATGGTTTGGTCACTGTTTTGTGATTATGAATAAATAATGGTATGTTGCGCGAAGGAGTGGAATTTCACTATTCAATATTTACTCATATTCTTTTTCGCCATATTTGGCACAAATGAAGGCAGGGTAGGGAGAATGACAAATGGAGGAAGAGGCAACTTTCTGGGGTATTGTGTGTAATGAAGGGTCTTTGGTTCATAAGAATGTGATAAAATGTAGTGTGATAGAAAATAAAATGTAATCGAATGATCCTTACATGATTTTATTTGGTATGCTATTAAGGAATTGATGCAAAGTTATGAAGACATTTAGTTATATACTCCTCCGGTCTTTAATATCAGATCTAATTATTAAGTTAATTTTATCCTGAATACAAGATCTATTTCTCATATTTATTATTTTTCCCCCTAAATTATTACTATAGATATTCCCTCAACCATAATCAAGTAGATGAAGGAGTAAGGATATTAAGAAAGATGGTCATAATGTTTTAGGAAAAACATGTTATATTTCTTATAATTAACTAACTTACCTAACTTTCTTAATTTAATCAAATTAGTTAAATGTCTTATATTAAGGACCGAAGGAGTATTACACATAACTTGATAATAAAAACAAATAATTCAACACACAAAAGTTTCCCCTATTCATGTACATATATATATAGAATTAAAATTAGGTATTTTTCACCAAAATATACAACAACCATGTTCATATACAATAAATTAAAATATAATTGAATTTCTATTAATTAAACTTGTGTGACTACAAGGTCGATGAAAGAAGATCAGAACGTTTCTGTATATTTATACTTACCTGGCGTTCCGCCCCTCTTATTAAATATTTCTACCGTCTCTGTCGGGGCATATGATTAATCTATCCATCATGTTCATTCTCGTTACAACCACGCAACATAATTTTAATTGTTCAAAGAATCTAACAAATAAAAAAAGAGTAATATTTTAACAAATTTTATATACAGTCTATTTTGACTTTGAATTTGTCCCTAACAAATTTATTGTATATATTGAGCATGACAGGGATATTTAATTTGAAAATTGAAATCAAGATTCAAAAACAGAGGAGTGTATAAATTAATTAAATAAAACGACTATGGTCCCATCTCAAGATGCTGACTTGAAACTATGTTTGCCGTCTCCGCAATTTCTTCCCTGTACATAGTGACATATCCTTGTGACTGACATCATCTTTAATCATAACATTAATTAGAAACTCACTCCCCCCCCCCCCCTTAAAAATCTAACCTACCTAGAAATTGACTCTCTCGAATTGAAGCAGAACAACCTTTATGAACCCTAGTGAAGTGACTTGTCCCATAGCTCAGAGGTCCATCTGGCCGGATCCTGTCCATGTCATTTGGATCGAGGTGGGCTAGCCCCAAAATTGAAAGCCCAACAAAATTAAGAAACTGACAAAAATTGGGCCATGCTGGACATGTGATGTGACGTGTCAAGTCAACACAAGCACTGGCATGCTCAAAAGTCCCGCTTGTCTCAACTCCCTAGGATTCCTAGGTAATCACCATGCCTTTCTAAGCATATTTTCATACACCCTATATATAATTTTTCCACAGAAACCAGGGCAAAACATAAATATAACTATTACAATGCTAGTCACGAAACGAAGTTGGCTGATCAAGTATCTCTCTATTCTATAATGACAAAATTGAAGCTTAAGGAACGGATGAAAATAAAACATTTAGCTCCAGACCTTTATGGTGGAATCAGCAAAATCCTTGAACAAACTAAAGCACAACCAACGTGTTTGCAGCTCTGAATTCTCTACACATTAGGTGAAATCAAGCAGCAATATCATGATAACAAAGGTTAATCTGCAGGCAGCATAATCTTTCTTCAAGTCGCCATATCCCACGCTGAAAATTTGTAAAATGGCACCAAGGAAAAGAGATAGAAAGAAAATTATGGTTCTTTTTTCCCCGTAAACAGTCTAGCATTCATCTTTGCGGGTATTATCCCCTTTTCCCTGTGAGAGAGACATTTGAGAAAACTCGTCGCCCGTGTGCTCAACATCCCCACTACAGATTGTATCATACGCATGCTTCTTATGAGGCGTGACTACTTTTTCCTGCGCAAGAGAACACAAAAATCAGAATACTGCAATAGAAGGATTCCACAGCTAAAGTACAGCACGGATGATCTGAAGCATTAGAGCAGGATTATTCAACTACCTTGAATATTTCAAATGGACAGAAATCAGAACCGTGACAAGCCTGCACAAGGAAAAAATCACACATGGCAACAAAATTAACAATGCTAAGTTTAAATAGGATTTCATACACCAACATTGAAGTCCTAAAACCACTGAACAGAGTAAAAATTATAAAAAGTCTAAACAGTAGCTAAGATTCAATTTAAACTTGCGTGCCATCACATCAATCCCAAAAGCTTACCGGCATTGGAATGGGATGTTCATTGTGCAGCACTCGAACAAAGTAACTGCTAGTGGATTTCTCTGTTGCTGGACACCTATAAAGGATTAACATGTTACCAGCAAAAGGCACCACAGTGCTCCCCCGCCATTTTCTTTTCTGCGGAGGCTTACGGGGGGGCTGTAAAGGTTGCTCCTTCTGAATCTGTCCAAATTCTGCAAAAAGCCAAAGTGACAATGAGATAAACACATCGCAAGTGGCAATTCCAAAATAAAATGATCCATGATTTAAGTTTCATTTATTCCTGTTATCACTGTAAAATCCTCACCAGATCCTTCAAGGAAAAGACCAAGCAAGCAAGAGAAAGGAACAACAGTTTTAGCATGAGCAAACCGAAGTCTTGCCTTTTCATGGCTTCCAGGAGTTCGTTTTTCTACAAAAATAACCAGCAAAATGGAAATATGCTGAAGGAAAATTTCATCCAGACATCGTTCAAAAGGCAAATCAACCATAAATACTACAGAGACACCAAAAGTTCTCCTTTCAAATTTCATAAAGAAAAAACTCAACCAATAGAACAGTGGAAAGTTCAAAATATAGTATTCCAAAACATGCGTTGTAAAATCCATATATTATGAAAAACAAACAAAAATCTATAGTGGAATGGGGAAAAAGGGGGGGGGGGCAAAACCCCACCAAACACAATCAAAATATGAAGAGATAGAATCATTAACACATTCCAGCCAACAGTTAAATCCATGATATCTGAACAACAGATATGAATACTAGACTATCACTTCATAAGCAAATGATCATAAATAAGACAAACTACGTATTTTGGGAAACAAGATTTCTTCAAGATAGGTAATGTTTACTACAGTCAAATATGAATCAACTTATAATAACTTTATTGCAGCAAAAGTCCAATCTTTTGTGCAAATTCATTTGAGTTTCTTCCATGAATGATGTTGAAAGCACTGCCCACACCCGAGTGCCTGTAATAACAGTAACGTGTGTGTGGATGTCTACCTTCTTTAGCCTGACTAGCTTGCTGCACAGTTATATTTTCCGTGGAGGCTTCTGAGGCTGCTCCTCATGAATCTACTCAAATTTCGCAAACAGCCACGATGCCAGTGACACCACTAATATTCAGAAGTTAAAGGAAAAAGCAATTTGAAGGACAGATGATGCAAAAGAGGGCATATTTTCTTTGGAATTGATATCAACAATTAAGCTTAGATTCTTCGATCCTCCCTGGAGCAGTGATGAAGGCAAACTTTTCAGAGAAAAAAGACCCATCTGAAATTGTCACTTCTGGTGTCGTTACCATTAGAAATTCTCTTCTCAATTGAAGAGGCTACCATATCTCAGATGAACATTATTAAAGAGCAAGCCCCTTCAACACGGGCAAGATCAACAAGTTTGATGGCAGCACCTGAACTCTTTCCATTTAGAACAGATTCCTTAAGAACAATAGAAACGGAAAATGGTTTGAACCTCAAACCATGCTTGAGCTCCAAGAACGGAAAATGGTTTGAAACTCAAACCATGCCTTGAGCCCCAAGAACTGTGCTAAAATTCCAAAAGAACCACCATAAACCCGACACAAAAATGCAATCAGCTCGTGCACCATGATTTGCAGGTGTATTGGAAGAAACAAACTTCTTCAAAACCAATTTGACATCCTCTGTAGATAGATTATGCAGAAGCTTCCTCTCAGGCTTCCAGAATCCAGAGTGATACCCTGAAACCCAACAAGAGATTCCTAGATCTTTTTTCATGCACTTCAGGATGAAGTCATTAGAATTGTGGATACCATGTCCTCGAACCGATCTTAATATCTGCAATGGATGGGTTTATGTAGCTGGAGACAAGATCTTCCAAGACCATATGACGATGAAAGCCAAGCCCATCTGATGCATTGATTTCCTAGGTACCATGAAAGATAGTGAAGCATCTGCATGTCAGAAATAAATAGATTTATAGAATTCCAACACAACGGAACTGTGTTTATCGCTTTGAAGGGGCTTCAAGAGGCAGAGAGCAACATTTGCTCCATCAAATCGGTAACGGAACAAAACTGGAATGAAGCTTAGACATTGAAGCAAGTGAAGTTGAAATTACCTGTTATGTTCTTTAGGGAGAGGTTGAAATCTGTGAAAAGGACTCAGGCGATGGAATGTAAACCCACTGTGACAAGACCGACAATGTTAAAAAGATCTATGCAGGAGGAAGAGCATGAACGCCATCTGCATTAGTAATAGGTGTACAGAAATCACAACACCCAAGGTTATGCATCTTGAATGTACAACTTTGACCTCTACCTCAATAGGAATAAATGCCCTCCTGGGAATGGGGACAAGGAGTTGGTCTATGGCCTCCTTCCTCTTTACTGTGAAATCGGTACAAATCCCAAAGTTTTGAATTCATTAATATCAATTGTGTCATTAATACTTTTGCGTCATTTCCATTCAATAAAAGCAATGAACAATTTAACCAATATATCTAGATCATAAAAGCATTCCAGAATAATAAGCTTCCCTTCTCAAATATGCTGTTTAATGATACACAATATCACAAGTCAAATAACTCCAGTTTTTGCCTACATCCTCCAACGGTTGAAAAAAGTGTAGAATTCATGAGACGTCAGATGAGAAGAATAAGTAAAAGTTTTAAAACTAATGAATGCAGAGTGAAAGTGAATTGCGATTAAAATTTTAGCAAGGCTTGCAGCCTTTACAGTTTTAATTCTTTGCCAGTCAATCCTGGCCAGAGCTACAACTGCTGTCAGGCAGATCCAATCTGTCCTGAATTCTTACAAGAGTTACGTGGCTCCTATGGGGGCAAGAAGCAAACCTTAGTGAACAAGAAATCCTAGATTTGGGAGCCTATACACATCGAAAAAGTAGAATTCCACCCCCAAATAAAAGACATAAGTGGTTAATTCTCATGTTCTCTGGCCAAGCGTGGCATAGTGTACAGTTAAATCTAGAATAGTGTTGAAAAATTCTTAATTAGAAACCAAATAAGTGTTTCATTGTTGCCTATGAAGCATTCGCGATTGTAACAGCATGAAGAAGTTCATCAGGAGTTGCAGCTGGATCAAGGTCCCAACACCTTTCTGGCAAGTTGCTTGTCTCTCCCTTCAGCAACCAAGAAGGCACTTGGTGTGAAAAGCGTAGCATTTCTCTCCTCGGTATCCATCTTATAGCCTTTTTGTCTGAATTTGCTTGATACACTGTTTTAAATCCATCCAGCTTTATAAGGGGACTAACACAAACACCAAGCTCCTCAGAGTAATCATCAAGAACCTCCACCATTTCATACTGATGCCTCACTTCATCTGGAGTCGCTCTATTCCAGTCTGGAGACCAGTTTCGATAGACAGCCCAAATATCTCCACATCTCGGATAAATCCGAATACAACCACCTCGACCAGCCTTCTCCCGTGCTAGAAGATGAGAGAAAATATTTACCTGGTCAACAACATCAGAATTGTATGCCCTGAAATTTCCACAAGATTTCGTAAAACCAGAATCCATCCAGTTCACTGGGCCAAACTCACTATCAGTCTTTGAGTTCAAATAACTAATATGAATCTTAAATGGATTCACAGAGATGACCTCACGGATTAGACAGTATAAACGAGGCATGCCATCTTCCTCATCATATAAAGCCCATATTTGCTTTGGCCTAAAGCACTGTTCTGACCTGTCTTTATCAAAGTCATGAAAGTCAGAATCCGGGACAGTTATTGTGACGGAAGCAGTTTTCCTATGCTCTAATTGATGGTCAGAAACACTTAGACATGCTCTTTTATATTCCTCTCTATTGACTTGACCAGCTTCTGCTAGAGATTTTGCTTTCTCCCCAACAGCAGCAGCGTCAGATGCCAGTTTCATCTCCTCCAGTTTCTTCTGAATATCCGCCTTGGCCTTCTCAATCAGTAATTTTCTCGCATCAAATGCTGGTGCCACGGAATACTGCTTAGTTTGGACTTCATTTGCACAGGAAACTTTCTGGTCATGTACAATGCGTTCATTCCCATCAGCTAATCTTGATTCAGAAGCTGATTTCAATTCCTTTTGTTCACAGCCATTTCGGAAACTGGCTGCAACAACAATTTTCCTTTTTTTGTCAGGTCTAGTGGGCTTAATTTCCTGAGGTTCGTTACAGTGGAATGATACATCTGAATTTACATTTTGCACAGTCTCTGCTGATTGATGCCTCGGATCAACTGTTGGTTTGATTCTTGGTCTTCCTCTCTTCCTATTTCCATTGACCTTACAAACAGAATCAGAAGATAGGGGAGTCGAACCATTTCCATTGACATGTCCACCAGGACTCCACTGAAATGAAACATTTGAAACATACTCATATCCATGTGGAGAATGATATCCAGTGATACCATTGCCATTGAAATAGCTGGTATTGGTAGGCACATACGTGACATTACATTATCAAATGAATGACCTCCATACCCATTGCCCGGCACATATGACCAAGGAGTGTAAGGGAAAGAACCATTTCCTGGGGCTGCCCCAGTTTCAACAGCAATGAAAGTTCCCCGACAGTTTTTACATGAAAGTCTCTTATTCACATACTTACGCAAGTACTCATACTGGACATTACATGAAGTGCAAATGGTCCAGAAAGTATCATGCCGACCATGAGAAGTTGATAAATTGAAACACTTGTTATAACCTGTAGTTCCTGCAGAATGGACTGATGACAAATTCGTCTGATTGACCCCAGCAGCCGTTTGTGTATTTCTCTTGAGATCATAAGAACTTCGCATGGCACTATCTGATAGCCAAGTCCATGCTTCAGATACCAGCTTAAAGGCCCCGTCAGCTCCCACACATTTGTTCTTATCCGGGTGAAGCAACCCAGCCAGCTTCCTATACTGTTTCCTAACGGTCTCTTTATCTGCTGAAGGTTTTATTCCAAGAATTGAATAATAATCTACTTCGCCATTATATTTTGCCTCAGAAGCTACATAAACTTGAAATGTAGCCACCATTTGAGGTATTCCCTCCAATTCAGGACATATTGTTTTTGCCTTTAATGCATAACTTTTGGCACCTGCAAAGTCTCTCTGAGCAAATCGCTTCTCAGCAACCTCTATTGCCTGAAGCGCCTCCTCTTTGCTTGCTTCCATGTAGGAACCCAGGGCACTTCAGAATTCCACTCTTTTAGCAAAAGCTATGACCAGCCCAACATAATTATCCGTCACAGGGCTTCCATCCTCGCATCTGGACTTTATGTCTGCTAAAATTTTTAGTAAAGAAACAATAGTTTGAGTTTGGAGGCTAAGAAAATTTTCATTTGACGTTCACAAGCAACAATACGTAATACTCTCAACAAATACTCAAATCCCAGCATAAATTCAAAATTTTATTTTGAAAGAGGGAAAACCGTCAACTCAAATAAAACAGGAAAATATGCATTAGCAGCAAATCTTGCGACTGAATTGATCCCACAAAAGGTCGCAGAAATATCATAAATAAAACACTTTGATGCTCATAAACCAAGAACTATTTCCCGCAGAATTGTTCCCAAGCATCGAAGAAAATGCAGAATAGATGCAACTACGTACAGTGGCTTCACCTCGAGAAGTGAAGATGCAGGTTTTCAAACAGCAGAAAATAACTAACAATAGCTGAGAAAGATCGAAGCCTGAGAGATAAAAGGGGTAGCCGTAGAGAAGACGAAGGTTGAGCCGGAAATAAAGAAAGACTACCTCACCAAAGACGAAGAAGACAAAGCTGAGAGTGAGTGAGAGCGCCAAGCACCTGAGAGTAGCAAGAGAAGGGCGACGCCCAGGACCCAGAGCAGTGAGTGTGTGAGGGAGGCGCGAGGCGAGAGAGATCTGCCCAGTGCCCAGAAAGATTGCGGCGAGGGAGATCTGGGAATGAGGCGCGTGAGAGAGACTACCCTGAAAATGACAAATTATTACAAATTGCCATTGCAAAAAAGAACAGAGAACACCTCGCTTCACCCTGGAAAAAAGAAGGCAAGGAAACAAGGATGAGTTTTCTTTTTTGTATAATTTTTTTTTCACTTTATTTCAAAAAACCAAAAAAAATTTACTTTTTGAAAATCAAACTGCACCAGTCAGTGAAAATTTCCAGAAACCAAAGCAACCATCTAATCCCTTGACACCCTCAAAAGCGGAAAATTACCAAACTTTCAATCGGCAATCGGTAACCAATTAACAAAAACTGATCGAAACCTAGATTTTGCACAAGAGTCCTCAAAGTTTCACAACCAGAATGCATTTTTTTTTTATTAAAAAAACCGGATTGTATAAAAATATTCTGTTACAGAAATTAAAGAAAAAGAAAACTCACAGATTGGGGCAGGAAATGGGGATTGAAGACC